AAAGGCATTCTGATGAATCTATTAGCACTTGGATTAGCCGACGCGTGCCTGGCGCATTGCATATCCCATGGTTGAACATTATACGACATTACGTTCATGATTATTACAAGCGTACATTATAAGTTGTTGGAGTATACGTCAATGTTCTTGAGATAAGGAGTCTAGATCTTCAGGAGATCATGGACCATATTACTAGGGCTATCATATCAAAGCCACAGCCAATCTTGGACTACATATCTGCGTTTGAAGCACAGTGATTATTGTAGTGACACATTGTAATCCCAAATATTTCATTCTGATGTAAGATTGGCATTATTGACGGTATTGAAAGCGCACTACACTGGATATAACAGAAAGAAGGGAAATAGAAAAGAAAGAAATGAAAAGCAGCTATGCCATTATTTTTTCAGAATTATTTCTCTGCATGCATTTCAATTAATACATACTTATTTAAAGAAACATTGCTCCAGCTAGAACATGGCTTTGCTCCCCTATTTCACATTCTCTAGAACTGAGACATCTCGTTGTTTTCTCACTTTACCGATAATCATGTTATATTATTCCTGTCTCAAATACAGTCCATTTTTACACAACTTTAGAGGGTGTATCCATGGCGAGGTGAGAGGCTTTCTTGATCTTATGTGGAATCTAATGGATTATTAGGGTTTGTATTATATTGGCCCTTCATACTAATATTCACTACAAGCCTACTGCCTACTATCATAAAGGTCCTATGAAATTCTGGGCTACCCTGGGATAAATTATACCGGAAATTGTGCGCAGGAACTTCGAGGTTAACTTTCATCAGTAACTATGGTAGTCATTTGAACATCAAAAATTGTGGGGAAAAATGGCTTGTCCGTGGCGCCCTAGAAAAGTATTCAAGCCTTGTACATCTCTGTCGTGTCACTCAATGTATTCCTTTGTATCATGTTCAATACGTGGATACTTCATCTTACCGTTAACTGGACTACCCTGTAATTAGTTGATTGAAAATAATAAGGTAGTTCTATGTACGATGTAACTTTTTCGAACTTTTGAAGAGAGAAGGATTTCCCGATAGCCAATTAAACTCCTGAAAGGAAGTATTTGACCAAAGATTAAAATCTCTATAAGAGGATACTTATCTTTCAAGCTATTACACTCCAATATATGCATTTCCCTTGTGATTTATTTGCGCTCCCATGATTCTGAGTGAATTCTTACCTCAGTCAGTGTGTAACCAACGGATGTGCATGTGGTATTAATATACTCTCAGACGAGCGAAGTTCATGTACGCTTTTGTAAGTTTCTTGTTCTTTCTTGGAACTGTCGTAATTTGTCCTAGTCTCTCACAAAGGCGATGTTGGTATGTACGGATAACCGTTCATAAATCGGTCCATTCTGTATTTCCAGATTTCCTTGATTGAACTCATGGATGTGATTGTCTTTAAAAGTAGAACATTTTGGCGATGCGATAGATATAATTTGATAGATTATGGCTAATGATTATTAGAAAATAAGTCACAAAGCGGCCAGGACTAAGGCCACTGTTTGGTTTCACCTGTTGCTCGACCGTCACCCTCGTCCAATCCCTTGTCGATGCTGCGATGACGTCAGCACCCACGCGTAGTGCTGCCCCCAGTGGCGCAGGGCGACCGAGGGGTTTTCCGATCGATGGCTTATCTCTCTACATCAAGCATCCTCAACCCAACTTATCAACTTCCGTTCTGAACAACCGAGTTCCTGAAGTGGGATAAGGCAAACCGAACGAGCACGGGTCTCTCGGGGATTCCACTTTTTGTTGTTTTCTTCTATTTTTCCCTCTCTTTCTTTTCTTTTCAACATGTTGTTACAAACTAGAAAGATTATTAAGCGTAATCGTCACAGGCTCTGTTTTAAGTCTGGCCCTCATTCTTCACCCTGTGTGACGATACTGATCACAGAACGCTCTTATCATGGTCCAGGACGAGGTCTAAAAGAAAGAGCCCCGTCGTGTCATGTTTACATGACTGGACTAAATTTAGAACTTTAGAAATAGTACCTGGTGCGTGTAACCTCGACATGTTTCTTTTCTGGGGGTGTCTCTACCCTGGGCGATGCCCTTCTTGTCGTGTTTCTATTCATGTGTTATCAGTAAACTTTATGAAAAAAAGCTGATGAATCTTTGATAACAGAGTGTAAGGGTTCACGTCAGAACTCTTCGAGGGGTGACGTAGAGACACGCCGTGGTCGTATTGGTAGAGGGTGAGGGGGGAGGAGTGATGAGGGGTATGATGGTGACGTTATAGATCTCTAGTGCCGACGGAAGATGGGAAGAGGAGGAGGGATAGAAATATTGAACCACCTTGCTTCCAGGTGACTGTGAACTTGGAGCAAGGTGGTCTCCATCGACAGACAATCCTATGTAACTAGATATTAGAAAATGGTAGATATTTCCAGCTATATTTGATAAGTGATACCAATCTTCCCTCGATCCTATGGAAAATAGAAAATAATGAACCAAGACTTTGTTTCATATAATCCATGGGCCTATGATAATAATGATTAAGCAGCTCAAAAAACTCGAAGGCTACTTGAAGTTGATCAGTAATCATTATCGTGATCATTAGTGCCGATTATTCGTGAATTTTGCCATGTCTCCTCCTTGTGTCTGTGCCCTTTTGCCGTTATATCACCCCTCTCCATCTCATCCCTCTTCATGCAATAATTTCATTCTTTATGCAGTAACAATAGCTGCGGTGAAATTAATATTGCCAAGTATAGAGAGTTTTGTAACCACACTTCCTCTACCATGCTCATATACATTTGGGTAATTCCACCTCCTATTCAACCTGTATGTGTAGACTTTGTGTAACATTTTCATAAACACACGGAAATAGCGCATTAGGGGACAGCTTTGCATGGGTGAAATAGGACACCAATTCTATGCCCTGATCGTCGAAAGTATGAAGAATAGAGAGAGAGAGAGAGAGAGAGAGAGAGAGAGAGGGAGAGAGAAAGAGAAAGGTATAACCATATTAGGCGGAAATGGTAGAGCAGTGTTTTAACTGCGGTTTTAGCTGATGTCGCAGGGGTCATGCAACACGCGTGACCTCTACACGTGGCTCTAGTCTTCATATTTCATGCCCTTCCATGTTTGGAGGGGTAGGAGAGGGTAGCATATATTTAGGGAATACACCGGTTCAGAACAAACTGCAAGTGCAACTGACTAAAGTCTTTTCAGAGCCTTGCCCGACTATTCAGCACCTACCGGAGGCCGAGGCAAAGTGCATTTTTACGAGTAAAATACAATAAGTTTTGGAGACGTTTTGTATCCCTGTTGTATTTGCCTTTGGACAGAAGACCCGTTTGACAGAATCCTAAACAGTCTGTTGAAGAAAATCGATTTAAGATCCTTACAGAAAATTACACCAAGAATTATAAAACCCGAAAAACGCTGCCCTACCCCCTTTATTTTGTTAGGGGGGGGGGGGGATTCGTCATTCTATTGAATTGGAAGGTATCACAAACAATACAGACCCCCACAAAATCCTTGTCTACTTAAAGTTTGTTTATAACTCAGATTTGATCTGCTTAGTTTTCAGACTGTTTCTATTTCTTTTTCGGTTCCACCGCTTTCCTTACCTCTTACATTTGCACGCCTATATCACCAGACACCAGTAACATATTCTTGAACACAGAGATGAAAAGAAAGAATATCTAACCTCTTCCTCGCCCCTCCTAAGTCTGATATAACATGCCTTCAGTCCTATTGTTATCGTAATGTTTTAGCTCTTACGCCCTAGATTTACGAGCAAATGTGGCGCGTGCCTCTAGTCCACTCCACAAGTCTCTCGTTCTGCTGGCATTAATTTCTAAATAAATAATGATAAAACATTTCATCTAGGAGGACACTGACAACGTTCTTAAATAGAGTCTTTATTAAAGTCTTTCTGTATAAACAAACTATTTGGTGTAATCTTTTAGATGAAAGATCTGTAGCATTCACCTTTTTTTATGATGTGACGCCATAGCGCTATGTTCTTTAATTATTATGACGGTCTTGGATTTTATTGAAGATCTTATTGAAGATTTTTATTATCTTAAAAGGGCTAATATTTGAAAAGGAATCTATGCAAGAAAAAGTCACCGCCAAAGTTCACTGTAACATCTTTTTTTTCCTTCCACACTTGGCATCATCCTCACATTTTGATGGATGTCATCATGGCATCGCTTTTGTTCCCTGGTCGCGTGAGCCGTGACCTGTTATCGCGTTCTGCCCCCAACACCGGCTGCTTCAGCCACCCGAGCAAATGTTTGATTTATGATATGATATGCGGCTTATTGATATACCAGGAGGCAACAACACTGTCCCCCACACCCCACCCCAACCCTCTCTCCCTCCCTCCCTCTCTCTCATTTTCTCTCGTCTCTTTGAATTTGAACGACCACCTTGCGATCTGAAGAGTGCCAAGTGGTTGCCCATATTTGGTCTGAAACTTTCCACCCGAGCGCTTTCTTCTCGGAGGAAAGTGATTCCCAACACTGGTGATGATTTGATTAAAGTTTGTCAGGGAGAACTCTGGTGTTCTAGTACGTGATGTTGTGTTTCTTTGTAAACAAAGGCCCAGGAATGTTCGTTATTTTACGCATTGTCCGTCAGCGTATGAGAGTTGTTTACCAAAACTGTTCAATGAGTTCTTGGCACAACGTTAACCCATTAACCATGACGGTATTCTCTATCAGAATGATGAAGAAGTAATGTTTGCTTTAATAAAATTCTTTCCAAAACACGATCGCAAAGACTCGCCTAGTGAATTGTGCAAAAACTACATTTGACATATTACGTAATACGAAAATGATTTCTATATGAATTACGATAGGGTATTGATAATGCCCATGAGTTGATTTCTGGATAATCTTCGGGTTCTTGTTTAAAGGTATTGCTGTGAATGTTTCCTTGAAAATTGGAATATGGAAATAAATTTGCCTTCATGATGATGTAAATTTTGTATTTTTTTTTCTTCTTTTGACTCCAGGTTAATCGCCCTCTCACAATGAAGAAAGAAGGCATTCAAACACGGAACAGGAAGTTATCTTCCAAGTCGAAGAAGAACAAAGGCAAGTTGGGAGTGGACGGACTTCGTGCTCTATCTCCAGAGGACATGCACCGGTTTGCTACCTTCAGCGACCAGGCATTCGGAGCCGCACACTATCCTCATCACCACTCCTCGGCCATGGACTATGGTATGACGACGGCGTCGGCCTACGCCTCGCACGGGCCGTCAGTAACCTACCCGACGTCGGGCATCTGTAACTCGCTCTACCCGGGTACGACGTCGCACCACCACGTACCCGTACCGTGCAGTTTGTCGCTATCGTCACCGGCGACCAACATGGTGGGCGCTCTGGCGTAGAGAACCCGAAACCATTTCGGACTAACTTATAGAACTACTGCGAGCTGGACTCTGGGACAGATAAATGCTTTCATTGTGATTGAAGCCATACCAATGTCATGAATTTGGATCTGAAGATGAGAAAGATGGAACACTATCATAGATGGAAGGTGAAATGGTCGCTGATGAATTCAATCTGTAGAGGCAGCTGCCAAAGACAATCTTATATTATTGCATGTAGATATCTGTACAAACGTGTATAAAGCCTATTTGTAGAATTAGAGTGTAAGTGATTTTTAAAGCAAGTATTCATCGTTTGAATCATGTTCTCTTCATTATTCAGCTCCCACTCTTACTTGCCAAATTAATACCTTGCTATACACTAGACGAGAGCGACTCTTTTGTTAGGTGTCATGATAGAAGTTACCAAGAAAGATGACTTTTATTTGATTTAGCCAGCCTTCCCTGCCCTCTTTGTTTCTTGATCATTGATGTACGATTCATTTAAACCTGAAGTCGTCATCATGTATAAGCCAGCCTTCCCTGCCCTCTTTGCTTCTTGATGAACGATTCATTTAAAGTGAAGTCGTCATCCTGTATAAGCCAGCCCTCACTGCCTTTGGTTTAAACAGAAACACTACTTTCATTTTCTTCTTTGCGGTTGGAAATGCAGGAGTTCATCGTATGGGTGACCGAAATGTTGTCGCTAGATGGCGTTAGTCGTTTCTGCGTTTTTCTCACCATAAATTAGACGACATAAATATTGTAGTAAAGTTGACATACATTAGTTTCATTTTCATAGTTTACAAAATAAAAAACAAATATTACCAACAAAATCTAAGGTGTCGCGAATTTAGTAATTTGGCATCATTCATGCAACGTTCGTTAAAATGACGCAAAGATTATTTAAGACCGACCATATCAAACCGAATAGCGAATGTGGTTATTAGTCCTATTTATAAGTGACTATATTTACCATGGTTGGAATGGTTTGGAATATGCTTTGCAGAAACGAATTAACGTGATAAGTATGACTATACAAGATCTTGCTCTTTTAAGAAAAACAGCCAATTTTGCTCTGCACCATCTGTACATGACTTGTATACTTGCTTTTGTTCGCTGGCTTTATGTTTTGTTTTGGTATAACTAGGCAAAATCATTTTTAACGTTTAAGGTCAGTAGGTCACAATTCCGCCTGTAATGTATACCTGTTCCATCACATAGATCATGGAACAACATTTAAAATACAACGGGTGTTTTTTTTTCTCATCCCTTTTTTCGTATTTTGAGCGAAAAGACGCATTGGTTTTTTGAAGTTCGATTATGTTATTTACATTTTTATATACCCGGATTTTGTTCTCCCCCGAGAGAGATTTTGTCACTTTATTGCTTATGGATATTTTTTATGCATCAGTATTATTTATATTTGAATGTTTCCAGATTTTATTTGTATCATCCGTGTCATCATTCACGTTGTGAATGAAAATACAAATTAATGTAGTTGGAACATTTCGTCATACCATAGTCACATAGCTAACCGGAATATTGTCGTAAATCGACTTTCTAAAGATCGGCAGAATATCTGTTGTTCAATTTGATGATTTTTATTTTTGTTAATACGATCATTACCTCAAAATCACATCGGGTATAAAGTACAAAAATAAGTGAAAACTTAGGACAGTAGTAGAAATGAAAGGAAAATAAAATGAACATGAAAGAAGACTGGGTGAAATGAAATCATGCTACAGCTACAACGACGACAACAATTTCAACAACAACAACAACAACAACAACAACAACTTCAACAACAACAAATGCTATAGAACAACTCAAACAATTGCAATAAGAAAACACCTTACTGAAAACGAAATGATCTTAAGGGGGATTTAACACAAACACATATTTTTTGTTTCTCTCTGTTTAAACAAATTGTATTTTTGATAGAACTAAGGTGATTTCTCTATCGCTCTTTATATTGGACTGTAACTTAATTTTTTGTATCTATTTATTTCAGCTCTTTGCAACTCATGTAAATAACACCATGTCCTTGTCTGTTCATTATTCAAGTTTCAAAGGGTATTGTCTCACACCGATTAATTTGATACATGATAATGTTTTTTTCATGAATGGATATTTTGTTTTGGAGTATTGTTCTTGATCACTCTCGGTGTGCACAAACTTATCCTGTGATGATTTAGACATGTATGCAGTATGACTTCAATGTCTATACTTACCTCTGTTTTTCATGCCCATTTGTGTAAAGAAGGATAGAAATTTCACACCGTAATTATATGATAGTAAATCAGTCCATTTAGGCTATCAATTTGTTTAATTATGAACATAAAGTCCTGAGCACTGTGTTATATATGAAATAGTTTCCGGACCGACCAAAGAGTTCTTTTCAACATTTTAACCCCAACCCAAATTTATGCATTTTGTTCCTAAATAATACGGCGAAATTGGTACTTGATTTTCTTAAACGCCCTTCCAAATTTGTGATAACGAACCATACATAAGGATCAATTTAACTTTCTTTCTCCAACAAACAAAAGCCAGAGTTTAATTCAATTTGTATTCCTAGAGAGTGATCTTCGATACAATGCATTTTGATATGTCACGAAACAAATGGATTTGTACAAATGTATTACTGATTTGTGTGCCATGTAGGAGTATTGTTTCTTGAACATTTCTATACAGTGTTCCTGTATAAATAAATGCGCATATATTTAAATGAGCGATTAAATTTATTCCAAGTATATCCGACTTTTGTCCGTTTCCATTCTTTCATTTGAGTAAAGATTTGTAGAAATAGTATTGTTTGTGGTACAGGCCTATGCGTGTCTGTTACCAACGAAAACGATCCGCCTTAATAATGTATATGAGACGTGAGAGGATTCTGATAATGTTAAGGATGATAATAATGATGGTGATGATGACAATGATGATGATGATAATGTTCATAATGATGGTCATAAACACGACAATAATTAGAAAGATGACACAGGTCATGGTGATTATGTTGATGTTTATTATCATGACAATAATTACAATAACGATAAAGATACTGAAGATGATAAAAACAACGAGAAGGGAATAATCTAGGGTTAGGTAACTTTCCTAGCACTTGCGTTGGTAGTAATGCCTATCAAACATTCACATTCAATACTGATTCCGATACAAAGATGATGGCAGGTTTCTACTTATTTATTCTAAACTGCCTAGATTGACTTTCTAAACCAACAGCATCCCCAACCGAACATTCTTAAATGTGAAAATATACATGAACGTACCATTTGCAGCAACCATGGGACAGGTCTCAAAATATATGGAAGTAAAATGCATCGAAACAAACAAAACGAGAAGATAGGTAGATGAATGAATAAACTACTTAATAGATGTCGGCATATAAATAAATAAATGAATGAAAAGATAATAAATAAATAAATATAATTAATTTATTAAACAAAATAAGCAAATCAATTGTCACATACATAGTGCATAAATACATCTTATTCAATCAACCAACCAATAAGTAAATGAATACAAAAATAGATAAATGAATAGTGATAAGTAAGTTTTAATTTTTGTTCACAAGCTGGCGCTATGATCATCGATAACCTCTACTAACAAAATGGAGAAAAAAGTTTGCTATTTCGGTGTCTCCCCCAATCATTTGACCGGGCAATTGATGGACGATCGTTGCCATGACAACGCCTATGCCTGCGGCTGTCTGTCTTGATATTTTCGACTATCATGCCTCCTTTCGAATTCCGAGGGTAGTCACTCCCTAGGCTTGATGATGACAAGGAGTGATGTTTGGGAAACCAAAACAAATATGATCTGTCACAACTCTTCTCGCGTATCCTTCACGTTTCGGCCATCTCGACTTGAATGACTCCCCCGGCTCTCACCCGGTTTCTCTCTCCAAAGTTCACGTTCTCACCGGCGCGAAGTTCCTCAGAAACCCTTCTTTCTGCCATTTGCATCCCCTTTGTGCATCTGGATTTTAGATTAAATGCGGACAGGGCACTTAGTATTAATATTTGCAATATTTACGAGCAATAATTGTGCAAAAGTTGATACGGGCATACTAATCAATTAATTAGAGTGCTAATTTGGGAGGTCATTCCATGAAGGACCGGTATGAGACATAATCCATTTGAGATAAATCATCCCCTTCACCAATTATTAAAGTCGCAACAAAATATGACGATATGGTATTGGAAGGCTGCATGACCCTTTGAACATGTTAAAGATTACTTGAAGAAGAAGGAGTCCATATGACATAAATAAAGATATTCAAAACTTTCAGATGAATGAAAGAATGTGCATGAACTAACAAACGCTTTTTATAACAAAATTTTCCTCTTAATCAACAAAACTTTATCAAGTTTCAACCTACCACTATAGCCCCCGAATTCGACGTTTAAACAAGATCATCATAAATTGATACGGTAGTTTTGTTAATACATGTATATCAAACCATTTTAAAAGCTAGACTGACGATGGCACAGTTTCTAACTCGAGTAAGAATCCAAATTTTAGAAAGTGAGAACGATCCCAGCAATTCACTTTCTCTCTCCCCTCCTCCCTGCGCAGGAATTACGTAGTCTCCCAGTCACTTGGGTATCAATACGTCTAAAAATATTCCCTTTCGCCCTTGGCCTCGGAACAGGCCCCCTCCTCGAGCATGCGCACAAGTGACAAGAGATCACACTGCCTACTATCAATTTCGATAAACATATTGCTCCATTACTTCCCTAGGGTGGTATTTGTGACATCGCCAAAGGCGGAAAAGTAAATAGAACTTCAGAAAAGGTGTGCAAATACGATCGATAAAATATAACACATCCGAGAACAAACATTATCTCTTTGGGTAATTTCCAATTTCACGTAGGAATGTTTCCGAAATTAATAGCGTTTTAAAAACTACAAATCATATTGTGGAATAGTTTCATGAATGATTATGGTAGGTGGCATAAAATGATTCGTAGGTCTTGTAGACCGTCGCCTTCATAATTATGGATGACATTGAACGTTAAAAGTGAATTGCCGATCTTGCCGAAACCAAGTAAAATTGAGTCCTATATCATTACTTGTTCACTTTTGCTTCCCTTTTATGCACACCTCTCTCGATTTCTGTTAGGCCTCTGTGGCTCTGTCGAACATGAAACAAGAAAAGTTGGCTTTGAAATTGGCTCCATGGGATTTGTATACTGCAAGGGAAAACAAATCAGACATCAATAAGAAGTGACTACCTCCTCCTCACTTAAAAGAATTCTGGACGAGAAACTATAGAATAATTAATCCTTACATGGACTATAAATGTTGATTATTCTTTACTTCTATACCAAAGTTGGTTCCATTCCAGAGACACACCAACCCCTGCCTCCCCCCCCCCCCCCAACAAAAAATATCCACACAATATATGCACATTTTACTCTACAGATATCGTAAACTAAGCGGTTTTCTGACATTTCAGCATTACTTTACGGATACTTTTTGATCCGCCTTGGCAAAAAAAATTTCACTGCACACGTTTAGAGGGGCTATTCAGACGTGAAACAAAGGCCATCAAAATTGATATCATTACGCTTATATAGCTTTATCTGTATTCCTCTCATTCTCTTCGTTCTTCCGGCTTTTCTATGACATCACTAACATCCATTTCCTGCCACATCGGAGCTTACAATAACGCCTAAGAAGCCAATGATAAGAAAAATGAGGGAGTCGCAGATCACGTTTACATGACTAACTGTTTAACTTCAAGTTCATTTTCTATTTCATCTTCTCCTGTGATGATAATTAAAGCTTTAGATCCGAGGTCGAACCTCTCCGTAACAAACCGATCTCACCCGACAAGATTTCAAGGACCTCTTGATTTAAAACCACCGACTCAAAAAAAAAAAAAAGGGGGAGCCAAACGGCGAACGGATGCTTACCAGAGTCTATGACGTCAAGCATGAATTATGAAGATTTGTCACATGATTGGCTCAATCATCAACCAATCACAATACCTTATTCCCAAGGGGGATTCCCGTTTATTCAATTTAGTTGAAAGGAGGATGAAGGGGACTAGAAATCTTCTCAGAGTAGAGTTGTCATAGGATGCAATGCTGGAACACCGGGAATGTTTCTCTTCAATGGACTGAGAGCATAATAAGAAAATCTGATCAATAATCCCTTGAAGATCAGTAAAGTTGTCGGAAACATCAAAACTTATGAATTCAATCCAATTCCGAAGGGGGAAGAAATGCCTCTTTTAAGATAATGAATTCCTGGTCCTTTAGGGGTGATTTGGCAAAATTTCAGCAATCACATAATACTATTACCCCTCCGCCGTTAAAATACAACTGTAAATGGTGACAGATTGGTCGACCCTAAGTACATGCAAATATGAAACTCATCAGCTATAAACATAAGATCTGAAAGAAATATTGATATGTATAAGCAGCGAACCAATTCGATTGGCCTATTTGGGACTCTCCTTCCAGGCACTGCAGGTATGACAAGCTGTCAACAATTATATGCCGATACCTGAAATGGCTTTTTCCCGCAGTTGCCCAATATTATCAAAAAAAGTCAGGAGATCGCAGAATGGGACAAGAAAGTTTGATTAGGATTTTAAACGCATACACACACACTCGCCCTCCCCCTAAAACAGCAAGGTAGCAATCCATGTAGCTTTTAAGTAGAAAAGAAGAGAGAGAGAAAGATGCAACTTATAAAGAGCATCATGGTGACAAAGTGAGAGAATGGACGAGAAAGAGAGATAGAGAAAGACAAAGTAAAAGACAGAGACCGAGAGAGAGAGAGAGAGAGAGAGAGAGAGAGAGGGAGAAAGAGAGAGAGAGGGAGTTTAATCTAAATGTAGTCTTGAGAGGGTAAATGGAAAATAGAAATAAAAGGATACAGGTACAGATACATGTAGTAGGAGAAAAGGAAAATTGAGGAACAAAGAAATAAGAAAGAAAAAAAAAAGGGAGATAGAGCAGAAGAAAAGGTATATAAATATTATGATGACATGAAAGACATAAAAAGCAGAAATGAGGAACAAGTAAATAGGCAAGATAGGAAGAGAGACAGGCACAAAGAAAAAGGGGATCATACAAAGAGGGGCAAAGAACTTCCATAAATGTTTGCAATAATTACCGTTTATTTATTGAGTAACCTTGCAAGAAAATGTATTTAATAATTCCATGCATGACTATAACATCTAACAAACCTAAATGATATAAAAGACAACGGCAATGCTTTCATATACATGTGTAATTAGAAATTTTATTGGCACAACATCCAAATGCATAGATTACAAAATGGCACTTTTTAAAGTTTCAATATCCAATTGTGATTCAACTAGAGGCTCTAAGTACTGTGAATAAATTTGCTGTTATGAGTAATTCAGAAAGCCACAAAAGTTCTAAGAACTTATTTTTATTATTATTATTCTGGTTTTTAGTTTAATTTAATTTCCCACAAATGGTGAATTTTTACTGATTTTAAGCTCAGAAAACAACTCAGATATAGATGGAATGTTACTATCAAGCAACATCATTTGTACTACTTGATTAAAAATAAAATGATTTAATGACAATTTAAAAATCCCTGCTGCTTTTATGGAGTCATTGATTCAATGAGATTATAAGAAACACTAACATTATGACCTACACAGTACAAACATTAATTAATGTGATAAAAACTGAGATCAAATTGTAATTGGATAAAGGTTTGAAACAATATTTCAGGCAATAGTAAAAGTTGCCTTTGATTTTATAAAGATTATTTCTCCACTTTGTTTTAACATTCATATGGTGATCAAAAGAATTCAACTACACAAAGAAAAAGATTATGATAACTTGAAATACTTATGCTACAAGTTAGGATAATGTAGAAATTCACTAAACATAGCTACAGAGTAGAATTCATAACAAAATTGAAAATTGATATGTTTTTAAAAAGAAATTTAGAAGTTCTTAATCTAGAGTCATTTCATATTTATGTTAACCAATCGTTTCATGTAAGTACATTATCATGGGCGAACAACTTTTTAATTCACTTTTATTAATTCCATTCCAATGATTCCAATTTATCTTCAATATAATTTTTGATTGTTAGTCATTAATCTTCAAATTTAAATAATAAATCATTTTATTCAAGATTTTTGTGAAGAATATTTTATTCAAAAGAATGCAGAATAGTAAGAGTATCACAGAATCCTATTGCTTTCCAAATCCAGACATTTCTTTTAGTATTGCTAGGATCTGAACAGTCACATAATTGAATTGAACATTAATTTATGCAACAGAAAATGACCTTTCATAATTTCAGAGGATTTAGGGAATAAAACAACCCTACTGTTTGTCGCGGGACCTAATCATCTCTCTGGTATTGATAGGAGCTGCAATAGTTGCAAACACAGGAGTCATGGATCTTGATGTTGGTTTCAAGACTCTCTAGCTCCTTGGCCTGTTCCTCTACAGAGGTTGGTTGACATAGAAAGGTGATCATCTGCATGTGGTAGGTGCCTACAGAGCATCCGGTGGGGCATTTGAGTACCGGCACCTCAGAGTTGCACCCCTCCATGCTGGGAGAGGGGTCAGTGAGGGTGGTGGGCGTGGGGGCACAAGCTATGGATAAAGGAGAGTGGTAGAAAAGAAGAAGTCTTTGAGAATATTGGCAGATAAAACAAAAAAAGGGAAATGGGTATGGAAATTTGGTAATCTCTTTGGTCTATGGGTGCCATATTAACTTTCAATTGAATATTCGATACCTATTGTTTTGTCCTGAAGTAGAAATGGTTACATGCGTTGTATAGAATGTTCCATCAGAAGATATGTTGAAGCATAATTTACCAGATAATGAGAGATTGAGAACCCCAAATTTGTCTCTTGAAAGTTTATTTGGGACAATTGTATGGGACAAAGACAGATCATTCAAGCACTACTTTGAAAGATGATATGAATACAAATTATGCTTTATATGACATTATAGTCACTCAGAAATTGATTAAGTACCAGTTAGCACATGTAGCCATTCTGGAAATATAAGATTGTATCCTCAGGCAAGATTTATCAAGTGACATCAAGTCATAAGATATCATAAACATATGGTTCTTAATGGTTCTGGACAAGGTCTATTATAAAACATAGATATTCAAGGTGCCATAGTTTTCAAAAGAAATATGAAAATTTATTTAAAAAAAAAAAAAAAAAATATGCATGAGATTGATTATACATACTGCAGTTCAGACAAGGCCTTGACTCTATCACATCCTGGGAGTCGCAGATCTGGTGACGCTGCTGAGATCCTAATCCACAAACACTGCCCTCTGGGATACAAGACGTCCAATCGCTCCATTCACAGTTCACCAGTTCTTGCACTACTGGCAAAACTAGAAATTTAGGAGAAAAATCGAAATGTGAGGGATAATCAATTACTTCCTGTCATCAACTATAATAAAAATTCCTCTGTATCATGCAGATGTGTTAATAGTTAATACTATGTAACAGGAAACAAAAATGTAATACCTGTTGCTAACTTGAGGCGAAACATAATGCACTGTAATATGTACTGTACTATGAATTGAAGTATTACTAGTCTTCTGTACAATTTGAATGAAGGCACATAAATTTATGACGCATGCTAAAAAATAATTTATGACGCATGCTAAATGTAGGCAATAGGAAATTGAGGGGCATATGCACACTATAAACAGTTACCCATATTTATGTACATAGTTTTCTATTGTTAAATGTTATATTGTATTTTCTATCATTTGTATTTTCACTGTCAAAAAAGCCATTGGAAGCAAAATTTCTATGTAATGTTTGCACGCATGGACCAATAAAATAATCTTGAATCTTGAATCTTGAATCTTGATTTGTTCCCTAAAATGAACAATCTAAGATCGATAAACATCAATCAATTAAAACTCAATAAATTAAAATTTGTAGAGAATGACGCCCTGAACATATATGTTTTGAAATAATCTCACAGAAATGACACAATTAAAGAACAAACTAGTTTTAAAATGATGGACCGACAAAAAGTATTTTAGGGCTCACCTCTACTGCACATGACCTTTATGAACATAAGATAAAAACAACACTTAGGAAATCGATAGCAAGATAGGAATAGCATAGAGCATACCACTTTGTGATTGGCTGTTGCACAGAACATGGATAGGAATGTTAGCTCTGACATCATCTCCTTCTGGGTTACGAGAGAGGGCGACCTTTGAACAAAGAAAATTGGTCATTTATGATACAGTGTCTTTAAGAATTACTTAGTAATCATTTATACCTTATCTTATTTACCCAGACTAGCCACATTAATATTAATACTGCTCTTTATGCCGACATTTTGTGAAAAATGATTTATTAAGTATGAATATTCAAACCTGCTAAGCACATGTACATAAGCCCATTTCTATGTCAATAATCTACAATCTATAATCTGCACAGACATGTACTGAAGAATAAGGTACTAACGGTAATTGGAAATTTTCAATAAAAATCATGCAACCAGGAATAAAACAGAAAGATGAATAATATCTTGAAAAGAGTACCACATGTGCAGGGACATACATACATGCACACTCAATATCAGTATTACCGTTTTTTTAATACAAAATCTAAATAGATGTGCATACATGTACAGTAAGTGTAAACGGTAATTAAGCACTAATGCAGAACAACATATTCCTTCAAAAAGTTTGCTTTGTTCAATAAGAAATCATAAATCATAATATTTCATGGCACATAACATCTCTATATACCAGACTTATCTGATTAATAATGTCACTTCTAGCCAGTATGAGACAGATTAGGATCAATAATCTCACAATTAGTGTCATAACCATCTGGGTGTGGGATGACATATTAATTACAGAAACGTCTGCGCGGTGCATATCTTGCCCGTTCATGTTGTAAACTTGCTAATTACAAACACACAGTCTTTCCACTATCCCCAGTAGAATCGTTTCTAGGCAGGTTTGTTATGACAAGCCAGATTTGTTAAGTCCCACACATGTGTTTATATTCAAAACCCATGTGTGTGCTTCTTAGATATGGAAACCCTATGACACAGCTGGTCACCATCCAGCGTTACTTTTCCAAAATAGGTTTTTGAAGTATTTTTCTCATATAAAGTTCATGAAAATTACCAAATTGATGTATTTAAAGAATTTTCAAACTGATTCATCTCTTGTGACGTAACTGTAAAAATAGACAAGTAGATGATGTGTCATACATCAGGCTCATAAAGGTAATTGCATGACACTTAATTCAACTACATATAACACTTCTTATTTTTTCTTAATTTTTCTCCTCGGATTGTATAAAATTCCAATAACACAAAGAAAGAATGGCTATATAGTTCCACTGAGAAAGAATGTTTAAGCGTGCTAAAATAAAATTTGATTCTTCTGTTTTATTCTTTTTTCTGTATTTTCTACACAGTTCAAAGTGGTGAGATGTGTATGCCTCTGTTCAATGGTTTGAGTTTAGTCAAATAAAAACAACAAACAAGTTTCCTTAATTACCCTTCATTTCAATTGGATCCCTCCAAAATTTCTTCCTGAACAATCAACAATCTCAATGTTAGAGGGTACATTCATTGAAATACATTATAAAAGACAGATTAGAAAATTTCATTTCTATGAGAATTCTTTCCAGAACTATAAGTTTATTTGTCAATGAAATTTTCAAAGGCTTAAAGCCCCAAAGGTTAATCATTATTTGTCTTGAATGAAAAAAGAAAGTGGATTAATTATGCATAATACATTATATTTCGATCAAGAACATTATGGCCCGAGGTTTATGTACGTCATATGATGCGTTTTGACGTTTTTTACAAACTTGATTTGTAAAAACACGTCAAAACGCGTCACATGACGCACAAAAACCAATGTTTGTCGACAAACCTCCTTTGTGAATTCGGGCCTATGTGTTTTTACTCAGAAATTTACCTGATAAGTTTTTGAATTTGTTTTAATTCTGACAGTAGTTCATTAATACCGATGGGAAATTGCCAAAATTACCAACACTGATGATTTTTAAACAGAAATATTTCCACACTGTTTATTTGATTGGTTTCCCTTACCTATTTTGGAAAAGTATTGCTGGATGGCGACCATATCCCACAAATGATAAATAGTGACTGTAAACAATAGTTAATTTGAAACACACTTGGATGGAAGGGATGGGGGTTCACATCCCCCAATTTAGAGGGAGGGGGTAGCATGTAGAAATATACCCCCCCCCCCATTTTTCGTTGTAATATTACTGGTTTTAATAGTAGTGAGCATTTCTCTTTAAAACAAGCTATTAAAAATCATGTTTGGAATGTCCTAAAATAAGTCAGATTTTTTAGATTAAAAAAAAAAAAATCCATCAAGCTATCAGAATGTCTGAGGGAGACAGAAGATAGTTGTCTTACCTGGATGGCGATATTGTCAGTGTAGGTCTCACCATCAAGACATGGTGCTGGCACATAGCGGACTGCATTAAGATTAAACATCTCATTGATGCCTGCGGTGTCTCCACTCATGTAGACTTGGTTTGTAGCCAGCAGCAATATATTGGCCTCTGTTCAAAAAGCAACATAAAACATTGCCAACTAAAGATTCCAAACTATTTCAACATTTGATAGATTTCTTAGATTGCAAGATCAAAACAATTCATCATAGGAACCAATAATTTGTTATGGATGGCAGTTACATGGCTCCACAGCGATTCCAGACTGAACAGATCTTTCCATTTGGGGTAATGTAATATTGTTTGGTCTGTCTTCTTATCAATACTAGGCACCAATTTATATAGTGCTTTTTCTACTTGATACACAGCACTTTGAGATGCCATCCATGACATGATTCAGTATTAGAGTTTAAACATATACCAAGTTACCAAGCAGTGACAATGTGGGTTCAATAAAATGCATATGGTATTAGAATAGATATATCTTCAAACTGTGTTCAAATTGTTTAACTGTTGGTGAGGGGGGAGCCGTTCCAGAGTTTGGTGAGACTGGGCTATAAAGAAGAAAATGAGATACTTACTGAGTGTTCCTTCCATACATGTGAGCCTAGGACCAACAGGACAACACAGAAGGTTATCTTGACAGTCGCTGTGATACCTGCATTCAATATCCACTTGATTGTCCACTGTGGGGTCTCCTTGGATAGGACATTCATCTAGGAGAGAAATCATTTTTAACAAAAATATAACGCAAACTGCGAAAAAAGGATGGGTGATGTATGGGTCATTCCATAAAGTTGGGGCAAAAAAATATGAGTGTTCATGTAACGTAGGTATGAGATCTTCTACTACAAACGAAAGATGAAATTATCTGTTGAAGATTTTTATGCATGAATGTATAGTAGTGCTCTGCCAGAATCGTTCCTGTTTCAGTTACTTTTCATCAAAATCTTTGCTTAATTCCCCTTTTCGTTTTTTACCAGCGTTACATGGATACCATGCATTAACTTTGGGTCCATTGAGCAAACATTGTTACAGTTGATAGAAGAGATAGTTTCTCACTTCTGGTATGTCACAAAAATTGCCTCAACTTTCTGGATGGACCCGTATATGGGTACTATACCACCTAAGGAAGGATGCTTGACAGTCTAGAAATGTGGTTGTGAAGAAGAATGGAAGAAATTAGTTGAAAGGATAGAGTTACTAATGAAGAAATACCGGAGAGATAGAAATGAAGATAGGGATCCGAGGAAAACAATCTCAAGACAGAAGAAAAACTGCATGGGAAACATCTTAGGGGGGGGGGAGCAATATGTGTATGCTTTGTGACGTACTGGAAGGGAAGATGAACGGGAGAAGGGCAGTAGGTATACCAAGAACGGAGATGGCTGGTGTCCAAACTTGAAGGCGACTTATGATATAGGGCAAAAGAAGATGGAGATGGGACTAACCAGAGTATGTGTGTGGAACCCCGCCTCCCAGGCAGAACACCCCAAAAAACGATCATGCATTGTGTGTACGATCTACTTATTGAGCTGAAAGCTAGAGAATGTAAAATGAAACGAGATGTATGATATTTTGCTATGGAAGATGATTTGTATTTTACCCGACTGCTAAGAAAGCAAGTATATGCTTTAACAATTAAAAAAATAGATCTAAACCCAAGCCATTACCAGATACCTATTTACACCTGGGTGGAGAGTGACAAATGTGGACTAATGTCTTACCAAAGGACATTAGTGTTAGGCTGGATTCAAACCCTAAACCCTAAGGTTTGAGAGTCGAGTGAATGAACCAAGTCGATCTGCTAGTGCCCGTCGGAGAGGACTTAAAGCCATCGGTCCCTTGATTGCTTACTTACAAACACCCACATGCTTTCTTGGCAGTCCGGTTAAGCAAACTAATCAATCAATAAGAACAGTTGTAGAAACGGTAATAGAAACTTACACATTGCCTTCTGACTGGTGTCTGGCTGTACGGAACCAATATCTGGTGTGACCGTCAATGATACCGTCTCATCCACATTGAATCTTCTTAAGACTGCTGTCTGGTTAATGCTCAGACTAGAGGACTCCGATACGCACATCTCCTGGGGACGAACGACCACTGGCATGTAAGGCATAATCCCACCTCTGATCTCAATGGTCACCAGAGTGCGTCGGAAGGGTTGAACTGTAACACATTAAGACCAACAAATGAAGAAAGGTCAGATGTCATTGTTTCACATAATAGACCGCTGTCCCTCTCTCTTTTTTCTCTTTCAATGATTTGTGCTTACTCCAGATTTAACTATATTAAGCATGCATTACATAATTAGACGGTAATCAGAGAAAGACTGAATACCATTTTGGGAAGTTTGGTAGAAGAAAAAAAAAGCATACATAGAAGGAATTTCTTGTGTGTTATTATCCTCACAGTATGATCATTGTGCTGTATAACATTCACATACTTGATAATGAGAATTATTTGCTAAACAAAGCAATAACAAAGCCTAATCTCATCCAACCTAGTTCTAGCCATCACAAATTTCAAAGCAGTGTATGGTTTGGTTACATTTGTGAAATCCCTAATAGCTAGTAGCCCTCACCATTCCCATAGAGCAGCTGAGAGGCAGTGGATGGCATCCTGTAGTCCACCATCACCACTGTCCCTCCATACAGGGGCTCAAATGGTGTGAAGCGTGCTGCTGCCAGTGCTTCAAGTACCATGGGAACAGGCCCAGCGATAGACAGGTAGGAGGAGATTCCTTCATGCTGCCCCATGTGATCGGAGTAGATGCGAAGGCCATCGGGGACCTTCATGGTGATGATGCCGTGTTCAGCGTACAGCTTGACATGGAGGATACCTGAGGGAAGTCATGAGGAAGAAATGAGAGGAGGAATCTTAGGATATGTAAGAGGGGTAATGATATACAGGGCTAAGCTCTAGAATTTTAAAAGAATTTTTTCAAGCTATGATCAATTGTAGGTGCCATTGACAAGAAAGGGTTCAGTGGAAATGTCGGGATAATGTGAGAGTTGTCATGGTCTGCAGTGGATTGAGATCTACTTCTACTTCTATGGTAATACTCATCAACGCCTGTTCAGCATCTAGATGAGGTAAACGCATAGTTGTAACGAGTTCCTAAAAAGGAACTAAATTGTTTCAAGAGCCACCTTGAACTGCTCCAAAGAAGGCAGTTCGACGATGATCTGAGGTAGCTCGTCCCAGTCCTTAAGTGTCCTGGGGAAATAACTAAATTTGTAAGTGTCCATTGAAGAGCCTAGTCTCTTATATCGTTGTTGTTGACTCCTCCTTGTAGTTCGCTCCCTCTGGACTTTAGATCAGCTGGTTCTGGTTGCTACACCAAGGAAGCCTGAAATCCCCCAAAATGTTTACTATGTAATGTTCAAAACCAAGATCAAGCAGCTAGACTTTACATGTATGAATGTTCATAGCAAATGCTATAGCAAATTCTTTACACAAAAATCATATCGCTTGCATACGGGAGAGTGTGCAGTGGTCTGTTGTCCTTACCTGGCACCACCGCTGCATCCTCTACTTCTAGATTGGAGGAGAGATTAAGAGGGTTGTCCACAGAGCCTTGTCTCATCATCAGTTGTCTTGGAGTCAGTTCAAAGGTCGGATGAGTAGAGGCAACATCAGCACACTGGTGCGTGGTGTTGACAGCCCATACGACCAGGGTATCCACAAGCTGAGAGGAGTTGGCTTTGTACATATCAACCTAGAGGAGTATGATGGGTCGGGTTTGAATATTTATGTTGTGATGGGATGATCAAAGATATTACACAAGAAGGTATTGTACTAGTACAAAGTGATGGATCCACTACTTCTTCTAAGCATCAATAATTATTTTTTGTAATGGTATCTACAAACTCACAGTCTTCCTTTATCATGAATGGTCACCTTTTTAATTGTATTACAACAAAAACATATAGTGAGCAGCAAAAATGTGATGTATTGCAGCAACACTGGTACAATGGAAGCCTCACAGTAACACTGCAATACTGTATATAGCACAGTATTTGCCAGATGCAATGTGTTCTAAAATTAATTTTTGTTCACTAGTATTTTCAATGTCAAGTGATAGCTGATTCCTAAAATATGGTATTTTCTGAAAATGATGAATCCAAAACTGAGACAAACTCAATCCTTTATGGCTCATCTTTCCTCTTATTCTAATGAAAGGTCTGTATATGTTTGATGGGGGGGGGGGGGGTCAATTAAATTGCACCCAATATCAAATATTATCTCTTCAATGGATTTCAGCACCAAGCAATGTCAGATACTGGTATAATAATAATTTCTGTAGTAATATCAAACACATCTTTACTGAAGGATACATTTGAAACACTTCCCCTAGGTTTACCTGCACAGTAACCAGACAGACATCCTGTACACCATCCTTGAAGGTCACCTTGATGTTGGTAAGCTCTTCATTGCACTGCTCTATGGTTTGACAACGAGTGTAATTCAGACCAGTCGAGGGAAATTCCACAGTTGCATACTACAAGAAAAACAAGATAACAACTCTAATTTAAACTACATTTGACAAAAAGCTTAATACAATGAGTTATCATCATTCTTTGAGTAAGAGCACTTTCAGGAAAAAAATTGAAGACATAGTTTCAGTAATTTCATGATGATTGAAGCAAGTTTGTGTGAGTCATGAAGAAAATAATTGGGACTAACCATCCAAATGACACTATCCCCTTAAACGATCTAATCAAGTAACCATTTCAAATATGAAATATAATAGTTTGAACATAAAATCACAACATGTATTGTTTATGAACAATTTCTTATAAATATACTTTTGGAGCGGGACTGCACTATTTGTAGCTACTTGCGCCCTCCACATAGCAAACCATGCCTAAGCGGTGCCTGTTGGTCCCCCATGAGGCCTAATATAAAAACTTGTTGTACTTTCTTATGTTAATTGAGAGCTGATTTGATGAGATAAACGCCTGTCAGTGACCATGCAGAGAGGTCTAATCCCTCCAGGCCAAACTAGTGCAGATAGGCTTTATTGAAAGCTCTCTCTGTCAGTAAAAGACCCATATTGATATGTTTAATGATTAGTACAATGCATGCCCCTGCATCATGAGAATCTACTCTATTCACACCCCAAAGTTAAGTCCATTCTTACGTTGGATTCCACAACAGTCAGGTTGACTGTGACATTCTCCCCCAGATGATACTGAGGAGATCTCAAGAGAACGGTATCGATGGTGACAGCACGAGAGTCCAATTTGAAGTACGTGAAATGATTACTGGAGGAGGAAAGAGAACACAGGATTGATTTACATGTATGGATATGGAACTCATTTCTATGTGTCAGGTTCTTTAAGCAGGACTGTACTACTTGTAGCTACTTGCGTCCTCTTTATAGCAAACAATGCCTTAGCGGTACCCGTTGGTCCCCCATGATCCTCTTTTTCTTATGTTAATTGAGAGCTGATTTTATGAGATAACCACCCATCAGTGACCTTGCAGAGAGGTCTAATTCCTCCTGGCTTAGCTAGTGCAGACAGGCTTTAAGCATTTTTTTGACAGGGAACTAGCAAGTGATACCTTCCCCTACAGATACATGTACATGTATATATCCAGTGTTAGATTAAAACAGATGAGGTAACCAAATGTAATGTCAAAGTGCAAGAGAAAGGAAATTGAACATCAACTTTTTTCAAGCCTCCAAATAAAGAATGATTATTTGAATATTCTCAACCCATCCAAACAAGCAAAACTGCTTGTATACCCCCAAAAAAGTGAGTAGCTAATTCCCCAAATTTATATATATTTTTGTCATCAGTTAATCAGCAAGAAAATTTCAAAGGCCGACATTAACAACGGAGTATGAGAAACATATATATGTATTCTATATATGAGGTCATTTATATGATATTCTTATCCCATGCATATGCCCCTTTTGCTATATGACAGTGCTTTACAATATTTTTTTTCTAAGAATTTCATATCAATTTCTCATGTGTGAATGAGATCGTATTCCTGGCAGGTCAGAGATGCTGGGACCCCACTCCCCCTTCTCATGAGCAATATTTATCACATACAGTAGAGTTCTATGTAAATCACATAAGCACCTTTTGCAATTCATTTCTTCTTTACAGATTATATACAAATGTGAATGCCTGGAAGTTCTTTATTCTCACGATGTAACGAGGCTCTTGGGGAGCTTTTCACTGGCGTTGACAGCGATTCTGGCAGACCACTCGCTCACAGACCGAGTACCTTTAGATTCCTGGCAAGTCAGAGGTGGTGGGACCTCCTGGACCCTCATCGTGACGGTACTGGTCCAGTTAGAACAAGGGGATGACAGCCACCAGGGGGGCATCACGCGGGGCCACCAGGACCAGTGGGTGGAGGGGAAGGGGTACCAGAATCGGGGGTACCTGGTGGGGGTAGAGAGAGAGCGTATTCAGAAGATGATTCCATCAGATTGTGACAGAAATAATGAATAAAATTACAAGCTTCTTCTACTATCACTACCACTACCCCACAACTACTACCACTAATACTTCTATTACTACTTTTAACTCAGATAGCCATTATACAGCCAGGTGGTCAGATATGTACAAGCACATTATGTATATACTTTCAAGGGGAAAATAGGCAAATTTAGATTAATGTAAGAATCTTTGGCAAGAAATTCCTTCAAATTCTCTGTAGAATGTCACCTTTAATGAACCAATATAAAACTATGAGTCCAAGTTTTGAACGAACTGTCAAATATGCTTAGAAGTATCAATCAGAAATTAAGATAGGAATACCTGTACCTGTTAGTAGACAGCCAATATGAAATAATTGTGATATAAACCATTTTTCTTTTTTACACCATTTCCTCCTGCAGAACTTACCACTGTGGCCAGATTGTAGGGTAGTGTGCATCCTCAGGAGGGGTCATGGGGTCATGATTCATCCAGCTCTTTGCTGGTACAGGCCAGGAAGGTGGAACAGGCCAGTTAGAACACCAGGGTACAAAGGTCAAAGTCGCTAGGACTTCATTGATACCCTCCAAAGATCCTGATTGCACATGAATACAAACAATTAATCATTTAATACTTCATGTATCTCTATGTTAAAGGATTTGTATTCCTATAACACAATAATCAACTTTAAAAAAAACTGTAAGAAATTTATATTTTCATAACTTTTTGCACAGTTGATTCTGATTAACTGGAGATAAGAAAACTGCAATCATAAGCAAGAAGGATACATCTACTGGCATACATATATATATTTCCAGGTGTAAGCTGATCAGCCGATACACTATCTTTGAATAAAGCCAAATATTTGTGACTTTCTCATCAGCATGAATTTGGAAAGACAAAGTTTCTTTTGTATCCATGATACAAGGTTTATGAGTCTACTGTTTAGTCTGTTCAGTAATGCTCTTATCTTTATGTTTTGACTAACTTATTTTCTCCTCAAGACTACTAAACAAAAATCATGGTTTCAATGGATGAATATCAAAACTGTAGTAAAAAGGAGACATAGTTAAAATAGTCTCATGGTCTATGAAAACTAATATGGTCCATGAAAACTAATATGACACAACATTTCTTTAAATGACACTCTCTCAATGTTTGTGGGTTGCTGTGAGAAAAATATCATAGCTCAAGAAAAAAAATAATCTGCCTTACTAAAAAGGAGTAAATGAGTCTTAATCATTTCTAGTTTTGTGCAAATGACCTCCAAACACTAAATAATACAGACAGAAACTAAAAAATAGACCAATACCAATGAATGTCAGCACTTTGGCCCCGTTGTTGTTTTCTTCCAGGTCAAAAGGTCGATTTCCAGACTTGAATGTACCAAAGCGCTGAAGGAGCTGATACACCTTATCAGGTGATATATCTTCAGTGTGAATTTCTTCTGTCTGTAATACACAAAACAAAAGTAAACAATAGATTATACAATGTACTTTACTTTGCTACCCACTTAACTGTGGGTTGTAAGTGTGCTACATGTAGATGTCACATGTATGCATGCTAGTTGATTCATGTAACATTTAAAAGGGCATTGCCTGATATATCATTTTGAAACAATTTCCCTAAAAAAAAAATTACTCCCCAATGCACGTGCTCAAGACTCATCATGAGTAGAATGCCTTTAAATATTTTCATTCGAAAAATATGTTTACTCCATCATACAAAATTCATAAAACTTGTTACCAATAACAAGTTACAGTACTACCATGTTTATATGCTACTGAAGTTGTGCCATTGGATAGGCTGAGAGCAAATTTGTCATAGAATTTTAGCATTTGTTATTGATCAAAGAGTTTTATGAAACAGGTCCCTGGGTAAATAAAGAATTAATAGTAATAGAACGATATGTCTTACAAGCGGTAAGAACACCACATCCTGTCTCAGATCTTGCCTGACCCACAGGAGGCCACCTTGGTCAAGACGAACGGTCACCATGTACGTCCCCTTGATGCCATCCCCATCCATCACTCTCAGATCGTGGAACACATAGGGTCTTCCTTGGCTGGTGGTCAGATTCACTGGAACGGACTGGCGAATTTTAGGTGTAGGTGTCTCAGGTCTGGAAATGAATAAAGTTGGTTATGGTACTTCAAATTATGGAAAACTTAATCAAAATGTTAAATACATGTAATTACTGCAAAACCAGAAACCTTCATGAAGAGAAAAACTTCCACAAGTGTTGATAACAACTACTCTCTAAGCAAGAAAACTTTGTAGCGAATGACAACTAGAAAATTGTCTTAATTCTTCTTTAGGACTCTGGACCACTCGCATATGTTTTGGACAGTTTCATGCATGCAAAATCCTAACCCTAAACCTAAACCTTGATTAAGACCCCCATTATAACCCTAACACTTAAACTAAACCTTGATTAAAACCCCATTATAACCCTAACCCAAAACCCAACCTAACTTTAAATTCTGTTATAACCCAGCCTAAACCTATTTACAACCCAATTGGAACCCTAACCATACCTTTGATGAAATTATGCCAGAGCAATTGTTGCCAGACGATATAAGTCAAAGCACCAGGTGTAACAACCCATGGAAGAAATGAATAATGAACCCTTCAGTTTTACTCACCTTACTTCTGAGACAACAGACTGAGGTTTCATGAAGATAGTATGGAGGGGATGGATGTGAATATTGAGTGGTTTCTTGAACATTGATGGATCATCTTCATTGTTAGGGTCAATGACATGGATGTCAAGGCAATGCTGGGCAGCAGACGAAGGAGCGGCTCTGAAAACAAAGTGACATATCAGAGGTCAACATCATGACAACACCACTGCCAAAGAAGAGAGAGTGCAGCTAGTGCACAAAAACAAACAAACACACACAGACAAACCGATCATCCTAAGGGCATATGATCTCAACCAACAGCAATTTTGTACTTACATGTACAAACTTAAAGTGATCTTCACAAAAAGATTTAAAGAAATTTAGTTAACTTATGGTCATGCAAACTTTATTAGAATCTTGAACATTTTTGTCCAAAGAAAATATCAAATAACATGGGAAGGAGATGAGCTGAAAAAAGAAGCAAGCCGATTAAGATCTGTGTTGATCCGTGTTGCGATCTTCGGATGCCTTAACAATATAAGAAAGATGATATTTCGCAGATCAACAATGGAAGAACAAACGTATTACTTGGATAGAACCTGAACTTACCTCAAGACCAAGTTTCCGACATCACTGGGGCTCAAGGACTTCAGATCTTCCAGGGTCAGCTGCTGATCGCCACTGAATATTTGCCAACCATCAGGTAGACTCAGGTGACAATGGCAACCTTCAAATAAAAGCAATTAGAGACAAACATTATGGATGATTTGACATTTTCTACAATTACAATTGCTCTGGGATTTGTTCTGTAAAAAGTGTGTAGTTAGAATTATGGTTGCAATTGAGTTTTAGGTCAGGTTTGGGTTAGGGTCATGGTTAGGTATATTAGTAGGTCCAGGGGTGAAGTAAGGTCTTCAATCAGGGTAGGAAATTGACTGCGAAGCAATGATGACAGGAGCATCATGTGTTGTACATGAAATATGTCAAATGACTAAATGGTTACTCCATTCTCTACAAATCAATTTCTGCTAATCAGTTCAACAAAGTTTTAAAAAAAGGTCTTTTATACATACACCAATTAAGAAAGTTAAGGCAAGAATATATGTGGGAAATAAGCATGAAAGTTTCTGTCAGTCAAGAAATTTAGACCTTATAAATAACGCTTTGCTTGGGAAATATTTGCTTATTTTTCTATATAACTATCACGAGTTTGTATGAGATATATTCCTAATAACTTGATGGAGTCACTGAGTTTGGACAGCATCAAACTTACCATCCTCCCTATCACAAGTCACATCCTTGGCACAGCTACAGAGGGCGATAGAGAGGTCGTTCCACTGCTCATCCTGGGCATCATCAATCTGGAAGTCCAGTTCAGTGTCACTGTCTTCAAGGCCAATGATGTGCGCAGCCCCATCAATGGATGGTGAGGCGCTTTTTGGTTGTACGTTAATGGTGACGGTGCTTGGCTCACTGCGACCTTGGTCATCTTCCACGTGGTACTGAAACATCATGATCCCGACATAGTCAGTGCCAGGCCTATGAGAAATCAATTGAATAAAACATAATACATCCATTTACATTGCACCTATGGCACAAATATACTGTCGTATGCTACTATGCTTCACAAAGTATTATATTATAACTCCAGTTTTGGTCGAGCTAACATGATGAATTAAGGGCTTAAGCAGTCAACATGTTCAAGGAATATTTTCTTCTTCCCAGGTACCCATCCATTTCTCTCACCTGGGTCTAGAGAGGCAAAATGCACATTCATGTCTTGCCAAGGAATGTTAAGCCGCGACAGGGATACAAACCATGTACCCTGTAATACACAGTCTACTGACTTATTCACTAGAACATGATACCTATGCACTTCTATGTTAACTACAGTCAAACCTGTCTGTAGCAACCACTAAGGGAAACAAAAAATGTGGTCTTTGTAGACTGGTGGTCACTAAAGCAGGTTTTACTGCATGTATGTACATAGGCAGCAGGAATAAAGATAATACACCAAAACAGATTATCTATTTAGGGAAATACATCTATGAACTTCAACTAAAAATTGGAGACTTAATTATTCTGAACTTACATAAACATGAAGTCTCCGGCCTGATCATTCAGGAGGACCACATCAACGCCTTCTTTTGGTGTTATGAAAAACCGCAAGCTGTCTGCCAACTCCTCATTTTCACGAGGACAAGCAGTCAGCTTACCAAAGAGGGCAAAGTTCTCATGGCTTTTGTAAGAAGCCGGTAACGCTTGAAGATTTTCAGAGGCTGAACTTGCTGTGATGGAAAAAATAAAAGAGGAAACAAAATTAACCCTATAAGGGCCAGGTTCTTTTAGTACTCTCTCAGCTGGAGAGGGGGGGGGGGGGGAGGGGGTTGCACCAAACCCACTAGAATACCATCATGGAGTGACAACAAACTTGGCAGATAGGATAACTTATAATGAATATGCCAATAAAGTTTCATATCTATATCTCCAACAATTTTTTAATCATAGCTGATCAATTATTTTTTAGATTCATTCTCCATTTTGAACAAAATATATGGGTACTGTCCATTTTGGATGTGTGCAGATCAGCATTGTTTTCAATGCTGCAGTAGGGCTACTGCACGATATCAAGTTTTAAAAAAATGGTATCCATGATAACATGCATGAGATTCAAGCCTATTTATAAGTCCTGAAATTAGGTCAGAGCCCACACACAAAAACAAAAAATCCTCAATCACATTGTGGCGTTTTTTTTTTGTTTTGTTTTTTTTTTGGGGGGGGGGGGAGGGGGAGGGCTGGGGGCGCAGCAAAGAAATTATAAAAATGTACCCAGTAATAAAACGATAAGTCTCAATGAGGCTTTTGAAGAAATGGTAAAGAAATGTCAATGAACTCTTCATTTTGATACTTGATAATTCGTTAACACACTTTTGTTTTGGCAAGAGGTAGTATTGATTGTATGCAAATTTATCAGCTGTTTATTTCATGTTGACAAATGGGTTCAATACACTGCTTTCATTTCATGTGCCGTGCCGATAAGTATTTGAGTACATGTCATTACTTGATCATAAAGAGCCCGATAAGCCGAGTTCATGAACAAGATAAGACAAGGATGTGGTGATTTCTTTATTTTTTCAAGTACCCACTCAGCAATAATTCTACAAACTCCTCTAATGTATTTGTACGATATGACATGATTTCAATGTTATTGACTTGGAAATGAACGACAATGACTCATACTGAAATCTGAACAATACTGATGATTAGCAAACATCTCCATTCAATTGCACTTTTGAAATTACTTGTAAACATAATACTTTGAGAGACTTTGAAAGTTTCACACCATTATTGGCCTAAAAAAAAGGATGTGTATTGCCCTTTGCGAATGACCCAAAAATCTTGAAATCTATGGTCGGCTTTTTAAAAATGTATTAAAGCATTCAAAACAGAGAAATATCAACCCAAAGAGGGAGGAAGAAGAAACGAAAAATATATGAAAATATATATTTCCGACCGACCGACCTATGTTTAGGCATCTAAAGGGCAATACTTTTTTTTAAGGACTTATGGTAAATAGTTACAAAAGACTTTATCCACCTAGATTCCTGAACAGAGTCAAAGGCATCACTTTTTTTTTTTTGGGGGGGGGAGCTTTAACCTTTGTGACAATTGGGGGGGGGGGATGATTTGGTTCAACTGTGAGAAGTTGCTCTCTCTGAAGTTTCTCTCTGTCGTCACTCTCTCTCTAGCTCTGACTCACTTCAACATCAAGTAATAATCAAAACCATTTGTATAGAGTAACCATCAATAAAACCTGTTATCAAATTTTGACAAAATCTGCATTCAAGAAACAAGTAATACAGCGATATGTTTCAGAACAACGATTTCAAAACAAAAGGCCATTTGCCAATTGCCAAAATGTCATACTTTACAAGTACATCAAAGGGATTTATATATTTTTTTCCATTACAGCTACAGTTGAGGACTTTTAAATGCTGACAAGATCTATACTGGCAGTTCATTTTTACTTTAGATACGTTATATATGTTTATATACTACAACATAGATGCCTAATATACTTTTAACTTGTTGAGTAACTTACAAATACATTCCAAGGCCGAGCAAACAGCTACACAAGCTGCTAAGAGAAGGATGACTCGCATCATGTTAGACAGCTCTCAAATACTACGAACTCACAAAATCATTACCGGTCCTCAATCAATCCAGTTGAAGAGTGAGTAGATTAACCAAAAACACAAAACAACCCTAGATCTACGACCTGTTAGATTACGCAGGTGTCAGCAAAGTTTTTTATATGTCATCAGAAGAGAAGGACATGTACCTGGAATTATATCTTTAACGGCCCGCACTGTCAACAGTCTTGAGAGTTATAAATCAATGTTAATGATCAAGCGGCATACAAGTTAAACATCATTAAGAGATGATCTTCAAAGGAAAGCAATGAGCTTTGATCGCAGAGTTATTTATGCAGATTTAGCATGATCAGGCCATCATGAGGCCTTGTTTTTGTTTCTGTTTTCCTTATAAAATATAGAATTTCCAGGATTTGCTGAGTCTGAACTGGCTAAAATGTCAAATTATTTCTCTACATACTCAACAGCTTTAATTATATAAACTTATTTTGGCATAGATTTAAGTTGTACACATTCTTGGAACCAGGATGATGTAATAGTGCAATTACACATGTAGAAAAAAAAGGGGGAATTAATATTGAGTATAAAATGGAAGGGGGGAGGGGAGGAAAGCAGAGAAGGGTAAAGTAGCCTTATCATTATTATTAAAGTGAGAGTGAGAGAGAGAGAGAGAGAGAGAGAGAGAGAGAGAGAGAGAGAGAAAGAGAGAGAAAGGGAAAGAGAGAGAGTGAGAGAGAAAGGGAAAGGGAGAGAGAGAGAGAGAGAGAGAGAGAAAGAGTGAGAGAGAAAGGGAAAGAGAGAGAGTGAAAGAGAAAGAGAAAGGGAAAGAGAGAGAGAGAGAGAGAGAGAGAGAGAGGGGGAGAGAGTGAGAGAGAAAGGGAGAGAGAGAGAGAAGAGAAGAAATATTAGATTGTATTCTGTATCTGCAACCAAATTTTAACTGTAGGCCTTATCTATCCAATAAAAAACAAATCAATATTGAATATCATTTTTTATAAAACAGTAAATAAAAACAAAACGCAAATATTTCAGGAAATAACCCCCCCCCCCCTCTTTCTGGTGGAAATACCCCTTTTCTCCCACAACCAAGGTACGTGCACTGTCAAGCTCATAGGACTAGAAACAGGATTAACTTTTTAGCAACTAAAGCCATAATTATCATCCAGTGGTGATCATATATCAGGAAGTTATCACACTGTTCTGACCACTACATGTTTTGTTGTTGTTATTATTTTGCTTTCAATTGATTTGTTTCACATCCACTAGTGAGTAAAATTATGTACATGTAGGTCAAAAATGGGGGGTGCCCTTCACATATTTCACTTATGAAACTGACCTGATTGCCTTCTGATATTAAAGGTATTACAAAGTTTTGGGAAATTTTGAAAAATGGGTGGATAGTGATTCTTTACAATTTGATATACCAGTATTTGGATGCCCCTGTGGATGTATTAAAGAGAAGGTTGAGTTCTGGGAAGAGGTTAAAAATAATTTGTGGGCGTCATCATTCTTATTATGCAAGTGTGGAAGAGCATCAGATAAGAGATGTTCCCTGAAAAGCATGGCTCTTCAAATGCCTTTATATTCTAAATATGTCATATAACATCGTAAAACTCGGGGGGGGGGGGGGTAGGATTTTTATGCCACGTGTTCGTCTAGTCCCATATACATCTTTCTGTGTACAGTGTTTGTAACTTTACTAAGACTTGGCCAAATTTCTTATCATTTTGATGATTCCAGAACCTTGCAATACATACAAAGTCTTATATGCTAGATGATCAACCTTTTCTGGTCAATTCCACAACGTTTCTTTCACAATGCAATCGCATGACCAGAACTCAACTTCATCTTTAAAAACACTAGAATCTTTAGCCCCTAAAACACTTCTGCTTTTGAGAAAAATTGAATATAAAGATTTACCGGTGCTCCCGGGAAATTTTGATAAATTTCAAATAGCTCCTACAGCCGTCCAATGGTAGCTGCAACCATGAAATTCTCAGAATATGTACTTGTGGTATATAATTTCTGAACGGGAATAGCTAATCGGTCGATTTTAGTCACGAAACATTGTTTTATAGTTCAATTAATATCTTGACCTTGAGAGGGATCTATATAACATATTGTGTTTATTATTTACAATTTCATAACTTTAGAGTTGATTTTGACCGCGACAACGATCAGTGAATATATTGTAGGATCGCATATGCTTCCAATATATTCATTTGAACCAAATTCACGACCCCATACCAAAACTTTGTATTACCTTTAACACACACATTGTTTCTTTATTTGTTTAATTCTAGTATCTACTGATTCATAACTTTTTTATGTTGTTATTTCAACTGATGAAGCCATATGAAACCAAGTAAGTAGCCCAGAGATGCCAACCTCTCAACAACAAAAAACAGACTGAATATCCTAAAACTCAGATTTTGGAGAGAAAAAACAGATTTTCACAAAAACTTGACACTACCACTGGCGCCCTTTGGCCCCGGGCTAGTGAAAATTCTGAAAATTTACTGGTAAGAACGGTCAAGTCAAATGTTTGCTCTTTCATTAAGATATAATGAGAAAATTGTAAAGCAAAGTTTTTGGGGGTTGCAGGGGTTTACTTGTACATGTTTCTATGCGATTCTGCTTTTTTTTATGTTTTTTAAGTTTGTTTTTTTAAGATTAAAAAAAAATCAAAAAATAAATAAATCAACATAAAAAAATAAAATAAAAAAAATAATCCTATTTTAAGAGGTAACATCATATTATCGTATTTTACTCTTTTCATCGTACTAAATAGGACTGAATTGTACTGGTTTGCATCTCTGGTAGCTCCATTTACACATCCCAAACATATTTTGAAAAATCATAGATTTTTTTAAAACTATCATTTACACTACTGGAAAAACCCATAAGAAATGTTGTAGTTGTTGTTGTTTGGTATTATCGGCGTTTCATTTTTTTTGTGGTACTATTTGTAAATTCATACTCTACTCTTTGAAGTTTGAAGTTTGCTTATATTCCGATTTTGGGGTGAGCAGTGCACATGTGCACAGAAGCGAGGAAAGTCATGTGAGCAAAATTATGTGAAACTTTGGCAGGTGTTAACAAAAAACACACTCCAGAAGTGGATATTCGCTGTGTATGCCAGTGTGTGAGAACAATCAATGATTTTTGGTTGCAGTGTACATAAATGCAGCTCAGTGTTGGATTCTCTAATACTCTGCAGGAGGGGGAAAACAGGGCTGGGCAAAGATGTCACAAAAGTGCATAAGTACCAACAAGCAAGTTAGCAAGCAATGAATAAATACATCAATAAATAAATGAATGAATACATGAATGAATAAATAAACAAACAAATAAAATTAAATATACATACATGTACATAAATAAATAAATGCATAAATAAATAAATGCATGTACATAAATGAATAAATATATAAATGCATGTACATAAATAATATTACTAAGGTGATTGCACAACTAAGTCGCTTCGACAACTAATGGTCAGTATATTCTCATCCTTCATTACTCAGTTAATGACTCACAGATTACAGCAATAACAAACTTTATGGGAAAGCCTGCCAGACCGACCTAGAAGCAAGGATTCTGCTTCAGACAACGTCTGATAAACCTTGGTATTGCTTTTGTACTGCTCCTTGTTTCCCTTCTTTTTGAACTTGTACGTCGTGTTGGTTATTTCCTCCATCTTTAATAACTGTACTTCGCTCGGTCCCCGTAGTCGTGTCGTGTCGTGTATCTAGTGTCTGACAAAGCTAGAATGGCTACCACGCCCATTTTCCTCTCTTATTATGCCTTTCTGAACATTCCTTTCCTTCTCAATACAATAACTTTCACCTGCCTAAGTTATTCAAACCATCCCGCTTCGCGGGATCGTGGCGTCTCGCCACTCCCATTAGTAATCATTAAACGGATCCGCATATACATTTTCCTGCTATACGTTGTACCGCAGGAAAATACAATTATTTTCCCACTATATTAAAAGCCATTTTCAAGCCCTTCTGTTTTGAGGGAAGTTCTAAATTAGTATTGTCTTTCAAATGCTGTTGGAAACTTGGAATATAACCTTTTCATTGTTTTGGCCTGCAAATGGGACAAACTACCTTTAATGTTCATTCAGTGTTAATTCAGCTAGGGATATCCCTAGTTAAACAGTGGTGCATTAATTTTTTCAGGTAGCATGTACATGTACATATAACAAAAGTAATTAATATATTACCAAACCAGACAGAACCGGTTTGAACATCTGCAAAGCCAGACCTGTAGGCGGAGTGGTAAACTCACTATGAATATGGCGAACAAAGAAAGCGGACAAAATATACAGTTCCTCAGGTAGACAAAGGAACATCCCTTCACTGCTATTATGTTAAAATGTGTAGAACAGGTGTCACATGCATATTCACCTGTTCTACACATATTTTTACATAACAGCAGTGAAGGGATGTTCCTTTGTCTACCTGAGGAACTGTATATTTTGTACGCTTTCTTTGTCCGTCATATTCATAGTGACTACTACGCAAGGGAAATTAGGTCTCCCTAGCCATTTTGAAGATGGGAAAGCAATATACATAAACATGTATAAATCAATTGTAAAACGTTATTATACACATGCAAAAGTAATTAAGGTACAATTTTAGCAAAGGTTAAAAATCTTGACATTTGTTCACGTACCAGCATTTGCTCTTTTGTAAATATTTATTTTTCTTGATTTGTTTCATAAGCTTCTTCTATAATGTTAAACCGGTTTTTACTGGCTTTGAAATTGAGTCCAAAATTCTATTAGTCTAGACTAGAGTAGACCAAAATGTCTGTCTCTTTTGTTCGTTAGCATCTCTTATTCGGGTAGGGTCGGCTCCTCACGATCGTACCAGTAAAGTTAGCACAGCTCACAGTAGACCGAAAGCTTCAGTCTCTGTACCGTCGGTTGTTCCACTGGGACTACGTCTGGCTCCACTAGACCTCCGGTTATAGAGACTGAACGATCGCCTATGCCAGCCTATGTTGAAGATATCACGGCTAGATTTTAGCCGTTAGGCCCCTCCCACAAACATGAACAAACTTGCCACGGCCGTATTGTTATGCCCCCAAAATCCCCCAAAATGTCATTTTACCTCGTGCATATCCAATTTTACATTAGGCCTAGGCTATAATACATCGGTTCCACTTACTAACTTGATTGAAATAATCCGTTTAATGGTCCCTTTTAAGGAAATTATGGGTCAAAATCGACATCCATGTTGAAAATCTTGCAAGCCGTGTTAAACTCTCGCTGCCGTCAATCTCATCCCTTCTAGTCTACGCCGAAGGCAAAAATGATTATGAAGGAAAAACTGTGATATCGCCATTACGAACGTGTAGATGGCGCACAGTTTTTCCTTCATAATCATTTTGCCTTCGGCGTAGACTAGAAGGGATGAGATTGACGGCAGTGAGAGTTTAACACGGCTTGCAAGATTTTCAACATGGATGTCGATTTTGACCCATAATTTCCTTAAAAGGGACCATTAAACGGATTATTTCAATCAAGTTAGTAAGTGGAACCGTTGTATTATAGCCTAGGCCTAATGTAAAATTGGATATGCACGAGGTAAAATGACATTTTGGGGGATTTTGGGGGCATAACAATACGGCCGTGGCAAGTTTGTTCATGTTTGTGGGAGGGGCCTAACGGCTAAAATCTAGCCGTGATATCTTCAACATAGGCTGGCATAGGCGATCGTTCAGTCTCTATAACCGGAGGTCTAGTGGAGCCAGACGTAGTCTCAGTGGAACAACCGACGGTATAGAGACTGAAGCTTTCGGTCTAAGCTCACAGCAGACCCTATAGCAGAGCTACTCAGCTACCAAAGTGTCACGCATTAAGAGTGACGTCACGCATTTCGAGGGTTTGAAAACGCTCTCACGCACAATGTGCGTGCGCGATTTTGAAAAAACGCTATTCGCTATACGTGTGTTATACCCTCGTCAGTACTGTGGCGGACACGGTTTGCTACCCCGGCTTACACGGTATTTGTCAGGATGCCCGTGTCTGGCCAGGCGCCCTCTGTCCGTTTGGACAAAATATATGCCCGTAGCTTAATGGCTGGAGTTATTTACTGCTCACACGTCTCTCGACAATCATTCGTCCATCGACTGCAATCGGTCACCTAAAAACGCCTTGAGCACATCATCAATCAATTGAACATCCCTCGAGCAGTCAATCATGCTTCGTCAATACCTGTCACTTCTTCTCATCCATTCGTCTAACTACGGTTTCACTGTTCTAAGAAATCAGACCAATCATGAGTTGCATGTTGAATTCTTTTAATGCGAACTAACCAACATTCAGGGTAAACTCGTTCAACAAGTACAAGTGTGGACTAGAAGTAAGACTTCAAGTAAAGACTAAGACCAGCGCCAACTACAAGTATAGGCCAGCCTCACCGAGGCTGGCCTGTATCGGATATAGTGCAGTGGAAAGTCCTATTACACAATCCTAGCCATCTAAAAAATTTCCCTATACATAACCGTATAAAAGAACAATTATGTCCTCGTTAGTAAAACAACACTTCAACACAACATTTCTACTAATCCCATAAAATCTTCACATATAATCTTCAGTATAACCCCTTATTCCTGATTAGATCACTACTATACAAGTAATATCCCCAAAAGAAACATGATAATTGCACCAACATGATAAAAATATGTAATTTATGCTCATTTTCCTTCAGTTTGGTAATTGCTAAATCAACGATGCACCATATTGCTATAGCGCATGCTCGTACAACAGAAAATGCTTAACCTTCGTCCAATACTAAAACACTGATTTGTTACAGTACGCTCGCACACCGAGTCATGAAAATTTGATGCATAGCCGATCATAAGAGGTTAACGAACGAAAACAGCATTTTCGGTCTTGAGTAACGCGTCTAGAGTAGCTAGTACTAGTAGTAGAGGCCGGGCCAGGGTCTATATTCTTTTTTGTTCCAGACACTTTTCTAAATTACATTTTACTTAAATTAAGTATTTAACCTACCATTCTCAACTTTGGAGTTTCAACTTTCAACTCCAGTCCAGAGATCAGTTGTGTTTTTGGTAGTGGTACATGTAGCATTCTGCAGTAAGCTTGCATGATCAGCTTGTTCAAGCTAGGGCAAGAGTTCCACATGGACCCCACAGCATGCATCCTTTGATCACCATTCATATTCATGAACCAAAGTTAACATTCAGCATCATTTTCCCCACAACACATGCACAGTTGTTTGTTATGGTTTTTCAACTTTTGCTGCAACTAGTCTTTAACGAGGTCGTTTAATAATGAAAGTGAGACGTGTCGTGCTCCGGACTGCGCATTTGTTAAATCGCACTGAGAGGAAATGCCTTAAAAGAGACTATTTATAACATGTGGACGGACGCCCGACGTAAAATGCCTAAAAAATTAATAAGGGTCATAAATGATCGAGAGAAACTTCCATATTCGCCGCAAATTGAATTCTGGGATGCATCTAGAAAGAAATGATGTGAGACAAAGCTTTTTTCTGAACATTTATTGAAACAACTCACGAGATCGAAAGACGTAGACTAGATCTAGATTGAATTCCATAACATGGCTTCAGCAGTTCGCATCACCAAGCTCTACAATCGCATCCTCGGACACTTCCCCCGTGAGATTTCGTTAGCGTTCGCCTACGGTTCTGGGGCTTTCAAGCAGCTTGGAAATGATAACAAGGTAGACGTAGATCTGTTCGTTTTGTATTGATGATAGTGACGATGACCATGATGATAATGATGATGATGATGATGATGATGATGATGATGATGATGATGAAGATGATGAAGATGATGAAGATGATGATGATGATGATGATGATGATGATGATGATAATGATGAAGAAAATGATGATGATGATGATGACGACAGTATGACGACGATGATTCATTTGAACACTTATATTGTGACATAAACTGTAGATTAAAATAGACTAGTCTAGACCCTATAACTATTTATTGGATATATAATAACAATTAATAATGATAGTTGATTGGCCTACATATATTATTATTATTGTAATAATAATTATGATAATAATAATAGTAATTGTTCTGAAAATAAGTATTATACTATGATATATTGATAATATTAATTATAATATCATCATCTTTTTTTATATAAATTGAGCTACAATCCTTCTTTTTGTACCTTGTAACGATGGCTGTTGCCCTGTCCCCAATTCTATGGATGTGTACAAAAAATCCATTGCTCATCCATTCCTTTATAACATTTATCTCAGATTGATTATAACTACATTTAAAATTAAAGAATCAATTTGTAAAAATTGTAAACCGAGAATCATTTTGTGACTTTTCTTCTTTCCCAGGATAACATGCTTGACTTCATCTTTGTGGTGGACAACCCTGAGGAATGGCATCGGAAAAACATCCAGGAGAATAGAAAGCACTATTCTTCATTAGCAGCCCTGGGACCACACGGGATTGCATCCATCCAGGATAGACTAGGGGCTGGTGTCTACTTCAACACTCTTGTTGAATGTGAAAAAAGGGTAGGATATTGCTAATTGGCAAGTCTTTTTCAAACAGGTTTAGGTAGTCCAGTGGCAACATTGTAATAGGAAGTTGATTTAAAATAATAAATCTAGACAGGAATGATATATTTTAAAACTGTGCAGCGACATAAAAGTAGCCCAGCTTAATATTGTTATTATTACCCCCCCCCCCTCACTTTTTTCTCTCTCTCATTCTCTATCTCTCTCTCTTTCATATCTCATTGAAAGTATGATATGTCAAAGCTATTTTGTTTGGTTGTGTTTGGAAATGTATTACCATCCATTTTTATTGTAGCATTTGCTGTTCTAATTTTTAAATACTTTCTCATACCTGTACTTTTTCTTTGTTGTATCCTTTATGTACAGTATCTATTTATGTGTGAAGTAAACTTTTACATTTGCCAGGAGGGATAGTGTGTAAATTATTATCATTATTGTATTTTAATGTATATTATAGCTCATCAAGTATGGTGTGGTGAAGACTGATACCCTCGTACAAGAGCTGATCAACTGGAATAATCTCTATCTGAGTGGAAGGCTTCATAAACCAGTAAGATCACAATTATCACATCAACTGTAAAATTCTGTTTAGATGGCTGTTTATCACAGACTAGTAAGTTTTAGGGAGTAGATTGATTCATTAGACAAGTTCAGAAACTAGAATAAAATGTAAAGTACAGAATTCTAGGTTCTGCTTGTTACATGTCAATGTGCCACATACTTAGCCTACACAAAATTATGATATGGTATTGTTTTAATAGGAATTTTTATTTTTTCTTCAAAAGTACTGTACTTTAACTGCATTCATGATTACCAGAATATATCATCATTAATTGTTCTATTCAACTGATTAACAGCAAAAGCAATATTTTTTGGAAGATGAAATTCCAAAATACAGCTAAAATCAGAATGTAATACTACCGTGCTACTAGTCAACATTTTTCAAGTATTTGGACATTTCTTCATAGATTCTACCTTCATCCAATTTATTCATTTTCTTTTTATTGACATGGTATTCAATAGAGACTTTTAAATAACTTTCATCAACCAGTTACATGTAGATTGAACCCATAGATTTTTTCTCACTTTTACTATTTACTGCTTTATGTTTCTCACTGTTGCATAGGTTCATGTAATAAAAAGAATGCAAAATGGTGCCCTCTACAATGCTATGCGTAGGAATCAACAGAGTGCTGTTTACACGAGTCTGCTACTCTTACCAGAACGCTTTTCAGAAGAAGAACTCTTCATCTCAATAGCTGGATTATCATACTCTGGTATGTCCCCATCTTCTTTTTAATATTATTGGTATGGAGACAATGTTTTGATTCTGCTATTTCCTTTTACTTGTGCATATCAGGAATTTGCTTTATAGCCTTTAATGCAGAATTTTGTGTGATTACTATGATATGTGATAGACTGTTTCTGGACAACTATCCCCTTGGACAATAATACTATCCTCCTTCTCAACAACTAACAAACAGGTACATGTACCATCTTTCAAGGAAAATTCTTCCCTTAAGATGACAGTAGAGAATTATTACCCTTAATTTGAATACAAACCCCCAAAACAGAGGGTAGTTGTCTTGTCATAGTTACGAGAATCATTTGGAGATTTATTTATTTTGAAATACTTTTCTGTATTAATTTTTCATCTAGTCACTTTGGACTGATTTGATGATGTGGCTTAGGCTATGTCATTTAATCCAACCCATTCTGTCTATTTTGTTTATATTGTATATCTTCTTAAAATGAAGAAATCATATAAAAATAGAAATTATCATGGTTATTTGTAATATATGGTTTCCTTTGTTTTTAGTGAACCTCTGTGGGAGTTTAATAAGAATATATTTATGAGCTTTTTCTGTATTGTTGCCTCTCTCATTCCAGGAGACTTCAGAATGGTTGTTGGTGAAAACAAGAACAAGGTGGCGAACATCGTGAGGCCTAATCTAAAATCATTTAGGAAGTATTATCATGATATGATGGATACAACTGAGAACACCCAGTGGAACAAGCAAAGTGGCATAATAGAAGTAAGCATAATTAACCCTTTGCTGACAGAAATGTGTGGGCCATGGGAATAAGAAAATTCAGTTGTCAACAGATTTCTTGAGCTGTTTTATAATAAACCAGAGACAAATGCAGATGAGGTAATTACATCCAGAGATATTTTTATCTCTGCACTACTTATAGCTACTTGCGCCCTCTATATAGCAAACAATGCCTAATCGTTGATCATTGGTCCTCCATGATCCCCTTTATCTTACGTTAATTGAGAGCTTATTTGATGAGATAACCACCTGTCAGTGACCATGCAGGGAGGTCTAATCCCTCCTGGCCAAACTAGTATGGTGAAAGTCAACATACCATTATTATCATTATCATCATTTCATATCATTTCTTTTTCATCCGTGTTTTTCAAAACCTACCAGCAAGATTGCAGTCCAGCAGCCCTGTTCTCCCACATGTGCGCATTGCCGAAGAACCTACAGCATCAGATCTGTCGGTTGGTAGGATCAAAGACGGAAGATCATGTAGATGTACTAAGGAGGTTAGCCAGAGATAAGGCATGCAAGGAGTACGTCCACAAAGGTGAATTTAGATACGAAGACCCAGGGGGTTAGAGGGGTTGGAATATATGACACATGCTCAGGCAACAATTGCTCTTTACTCATTATCCTATACTTTCATAATTCTTAACTTTAACCATTATTGTCTAACCCTATCCTGGTACCTCAGTCACACTGCCAAACTGACTCAAACTGATTACAAAGAGATCAGTCCTTATCCATTTGATGCAATGTTTTGTTTTGTTCATTCTATTGTCAGTCTGGTGCCTGTCTGGTCAGTGTGGCTGGGGTATACCCTTGATTAAACCTGAGATAAAAGACAGTTGCAACCTTCACCTTATCCCTTAACAGAGCGAATGTTAGAGCATCAAGGTTTGCCCTAAGGGTGCAAAAGAATGGGCAATTATTAGAAAAATGATGTTTGTTGGCAATGATAGAAACAAGAATGGAAGACGGCCAAATGAGATAATAAAAGTATTTCAGTACTACTCGAGGAGCATTTTTCCTCAAGACAGGAAAATACACAATGTTACTCCTCTACTCTTTAAATCTTTACCTGTTAAAAATGAATGTATTGAATTGATGCTTTCTGTAAATCGTTCCATTATAGATGAGCATACACTCTAGTATTAAAGGCTCATACCAGAAGTGACTATCTTAGAATATTTGAAGACTGGTGCCTTATTTTGTGGAGATGATAAGTTTGGTGGTGATTTAGTGAACATCTCACTTTCTTTCTTCTCACCCTTATAGGTTTATGTATAAAGGCATTTGGTCTGATTTTGGTTAAATATGTTAGTGCTTTCCTTGATCGCCAATGTATGGAACAGACAAGGCACCTAGCAAGCCAGTTTTCTACCATGTTGCTAATCAATGAAATTAATTAACCTTTGTGATGGACAATGATTTCATTTTTACCCAGGTGTGCAGAGGATAGTTGCTACCTCAAGTCTTTCACAAAGCATAAAGGGAATATTTACTGCAGGTAAACAATTTGGTGTAATACATTGAAGCAAGAAATTGCAGTTCAGTGTACTTTAAAGTAGTATCTTTAGCAACGCATTTGGAAGAAACATGGAGCCCAAATCATGTAAATCAATGCAGTTTTGTTTATCATAAAAGTAGACAGCAGTGTTGCTGTGGTATACTGTGACACATGCCATCATCTTCATCATTTTTTAAAGTCAGCATTTTCTCTCTTACGAGGGGTTACAGACTTTCGCACCATAACGACACTCCCACCCTTCCACTTCTTCTTGTCTTGAAGATCCTCCTCATTCAGATCAACTTAGTGCTTTCTTTCTTCACCATATCTTACTATAAAATCTTTGGTCTTTCTTTCACTCTTATGCCATCCACTTCCAGATCCCACACTCTTTTCACAGGTTCATCATCTTCCCTTCTCAACACAAGACCCATCCATCTCTATCCACTTCTCTTTAGCACTTTTACCACAGTTTCTTCCAAATGTACAGCATTTGAATATACTCTAATCTTTAGTTAAGAGCAGTACAGTAGGAGTGTTCTATAACATTCAAAAGGGTAGTATACTTTCTTTCTTTTTGTTGTTGAGAATTTCAAATGTCATTTAGTTTCTTCCAATCAACCCCAAAAAATATATTCTATTTCTGCTTCAGGCTATTTTCATATTTTCAAGAAAAGAATCGTTAGGAAAGAAGAAGAAAAAAAATATCTGTAAAGGAGAAAATGCAGCATCCCAGCCCATGTGTATTTTAGTTGCTTTATATGTTGATGCTTTTTTTTTACTTTGATTTCATTTTAATATTCACTATTGTTTTGTTTTGTTTTGTTTTTTGTCTGTCTTTATCAATGTACGAATACAGGATTTTCGAAGACTGTGACGTACAGCAAACAAAAACTCATGAAACAGTGGCAAGGAGGTCCAAAGAAGAGGTGACAGTCAGCTGATGCATATCATTAATCTCAGAGGATAGAATATCCTTTTCCTTCATAATTCTTCCAGTTTTCTAGAAGCTCTATGAAGGCTCGTTCACATGGCATAGGGTAAACTACCTCCAAAGGTAAAATCCTGCTGCAAAATCAGACCATGTTTTATGTAAATAAATGGAAGAGGGACTGAAAAATAAACTAAGTGCATGCAACTAAGGTCCCTAAAGCAAACTCACTTGATACCTGTGTGGTATGAGATGCAGAAAATGTGAAGCGTACTACTGTTAAGTGATTTTATATTGCCTCAACATGTTTCTTTTGACTGGTTTTACTGTGCTATATGTGCAATGAGGCTCGATGCAGCAGATTGTGTGGTTCATTCGATACATGGATATATGTGCAATGGAATGAATTATCTGAAAGACGATGCTGGCATTGTCAAGAAGAAAAAATTGTTAAACACATTTTTTGTTTGTTTAAGAGACACAAAACGTTCATGTGGTCTGTTCAATATTTACTCTAGCACGAACTCTATTTAGCTTTGTTTGACTAATGGAACAATGGACTGCCACGGTCAATGTTCCATATACTCCTAAGGATGTGGCAGTCTTGGATTTTATGAATCGTGAAAAAAGAGTTTGACATCTTTTTTCGTAAATTTTAGATTAGAAAAGGATTTTTCAATCTGGGCACAAACAGTTTCTTGTTATTGTGGAGAAATTCAGATTGATAATTATATATGATTGTTCCAAAGAAAAGAATGATTGGGCTACATAAATTTGTAAAGTGATATTCTTGTTCATGAGATGATTAGAACATAAAAATGCAGGTTGGTCCTACATGTGAAAATGGGAGTCATTTCATTTCTTGATATGTGATATACATGTATATGCATGGATGCATTGTAATTGGTCTTTTCCTGCTGAAGTATTGTTGTGAGGACATCCTGAAACCAAATCTTTCAAAGTGATCCACCTGAGCGACTTTTGTGATCATGGTTGAATTTCTAAGAAGTGCAATGGCAACCATTTACCAACAAGCTGCTTTGATTTGTTTGTAATTGCACCATTATTGTTATGCCTCCGTCCACCAAAGTTGGTGTTAGAGGCATTGTGTTTGACCGTCTATCTGGTTTTCCTGCTTTCTTATTACATCATATCTGAAGAATCACTTGAGTTATAAACTTGGTGATAGTATGTATCACCGTAGGAAGACATTGTAATTAGATTTTGGAGTGAGTAGGTCAAAGGCCAGAGGTCATAGAGGTCAATTTTATGAAAATACAGATTTTAGTCTCATTGGGATATTCCAAGAATAATTCAAGCTATGATCTTAATTAAATATAGGCGGAGGCATATTGGAGATGATTGCATTTGAGAATAATTTTAGAATATAAGTGATTTACAAGTGAATTTAATCTGGTACCATATGTACTGTTGGAGTAATTTCTTTCTTGGGTATTTGGTATGTATGCATGGATGCTTTGCGACTGTTTTTATCACTCCTAAAGTGTGCCTATGATGAATAACTATGGCATGCAGAAGTCCTCTTAAGCCATACCTTTCCAAACAATCTCGTTGACCACCTTCTTAATTTTGATATGGTTGAATTTTTCAAGAAGAGGGGAGATATCCACGAATAGGCAATAGTTATGTAGCTGTTCCTCATCTATGCTTTTTTAAATTTCCATTGACAGATTATACATGCACACAACTATTTCTGTTGTATCAGTGATAGGAAAGATAATGATGACAGCAACAGTAATGATGATAATGATGAGATAATGTTGTTTTAACAATAATTCTACAGGTATGTGAGAAACGTGTTTAACGTGCAAAAAAATGTTGATGTATGTATTATGAGAATGGGCTCTTGGCTCTCAAGGGGAATTTGACACTATTATGTATGTTTACCCAATGACAGGTGTCAATCACCAGGATTAGCCTTCACTTGATGACCGACATGCCTTTTGAATGTTCCTTATTTTCAAAAGTTCCACCAATTAGCCTGTATGGAACAGTCATTCTCTTACATTTCCCTTACCAATGATTCTCAGAGATATTGGAGGGCATTTCTTGATGAGACTACAGGTTTGCTGTGTGCGAGACTTGTACAACCCAGTAATGGTATTTCCACCAAGTCTGGTGTTGGCTTGGAAACTGATGACCATTTCCCTTAAGCCATTTGCTTCACTGTGGGTTTTCATAATGAAACCTTGCTAAATCTGTCATATTTGCCAAGAAACATGTTGCGTATATTTCATTTAATGAAAAAAATAAAGACTCTATATTAAAAGAAAAGTTGTAAATTTGTTGTTTTATTCATTTGATTAGTGGAAAAAGAAAAATGTATTACACATTATTTTATTAGCACATTTTCACGTAAGAGTCTTGTACAGTACAAATTGGCAATGGTATATTTTATACAAAAGGAGAAGTATAAAACAACACCTCTTTTCCCAAAGTTAGTCTATTCTTTCTTGTGAATTTCAATTTCACTTACAACAGTTTGGGTAAAAATAAAATTCAGGTAAAATAATTACATGGTACATGCACAGAAATTGATATCCTAAAACTGAACAATGGTTCAATGAAATAAATAGTTCATGTGTGTACAAATTTGATGGTGGGTTGGACACATACTAAGAATTAAATGAATACAAATTACATGATTTTAAAAGCCCCTTAAAATACCCACCCCCCCCCCCCCCCCCCCAATGAAATATATTGTTTCCACTTGAGTATTCAAAATGATAATTTTTAAAGATACATGTATATTGCTTCTGTAAAAAAGAAATTATGATACATAAAATAATATGGTACAACGAAATTCAATATGTCATCTTTCAAAATCAACCTACAAAAATGTAGTAAATTAATTTCATCATTCAATAAACAATTTTACTGACATATTCACATTTAAAGTATAATTTTTTAAACAAAGGTTGTTCTTGTCAACTGGGAAGCTTGCTTGAGGCTTTTCTGACATAGCAACAAGTAATATGCGCAGACTGGACTCAAAGTATTGTAGTTCATTCCTTAAACACAGGTTAATGGAATAACCCCTCACTAGATCCCAAAGAAAGAAACATACATAAATTTGAATATGTCAGTAAACCAGTCTATTATCTTCATCAATATGAAATAATCACTACTTTTCTTCACTTCTGTGGGTAATTTTCATAAAATCACATCTCTTTTAATAACATCTGCAAGAACATTTTTGATCATCACAATTTTCAGTGAAAGCAAATGACGAATCCATCTATCCATAAGAACATTTCTTTTGTCACCATTCATCTCTGAGTAATAATAAATATTGCTATACTATCTACAAATATTGTACTCTATTCTACATGCATGCATCAGTTAAAAAGCAAAGAGAGAAATGTGTCAGAGGCCAACTGAGATGGTAGATGGTTTGTTTGTGTGCTTGCACACAATAATACTTGTGGTATTTATGTAAAACACCTCAAAACATGATGGCAAAGAATTCCAAGGAATCAAAGCAAGGGCAATTTCTATAGCTTCTTATTGTACTGTATTATTATATTGCCTACAGAAACTCTGTTTAGATTCGGTAAGAAGGTCATGGAAATGAGCATTTCAAAAGGTGACGCACACTGCTATTGATTTTTTTTTTAAGCTTTACAATCCTTTCTAGGAAAGAAGTAAAGTTTTTGTGTTCCCTCATCCAAGGAGTAACATAGCAGAGCAACTAGTGTCATACAGAGTGATATACATGTACATTTGTAGGAAGTTATCTCTCTGGTGTAAATTGACAGACATGTAAGAGTGACACCACACTTGATTTTCCTGTAAAAATGTATGTGTAGATCTTGTTTTTCATTGTAACATTTTACAAAATAGGATAGGAAACATGCCAATAACATATAAAATTTTGTCTAGAAAATATACTGAGCTATTCCCCATGACCATCTTTTACGTCTGTATCATCAATTTTCACAACAAAAACAACAAAAATCTGTAAAAGTAAAAAGTTACACTGTTTTTACTTACACAACAGGCTGGAAGTTGTAATCTGAAAGTTTTATTTATACATGTATCATTCCATTCACATATGATTTCATGAGCTTTACATTAATTCTATTTTAATTTAAATTCAAATTATGTCTTTTTTAGTACTTTAGCTTAAAAGTCCATATATTCAAGGGATTAATTAATTAATTTCTAGGTTGCCAGGCTCAATACTCTGGGTTGGACCTAGCAAAAGCTGGAAGAAGAAGGTATGAGAGCATCTTCTGGCCGCACCCTGGCAGATGATGAAGACTGAAAGGCTTGGGAGGAGTGATGAGAAATGAAATGTCCAAACCCACAGCATGGGAAAAACAACCCTCACCGATGATGATGATGATGATGATGACGTGATGGTTACTTATGTTATAATAAATAATAATAAACTGTTCTTGTTTAGCGCATATGACGTTATGAAACATTGGCCTGATATAATGCTTTCAAAGAAGTTTAGATATTAATACCCTGGCTTTACTAGCTGTAATCAGCACAGTGCATTTCAAAGAATAAATTCTGCCAGGTGCCCTTTCACCAGCTGGAGGGAGAATGGTGAATGTGGATTAATGTCTTGCCAAAATATGCAAGCACTGGGCTTGGATTTAAAAGCTCAACCCTTGGATTAAGAGTCAAGTGAATGAACAACTATACCATGACACATCCACATGTAGTCATTCGTCTCAACCTGCTTCAATGCATTCTACATACTGAAAACTGCAGATATTCCCCTACATCAGACCATTCAAACAGATGATGATCATGATCAGATGAGGTTCAAAACGTTTACATAAATACAATTTGATTTAAAACATACAAACTTTCCAGTAAATCCTAATTGTAGAAGTTTCACTCAATACCATTGCACGACACTGAAGCATACTAACAGAATGAGCAGAGGGAAACAATTTAGCTAATTTTGAGACACAACCAAGATCTCTGTAGCAAAAGACCCCTGGAATAAATAAAGAAAATGGTATCCATTCCATGGACCAAATTTACAGTGAATTCCACGCTATGAACATGACTGACAAAGAAAGCGGACAAAATATACGGTTCCTCAGGTATACAAAGGAACATCCCTTCACTGGTATTATGTAAACATATGTAGAACAGGTGTCACATGCATATTCACTTTTTACATAATAGCAGTGAAGGGATGTTCCTTGTCTACCTGAAGAACAGAATATTTTGTCCACTTTCTTTGTCCGTCATGTTCATAGTGCCAGGACCATTGTGGTCCAGATCTGCAAACTTGAGAAAATCTCGTGGATGTATCTGCTTTTGCACCAAACAAAGAAATTACTATCAGATCTTTGATTCCAGTGCATATGGAATATGACATGTACAAATCATAACATGTACAATACATGCATGCTGACACTTTAGTCACTTGTTTAAATGAAGAATGGAATAAATACCATACCATACCATAGTGTTGGTCAAATCCCACCTTTCTTGTGTTGTGTATTGGTCATCATCATTGACCCTATAGCTAAAAAGACACAAATTATGACCCATTCTTAAAGCCCTGCACTAGGTGTCATCTACAAATTTCATTCTCAGAGATAAGCAAATAATTGAATACTTGACATAAAGAATAATTTAAATTTTCAATATCTATTCACATTGGAAAAGGGTGATTACATATATTTCAGTTTTAGAGAAAACAATTCCCTACTCCTCAGGATCAGCAAAATCTTGATAGAAATTTTCAAACGGTTGTCAAAATACCATGGAACAAAGTTGGGACCAAGGAATTTAGCTCATTTTATTAAATCCTTGTATTGTCCAAACCATCTTGGTAAACAAGTGCGTCGCGAGTTGAACAAAAGTTTGACCAGACAAATTGGATTGTTTGTTGTAACATGTCTCTCTCAATCATTCCACCCACAAGAAGTCCTTCTTATACCAAAAGAAAATACTGCTTCTCCCTTCCTATTTCTGTATTTATCTATCCACTTTAAACCCAACTCTCCTTTTCAGGACTACCCTCCTTCCAATATGATGAAACTGTAAACCAAAGAGTTAATAGTTAAATCATGTTCCAAGAATACTACATTTTTTTTCTATTCTTATACTTCATATAATAGCTTGAACTAGGTTATACTTCAACAATCGTGATAACGTTAAGGCAGTTTTTGTTACTCTTATATATTCAAGGGGTCATATTTTTCATTAAATAAGACAATCCTTTTTAATAAAGAGGTGTGGGGTCAGGAAGCTGCACTTTACAGGTAAAATGAGACACAAAAATTGGTTGAAGTTAAAACATATAATAATAGACCAAACCCCAAAGAAAGTATTACCCAAACCCTCTACTATCTGTCCATGAATTGCAGGGAAGATACGTGTATCATATATTGATAATTTCAAGGTCAGATGTGGGTTAATGCTATTCTGGCCCTGAGCACATGATACCACAACTGAAAACAATCATCCAAACTCAAAGGACTCTATAAAGGATAAGGGGGAACATTGAAAAGCACTGATTAATTTCCCACCACAACCAGTGAATATATTAATAAAACACAAAAATACTAAAAATTGGATAAACGATAAATATTATTTAAATACGGCTGGAATACAGGATGAAATCTTCATGCACACTCATATCCTCAGAGAAGGCTGGAATTGTCACTTTGTAAAATGGGGACAAACATGCAGCATTCAAAATTGCACAGAGCCATTTCTGGACGTTTACAATCAAATCAAGCAAATAAATTTACTATTTCCCTACATGCACTGTTAGATTTTACATTGCCATGCAACTTCTCCTAAATAAAGGCACTTGCAAAACCAAGCTAGCAGTGACATACTGGGCTATATTGAAATTTGACAATATTTCCTCTTACTATTAAACCAAAGAAATATCATAAACTACAAGAGGCATTGCAGAAAATGCTCATCTTCAAAGGCTGAGACTTTGGTCACAGTTTATTAAACCTGAATTAATTATTTGCAATAATCAGTGAATTGCTTTAAGCATTTACATTTTGTTTCCCTCTTATATGCTCACACTGGGTGATCTAAGCATTTTCTATGGGATACCATTACCGGTACTTCAAATGGTGCTTACAGCCCTACACACAAGGAATGAATATCATTTGCTTCTAAAGTGGTAACAACAGAAAACTAGATTTAAAAAATCATCAACATATGCTGAAATTGTTATTCTCCCAATAATGACAATCGTTTCTCTTACTAAAAGACTCAAATTAAATAAATGCAAATAATAGTATTTCTCATACCCATTTAAAGTTCAAAGTATGCTCTGACCAATTCCCAGTAATCAGATAAGAATATATTAAATAGTGAAACCTGCTTTAGTGACCACCTGTATAAAAAGACCACCTGTCTATGGAGATCACAATTTTTGTTTCCTTTGACAATCGTTTGTCATAGAAACTCATTCATAGAATACCAGATACTATAAACACTCCTTCATATCCTCAAAAAATTCTAAGAAAGCATCTAGTTTCCCTTTACTTAAAATCTTGCAGTTTCCCTTTACTTAAAGACTTGCAGTCTTACAGTGAATCTAATCAGTAAAAATTACAGTTCCTTTCAATCTCCTCATAAATTGAGTTGTACACAGATTCATATCCTATAGTTTGGTTGACAAAATGAGTATCGTTGCACTTTCCCTCCCTTCCTAATCCAAAATAAGAAAACCACATCTTATGACGACAAGAAGACATTAATGAGTACAGAGGTAGGGATCAACTACAAAAAAATGCACATGAGCTGAGCCCCCATCAATAAAATGTGAATGTACTGTGCCTTCTATTAGATACCCTGAGTATCCCTCAAACCTCCATCAAATAGATGCACCGAGCTTCAAATACAATGCAACGTGCCTCAATCTACTAGATGCACTTATGCCTCAATTAGATGCCCCGAGCATCCCTAAAATAGACGCACTGAGCCTCCATCAAATAGATGCACCGAGCTTCAGATATGATGCAATGAGTTTTTTATCCACGAGATGCATTGAGCCTCTATTAGATGCCCTGATCATCCCTCAAATAAATGCACTGAGTTTTTAATCCACTAGATGCATTGAGCTTCTATTCAATAGATGCGCTAAGCCTCTACCTAGGTCTGTCAAATAGATGCACCGAGTCTCTGCCGAATAGATGCACTAAGTCTTTGTTAAATAGATGCTCTCGAGCCTTTATCAATTAAGTATGACGTGCCTCAGATAATAGGACACAGTGGGCCTCCATCTACAAGTCTCCATCTTCTCAATGTACACCTTCCTCCTTGAGTTGCACTAAGCCTTCATAGTCCAGATGCATCAATAGAATGTTATGTACAAACATATACAAAAAGTAGGAATGCTGCTAGCTAGGACCGAGGGCCAGTCGTCCAATCACGTCAGCTCGCTGTATTCTGTACCTCCATGATTGGGTAAACCTAACCTGACCACGCCTACTGAACGATCTTTGGATGCTGTAACTAAATCTGATTGAAATGTTGTTAAGAAAAAAACAACAACATAGGAATATCAATAAATAAAAGCAATTTGGGAAACAAACCAACAATAATGATATCGACAATGATAACAATGAAATCGTTCTATCCAAAGATGTAGTGAATCTGAGAATATCAGTGCAGAAGGAGAATAAATCAAGCGTCATACATTTCCAGCATAGACCAATTTTATTGTAAATATTAATACATGTATGTGATAAGCCCTTAAATTTGGGTTAGTCACTCACATATACATAACTGCACAACTATTATAGAGAGAGAGAGAGAGAGAGAGAGAGAGAGAGAGAGGGGAGGAAGAGATTTAATATCAAAACACCAACAAGTAATTGTGGAGGCCCATTGTGTACTTGAGTACTTCACCCCACCTCTGGTCTTTGAAAGTCTTTAAAAGTTTGTAAAGGTAACATAAAGGATACATTCATCATAGGGAGATATATCCATGTCTTGCACGTCAGCTTTGTGTCTGAATACTTCTCCCAGGTACTTATGATAATCAGGATAACGTCTATATCTGAAGAGAAAACATAAAAATGAGAAGAAAATGAATGTACATGTATATTGCCAGCATTGTGAATTTTTAAAATTTTAAAATTTTATTTTTTTTTAGCATTTTTATATGTACTTTAAATGTCCTTTCGGTTTTAATCATGCAACGTTAAACAACATTTTTTATGCTGGTTCTCTGGGAAAACCAAACAATACACAAAAAAACATGCCTACGTCTAAAATCACTCTTTAATTTTTATTGTATTTTGGGTTTTGATTGGTGTTATTTTTAAGTTGCTTTCCTTTTTTAGTTTTTTGTTTTGTTTTGTTTTGTTTTGTTTTGTTTTGTTTTGTTTTGCTTTGTTTTGTTTTGTTTTGCTTTGTTTTGTTTTGTATTGTTTTGTTTTATTTAGTTTTTTGTTTTGTTTTGTTTTTGTTTTATATTTGTCTTACATTGAATGTAATATGGTCTCTATTTTCATAAACACAATACAGTTTATACGTACACAGCCTTTCCCAAGTAGTGTATGGCAAAGGGGTCATCAACTATAATGCTGGCCTTTTTACTCAAATTTGAATCTGTCATTAAGTTTTCTTCTGAAGATTTTATGGCTTCATCGCCTGGGTGGCAGAAAGGCGTTAGCTCGAATTTCAGGTAAAAAATGAAACATTAAGCAGAAGGGCGTTAGCACTAAATCGCCACAAAATTTTATAAAACTAACTTATTTCTGAGAAGAAAAAAATTGTGGCTGTGTTCTACTATAACATTTTTATTAGTCTTTTAAGTTTTAAATCCAATTTTCCGAACGGAAAGCAGTTTAAATATAAAACAAATTTTTAAATGCTAATAATTTGAAAAGTAGTTTTTGAGTAGCTCGCGCGCTAACGCCCTTCTGCCAGCCGGCCGACGACTTCTTCATTGTTAATCTGTGCCCTTTCAGCCACTTTACATCAAAGTCAACATAACAAGAACATACATTAAGATAAGCTGAAGAGGGTGGTGTAGTAGCGCGCAATAGACATCATTGTCGTCTGTCCAATTACTACTAGCAAGCAGTAAGGTCCTCTCATTACCCTTTTTTGCCCGTTTCTATCAAGTCCAAGGACTCAAAGATTAGCATAAGAGGTTGATCCTATAGAACTCAATAGATACAACTGTGATTCTGTTTCAACTTGCACGGAGGTATGTCCTTAACTTTCTCAGTGGGTGAGCCTCTTCTCTTGTCCCTTAAGTTTTCTCTTTTTACAATCATGAAGTTCTAAGCATCATTAAGAAGGATTTACTTAATACCTCTCTACTTTTTGGACTAAAGTGGGCATGTCCAAGGTGATCGGTATTTGCTGCCCCATCCACTTTTGAAAATAATGGAAACTGAACAACAATCAATGATGAAAGTGAAAATTGTTTCTGATATTTGGTATGCTCAAAGCTCTAGTGAGGCTATTGACTGGATATTAATATAAAATATACTCTGATCATTGATGTAGTCGGTAACATAGAGGAAATAACCGAATATCAAAGCGACTCCTTATCCACTGAGAACATGATTTACAAGGATGCGATGTTTACAGTAACAGAACAGTGACATTTGAATTAGATTTGGAATTTCCTTGATTTTTGTCATTTGTTTAAAAAAACCAATCCACTGAAGAAAAAATTAATAACCATGTTGTTCAATCTCTGTAAATTTTGTTGGAAACAAAACATTTCTGTTACAATAGATCTGAGCAAATGAGACCACACTGACAAGTTTGACATCTGATAGTATTCATATTGCTATTTGTTTGTTTGTTTTTTGTAATAATTTTTTTTTAACAGATTGTATCTAGAAATAGAAAATAATTTAAGAGAAGGCTGTTAATCTCTTCCCTTTACCCAGTAATTAGTAGTATTGAGTACAGTAATATCTTATATGTCAACAATCATTTGATTATATATATATATATATATATAATAAATACTGTACAAAAATGTATATGAATAATTATGACATTTATTTACACAGTAGGCTCTGCTGCAAGGTGCTGACAACAATATAACTTTAAATTTGAAGTAAACAGCATACAATATACACCATATAAAAAAGGCAAAACAAAAAGAGAGAGAGAGAGGTAGTCACATTATTCCGTGTAAGGCACAACGAAAGGTATGCAAACATGATGCATTGATGTAAGTATAAATCTTTTGTGTAGCGCTCATCTTTTCACTTATAACCTTGGTTTAAACGATGTAACATCAAGCTGATATTCCCTCATATTGAAGTACCGACATAAGGAATGAGAAAAGGAGAAAATAGCAAAGATACAGACATACAGAGAATGAGTGCATGTAATATATATATATATATAAGAGGAAGGCGAGAGAGAGAGAGAGGGGGGGGGGGGGGGGGAGAAGGAGAGCGAGAGAAAGGATAGGAGGGGAGAGAGGGGAGGAGAGAGATAGAGAGTCATATACATGAACATGTATACACATTAAAAAAGAAAGAGAGGCAAAGAAAACAAAGAGATATGGAAAGAGAGTAGGAAAGAAAAAGAAAATAATTAGAGGCAGTGAGATACGGAGCCGAGAGGAAGAGTATAGAGACCAACAAAATTTATTACAGCAGACTCAGGAATACTGGGAACAACAATCAATAAAATAAATTAGCACCTGTCTCTTTCCCTAGGTTTAAGCCCACAATGTGAAAGTTTGATCTATGTGTACTCTCCCAAAGAAAAACAGAATCCCAAACCATATGTTCTGCATTGAATTGAAAAAACTGTTCATCTCTATAACAGATAATGAGTCATGTAACATTACAAAAGGGTTTGAGAAATGGGGAAAAGTTTGCAACCTGACCATCTCACAATGAAAATATTCTCACAAGTTCACCTGATTAAAAGTATGAATAAAGTAACAAACAATATATATAACTGAATAAGGCAGTTATATATACTAAAATATATACTAAAAACTAATGGAACATGGTTGCCACTCTGAGTTTCACGCCTTACAAGTGATCATTAGGCAACTGATATAGTGTTGGAATTCTTAAAAGTATGTGATTACTCTATTACCTGGGTACAAATACGCTCAAAATATTACTTTAACTAATATAATAAGAATTACTTGAGGTTAAGGCCTATGGAGGGAGTAATAATAATAATAATATAATATAATACCGGTACTCAGTTTTTATATAGCACTTATTACAATCACTAAGCGCTTCCAAACTTGGAGTAGCACAAAATATATTTGTATATACCAGCAATCTAACTTTACATCATATCTAATAAATTACTTGAGTGATGAAAAATAAACATTCTGTGAATGAGATTATAAAGATAGAATACAGCAAGTTTTACCCCCCCCCCCCCACCCCACACACACAAAAAAAAAACAGTTAAAGAACTGTTTTTTTCCTTTCTTGGTCTTGGTTTTCATAATCACTTGAAATGCACTTGCACACACCGGGCCAGAAGGCTATTGATTGTTCTTTATTGAAACAGGGTTTCTGAAAGGGAAGGGCAACAAAAGAAAGTAAAGAATGCGGAATCTATTGTGAGATGATTGTTGTTGGTGTGCCAGTCATATTTACACAGTCCTGCTGAGACTGAGCAGACGTGAACATTGCAAGATGCTATCCTAACAGGTAGTTTCTACAGTAGGTCTATAGATGGGAGGCTCTATTGTAAACAGTGAGAGAAGGACTTGCGGTTGGCATCCCGTTGCGGAGGCTGGATCTGTTGCTTTATAGCCACGAAACTTTTGATTCAGTGGCGAAAAAAAATCTGAAAGCTCCACTTTGTGTCAGCATCTGTAACTGCCCTTTCATTCATTTATCGATTGTCCTTCAAAGTGATCACACTACCATTTGAGGTTGTTAATAATGGGTGTGTGCATTTAAGGGCTATATCTGCAACAGCTGTGGGTCTATATAGTCATTCTCATCTCTCGTCATAACTGTTATGAACACTTCACTTCATTGTCCTGTTGTGAATTTGGGAACATAAATACCAACTCTAAAAAGGTAAGTTCATGTATTTCTTTTTGATCCTTGATATAGATCAACTGACAGAGACTTATTTGATTCTTTTTGAAGGCCACTGCGCACCACATACACCATTAAGAATCCTTGTTCTTGTGGCATTGTTCGTGAGAGGGGAATAGAACAGGAGTTCTACAAAACGCTTACTGATCAATTCTAAAATTCTGTTTCATATTGCTGGTGACAAATATCTAAACTAGGAAGAGAGGAAAATGAATGGAATTGAATTGAAAAAACATACATGTAGAGAAGGGATCATAATACTAGGTATATCCTGTCATGAGAATACTTAAATGGGAAAGTTAAATCTTCCATGGACAACATTTTTTTCATATATTGTGTTATTCTAAAATGTTCTTAGATTATGTTTCTGTAAAGGTGTGTTGTAACTTTGCTCGACTCAAATAGGCTGTATATTAAACATCATCAGAGCAAAGTGTGGCTTCAATTCTACATTATTTTTTCTTGAAGAATTACATGTTCATCTATTTAACAAAATGTCTTTCATATGAGCAGTGTAAACAGGTCTTTGTCATTTAGACCTCAATGTACATTTACCTTTGCACCCATGCATGACTCCACATTTCTTTTTTTTAAATCCAATCTTCTGAGAGTCTTTAGTTCGCTTATATCTTAATTCCATATAAATATGTGGCACTCCTTTCTCTAATTGACTGAGAGCCTTGAATTCTAAGTTTATGCATCTCGTTTTGCAGGCCAATAAAAATATAATGCACATTTCTATTTGGTAATGTGTACAAACATGTTAATGTCTTAATGTTTTCCTACACGCAGAGGTAATTGAATCATTCTTGCAAACTATTCTATTCCTCTTTCCAGCTGTTTAACAATTTATGTTTACAATGAAAACCAAAATAAAATAACAAAATGCAGACTCATTACGATTATAATTATAGAGCATTTCAGAATCAGACACAGATAGAAAATAATTAATTTGATTGGTTTATCAATCTCATGCTAATGGACATCATTGTCTGGAAAAACAAAATTCAGTGACAGGTCTAAAGTTTATTGTATGCAAAAACATTTAATATGAAAAAGTATAATCTTCCTCTTAAATGATTAATCTTCATGGTGATTTTGGAAAAAATGTCACTCATGCATTGGAAAACATTTATATCAATTGTTAGGTTATATACATGTACTCAAATATATCAAGGGAACCTTAATTACAAGCATAATGCTTCCAAGGTTTCCTCCTCATTACTGCAGATTATTGTTAGCATCATTTGTATTTAATGACTTGCCATTAAATCGTTTTTATTACTGTTGTATCTAACAAATATTATGAACATGTTTTGTTTCCTTGTCTACTGGGTATGCCTTACTTTGTAAATTCTTTTCATATGCAGTTAATGTGGAAATAAAACCTAAATAAACAATAAAAAAATATGTGGATGTCTTTATAGAAATAGAGAAGGTAGTATTATCTTCAGATAGCAAGGATTTCTTTTTGTACAATGTGACCTTTTATTTCCATGCAGTTTAATACTCAAGTACAGTGACAGGTGCATAGTGCTTGTCTTAAAAAAATATTTGAAAAATAAATATATTTGAATACTGCTATGTACTGCCAAACAACTATTATTTTCTGTTATCTCTGAAATTTGCTGATATGATGATATGATATTCATTCATTTTCTTCATTTAAAAGATGTTCTACATTCAATACTACATACTAACTACACACAATTATTTTATTTCCAGTCTTTCACTTGATGCGATATGCAATGTCTGTGATCACCTCCAAATTAGAATCAAATGGTTTATTGTGCACAATCATGGCACTTTTGGTGAATTAAAGTTCTAATAAAAAGGGAAGTTTTAGATGTTTTTCCAAAGCCATAAGTTAGAAATAGTGCCCTTTGCAATATGGGAGGGGTGTCCTTCTCAACAGTGAAACAAACCTATCATATCTACATCCTTCAAATAGTTGATTGAGGAGGAGTTAATAAATCTTTTGAGATACCCTGTATATATGTCCTCTTTAATTTGCCAAACCCCCAATCAGATAAATATTTTCTTGTGTGTCACAAAAATGTATCGATTTGCAATTTTGTTCATTTCCCATAAAAAATTTACTTAAGAACACACAGTTTCAACGGCTAAAATTCCTTATCAAGTCTATAGGTTGGGCTGCATGGTATTAGGAGTTTTTACAACTATTCCTATTCTATTGCAAGAAGGTTCAAGGCAATCTGTGAGAGAGAATTACAAGGGTGAAAGAAAACTGCTTCCACACCATCCAACAACCATTCATGATTTCAATAATTTCAGACCTCATGTCATGACCACTGTTCATCTGTTCTCACAACAAAAGGGGAAAATATATGAAGGCACGCACACAAAATCATCAAATATCTGGATAAATGACGTATTGTATTTTCACACCTCACTTTAAGGTCAAAGGTATTTTGATCAATAACAGATTGCCAGTTATTCCGTTAACAGTTGGAGACTTGTTTTCTATTAATCCACACATGTAAGCTTGTAGTATACACTCCATACAATGCCACTCAGAAAGGTAGAAAGATATGATTTTCAATATAAGTAGTGGGATCTATAAGATGCCATTAATGGATTTTAAACTTTTTTGCCAATTCTATTTCCTGACAGATATCATTATTAACCATTCTCAATTCAATATCATCCAAAACAGATTTGAAAAGACCCTGCTGTCGTCATATGATAGGCATCCAGTTCAACCATGGGAGGCTACGACCCATTTCCGATCATGACATATCTGCACCAACTAATATTCATCAGTATGATATGGTATGGGCTGGCAACTGCTCAGACTACAGCTCCAACAGAGCCTCAGTCATGTCCAAGCGGCTGCCACTGTGATTTCCAGACCAGGGTGGTAAACTGTCAGCAAGGTTCCTTCACAAGCATACCAAACACCTTTCCCTCATACACCGCAACTCTGATCCTTAGGGGAAACATATTCCGAACTCTTCTTGAAGACTCCTTTGTAGGACTCTCCAATCTGGTATCCTTGGACCTGACCTCCTGTGAGATTGGAACGATCAATCCTAGAGCTTTCAACGGTCTGGACAACCTTAACATCCTCAACCTCCAACTGAACCACCTGAGTACGTTGCCTCCTGGAGCATTTGCAGGGCTCACCAAACTCAGGGATCTCAATCTGGAGAGGAACAAGCTACAGATATTACCTGGTGGTGTGTTCAGTGATACGCAGGTTCTCAAAGTCTTGGACGTCAATGATAATCGGATTACCCAGATACATGATGATGCTTTCAGTGATTCCACTGTGTTGTCAGCTCTCCACCTAGCATATAACCAACTTGTCAGCATCCCTGAGATGGCATTGAAGAATCTTACTAATTTAAAGAACTTAGCCCTCTCTGGAAACCCTATTCCTACCATACCATCCAGGACATTCATCTCACTTACCTCTTTAAATCTACTGTATCTTGACAACATGCAGCTGGGATTAAACACGACGCTGGGATCCCTGGAGGTAGATTCATTTGCTGGTCTTCAATCGGTCACTACCATCGACCTTTCACACAACCAGTTCCGTACTCTTGATCCACTAGCATTTCAATCCCTGACATCCCTGGATACTTTACTCCTCACAGGAAACTTATGGGACTGTGAGTGTCCCCTCTCACCGTTTGTTCAGTGGCTAAAGCAGAGTGGTATCATCTACTACAGCACTAGCTGGTACTGCATGTACCCAAGCGACCTCAGCGGCACTGTTGTTTATGCACTACCACCTCGTGACTTTGCATGTGAGCCAATCATTACTGATCCTCCTATTGACACTGTGGTTGAATACAGGCAAAGGGCAATCTTCCAATGTAGAGCAAAGGGAGATCCAACTCCGGAAATCAAGTGGTATGGGCCCGATGGCACCAGAATATTAGCGACATCCAATGAGGAAAACGTATACACTGCCTTGGATGGCCTTGTGCTTGTAATTCGGTCAGCAGAAGAAGAACATGTTGGTTTGTATAACTGCACAGCTAGTAATGTGCGTGGCAGTGATTCTGTAGTATTTCAGGTTGTCGTCAATGGCATTCCTGAACCTGAAACATCCACTGTCAGTGGAAGTACAGTAAGTGACAATTCTTCATCCCCTGTGGTAGAACCCACCGACACCACCTGCGCCAGTTTTACTTTGTCAATCGTAATGGCATCTGTGGAGGAATCATCTATTGAAGTTTCCTGGACCCCTTTCAATGGTGATAGAGAAATAACAGGCTACATAGTACAATCACACATCTTTGGCGACCAGCAAACAAACTCATATTACGTCAACTGGACAGCAAACAGTTTTGAATTAACAAACCTGCTTTCAAACACTGGTTATACAGTCTGTGCTGCTTTTCTCCTTGACAACTGCCCCCTCGTGATACCCAGAGCGCAATGTACAGAGGTGACCACTGCGGGTGTCAACCCCGCCACTGCAGCACTGCAAGGTAGGCATCGCAATGAGATTGTTGGTACAGCCCTGGCATGTATCCTTGGAACGCTTCTCCTCATGGCAACCATTTTCTTCATTCTCTGGAGATACAGGAAACCTAAGGATTACCATCACTATGACTTTAAGGGTAACAAGGACACAGCTGCTTTTGCAGGTATCCCAGAAGACACTGGGTTCACTGTCAGTGATGTGATTGCTTCTGGTTCTGTTTCATCCAACAAGTACGAAGCCCAGAATGGAGCTTACGTCAATGGGGGTATGGACATATCAACAGGCAATAGCAATGAATACAGCAATGAACCTGTTGGAGGAAGCGTCATCTATGAAAACAGTGTGATCCAACACTCAGCAGACATACACTCGGATGTAGAACCTCCAGCAGACTATACCAGTGATGTCACTACTGCCTCCATGAAATCTGCCAATTCAGTAGGATCCGACGATGGCTTGAGAGAGGGGCGAGAACCAAAGGATAAACCCTCCAAGGTGAAAAGGAGCAGAACCTCTTTAACTTCTGATGAAAGTTTGGAGAGTGATGAGGCAATAGAAATGACTAATTTAGGGGCCCCACCTCACAGCAATGGAGATTTAAATAATGAGAATGAAGTGAGTGTAATCTAAATTGTATTAAACTAAATATCTTATCATGTTGATTCATGCTGCTTTATATGTGTTTTGAATGCACAATTCAAAAGTGAATTACTTAAACAAAACAATGAATGTGAAATGGGCATAAAATGCTGTTCATGTAACATTATAGAGAATGGATACAGACTATGTAACTATAAAGAACACATTATCATAACTACAGCAATAGGGTTCACTGAAATGCATAATTTCTATTATATTTTGATTAATGAAATCCTGTTCAGTGATTGGTCAACATAGCATCATGTGACCAAACATAACATTGCTATGATGTTACCGATAGGAAAAATGTGCTACATGTATACCGTGACGTCATTCATGGGATATAGTGCACTATACCATAGATGACGTCATAGATATGTGATCGATCAAGATCAATGTGATATCGGGCCTGGTCATGGTACTTTCATCTGCGCTGCTCTCACTGCACTCTACTCTACTTCAGTGACAGTATACATTGTTATTATTATTATCATTTTTATGAAGGTTGGTTTGAAAAATGTAAAACAAATACATCATGCACTATTTTAAGCCACTAGTGAAATTATGGGTTCCTCGGCGACAAAAATAGCCCTACTTTCCTGCCACCTCGATCCATAATTTCAACTAAAGTCTCTCAGTGCATGGTATATTTGTTTATTGATCAATATTCTAACATAATACTATAATAGAATGAACAATACATACATATGGACTATATATATTTTGTTGTTGTTGCAAGTATATATTGGTAATATTTTGATACCTTGGTAACATAAGTAAATTAAATTTACTTTCCTTCAACTATTTCTTTAGAAAGAACATTGTAGCTCATGAATTTCATTTGAAATATATACAAAATAAGACAATCATATTTAATGTCCATATTTGTTTTATATACTGAATCTTGCCTGTGCATCCTTAAAAACTTAATGTCAAAGTCATTTCTTGAAATTGACTACCGATAATCAGAAATTTTAGTTTGTGTGTATATGTCTTACTCTGCATTTAGTCAGTATCATGCATGTTAACTATTCTTACTTTATGCATGCAAATATTGCTATTGACCAGGAAATATTGTTCACTTTATTGCCCAAAGACAATTTCATGCCCACATTTTTGGCCAATCACAGGTTTTGAGTCCAGATTTGCAGTACAAGAGTATTTCTCTCAATTGGTATCCCCCATGAAAATACCTATCTAATGTTTTCTCCTTCACTTGGACTTTTTTTCGCAACACTATATCATATTTAAACTATCCAAATGAAATTTAATGGAAGGTTATTTTCTTATAAAATGATGCTCATATCATCTGATTTTTATATTTTAGGAAACAAATTTGGTTTGGAAAAAAATTGTTGTTATTTCCAACAACACTGACATCTCAATATGCTGAATGATGGTTTGTGAAACAGATTTCTGTTGTTTTTTCCTTTCACCCATAACAGGTCTATCTCATTATAACATACAGTAGTATCTCACATTTATTTTTCCTCTTTAACAAAAATTACAGGGCAAATATATATGTATACATATATGTATTACTTTGAAACATACTTCTTATCCAGCTTATGTGAAGCCATGGACATACTTCACTCTATAGCCACAGAATTAACAGCCTGGTGATTTTGTTCCCATCATTTCTATCTTACATGTGACAGTATTCCTTCTTGTGGACTATATTACAAATCATTTACATTAACAAATGATTTGAACTATTGTATTTTGTCCTAATTATGATAGTTTGAAGAATAAAAATCCAGCTAAGTAATAATCAATTTCTGAGGAACCATCACAATTTGGGTAGCAAGCTAAAGATATAAAGGTCTACAAACACAATACAACATTCCCATCATTGGCTTCTTTTGACAATCAAGGACGACAATTCATCTTTGCCCTTTCTCGATATACAATTGGTAGAATATTTGTTTGAAGTACACAACAAAGTGTCTGTGTAGAGAAAGAAGTGTTTTTTTTATTACGGGGCAAAAATCTATTTCTCGACACGAGGAGAAAAGTATACATCAATGATAAGTCATTTTTATGATATTCAAAATCATCATTTCTAAATACTCCTCAATTGTCAAGTGCATGTAAATTAATTCTACAATATCTACTCTTAAAATATTTATTAGCTTTCAGGGTTTATTAGAATGATTTCCATTAAACACCAATACATTTGACTTTGTTTTAGGGGTGCTCTGAGCTATATCTATCAAATCTATGATTACCATGGAGGATGGTACTAACCATTACATTCTGGTAAAGGTAAAGAGTGGTTTGGGCTTTCATAGAGAGGTCATCCATATTAAGTCTGTATATACCAAACAAATAGTAAAACTCCTTGTGTGACATTGCAGTTATCATGATTGATGGTATACCAAAAACTTTAAGATGAATTGCGCTACAATAATATATACTGTAGCAAAAAGTAGCATGTCATGGAGCAAATCAAAACCATAAATGGGTGATTTTGCAAAGCTGTTAATGTTGCACACAGCAAACCTTCCGACAATGGAAGTCTACTGTTTTGAAGAAAGCAATAGAAGTGTTAATGGGGGAAAATGAAGAAAGTTGTGGGAAGAGTAAGATACGTATATGAATCTAGATCTGAATCAAACTTCTACGGATATTATATTCAACTAGATCGGTGATATCATGTGCAAAACACTGACCATTGTAAGAAAAATGCACTTTCACCCTACTGTATAACCTTAGATAATCGTTTGGTCCTTGAGCGATGTCATAAAAGATTAAATGCCTTTTCAATAGCCCCTTGCAGGGATTCATCATATAGCAATACAACAAAATTATACAACTACACTGTATGTGATTAAAGTAGTTAATAGATTCTTTTCTATTAAAATGTTGTATAACAAAATGTTGTACAAGCAAACGTTTAAGCATCATTTCAAATGAAAACTCTATAAAGTATCAAAGCCCACTTCAAACGCGAACGTTGCATTGTACAAAAACAGTATAGCTGGGTCAGGCTTATAGTGACTGTGCACTGATGGTTGGCCTTGCACTCTCATTGAAACAGAGTGCGACACCACAATTCACTATAACAAAAGATTTACTGACCTCTTTAAAACTAGTTCCTTTACATGATACCCTTTTCATGTGTGTCTATATACCACTTCTGTTATATATACAATGATTCTTCATATTTTTCTTTGGGTACGAGTTTTGTATAAATTTACTCTAGTCTTCACAGGCATTAGTATTACCTGGAACGTATGCATTTAGAAAAGATTCACAATTTAGCCAGATCAGTGATAATATACATGTGCAAAGCACCGTGACCATCATAATTGTAAGTCTGGTTACTTGCCTGGGTATTTGGTTTTGAATAAGATTAGTGGATTTAATGGCAAAATATTGTGACCAATATAAGAATAAACGGTTTTCACCCTCTCCACTTTTAAAGAGAGAGCTGAATTATTGTAAAGATGGGGGAAATAAAAACAAACAAGTATACAAAGGAACTTAAATATTTTTTTTGAGCTTTCTCACTCTTTTTACATGTAAATGTAATTTTTTAATAATATATTACAGAAATATCCACTGAAGAAGATTGCCCTTAAAGGTAATACAAAGTTTTGGGAAATTTTGAAAATTGGATGTATAGTACGGTAATTCTTTTTAAAAATTTGTTTATATTTGGATGCCCCTGTGGATGTATTAGAAGCACTAGAAAATTTAGCCCCTAAAACACTTCTGCTTTTGAGAAAATTGAATAATTAAAATTTACCTGTACTCCCTGTAAATTTCAAATATTTTAAATAGTAATCATGGTAGCTGTGACTCTGAAAATATCAGAATATGCAGTTCTGATCTATAATTTCTAAACGGGAATACCAAAACGGTTGATTGTAGTCAAGAAACATTGTTTTAAAGCTAAAGCATTATCAGTATAGAGAGGAAGCTATACAAAATAAAGAGTTTATTATTTACAATTTCATCACTTTAGACTTGATTTCAACTGCGACAACGATCTTTGAATATTGTAAAATCATATGCTTCTAATATGTTCATTTGAACCAAATTCATAACCCCATACCAAAACTTTGTATTACCTTTAAAATGCCCTCATTTTAAAAATATGATAAGTAATAGCTAGAAAATTTGGACCAAACATTTCATGACACATGTTAGTAGTCCCACTTCTGTGTAAAGTGCAAGTGGTTTCCAGCATGATCAAGTAAATATCTGTTCACTTTGATAATTCAAAAGATTTCCAAATTGCTTCCAGACAGTTTTTTTTCACAATATAATCACATGACCAGTACTCAAATCTCTCTGTTAGTCTTTCACTCGATCAGTGCTATCACATGCATAATAATGAGACTATTGCAATAGGAAAAGAAATTTTACCCTGCCCATCTTTCTTAACATAATCCTTTGATTTTAGATTCAGTTCATAAATGCCATTTTACTTTGATAGCAATTCTACCTAGTGCAGACCAACAGTCTGTTTGGTTGTTTGTTGGTATGTCCTTCATAATACCTGGGCTCAGACATCAACTGAATGCATGTATGAAAATGTTTTAATTATTTTCTACAAATAAAGAATCAAACAGAGGCTAAAGACTGAGAGCTACGAGGCAATTCAATGAATCAAGGATTTTGTGGAAGTAGAGTCTCTTACGACCACTGATGATTAAATAAGCAAATAAAATAAGATGCATTACCAAATATATTCTCACATACAGCAATTCAAAAACAAAGACAACTAAAGCTATATTTGAAGTACAAAACCAATGAGTGAAAGGAGGTTCCTTAGTATTGTCTACATAACAACTTTATTTAGGTATAGCACAGATTTTGTTTTTGTTATGGACTCCAAACCCCAGTTATATTGGGCCTAGCATACAATCAATAGTTTAAATATAGAGAACACTGATACTGATAGTGACAAAAAGAGTGTACACTATAACAAAAAATTATGTTTTGCAATTTATCATGTAATTGTTTTTATCTTGAGTTGTAACATGTATGGTAGAATTTTTCAAATCAATAAAGTTAACTTTTCTTCCCATGTATATTTTGTACTAGGAATTCTTTTTTTTTTAAATTGAAATTAGCTACCCATGTTTTATCTAATCATAAACTATTTCTAACGTCATAATGTCAAAGTTTTACATCAAACTGATCAAGCTTTTCTCATTAACTATGTTGTTTTTGTAATATATATACTGTAATAAAATGGTTATATACATCCTGACTTTCATGTGATGTTTACACCAGTATGTTTCATCTCACAAAAGAAATATTTCTTTCCCTTCTGCATCACCAAATTTTTTGAACCATTTGTCATAACATACTTATATTTTGACTTGTAATGACTTCTTGCATTGTTGAATTAGGCTTGGCAAATTTGACAAGTGAAATCATTACAACAATGAATTGGAATTTACCTGTTTCAGAAAGAGATAATGACACATTCTTTAATAGTCAAAACATATCAACACTCAAATTTTTGGGCAGAGTTTACAGCCCATGTGGAATGGAATGGAAGTAATGCAGAGTAACAAAGAATAGACTTCTTCTGTGTGATATATCTACAATCAGCATGGTTTCAGTGGTTTTAGTAAACCTGCCTGCTGCCCTCTTTAATTCATACATAGAGAATTATGAGAGTTGCATGTACTGTTCTTAGGTTTATGATTCCTCAGTGCTTTGTTTTTGTGCATTATCTACTGAAGGATCAGTTTTAACGAGTCTGATTTGTACTTATCAAGATCCCTCCACTGCTAATTATTATAATGACTTGTCAATGACTTTTGCAAAGTCTTCTTAATCTTTAAAGGAAATAAATGATTTGATCTGATAGGAGGTCTAATGAATAAGGCAATTTTTTGTTATTAATGTGGATGTACTACTCTCCATTTTGTTTTTTTTCTATCTCTGAAATGTCAGAGAATTGTATTCTTTTCATAATAAAATGTTTTATCATAGTAGTGTCCAACTTAGAAAAGGTAACATACATGTATATGATCTCCTTTATAACAAATAAGACTGTGTCATAATGAACCTGATGAATATTTGGTAATTTTATGAACATTACAATTATAATTGAGTTACAAGTACAAGATTTCTATAGCAACTCTTGTTTCCAAATACAATCCCACACAAAGTCTTCGCTAGTCATCAGATACGCTATTGCTTCATACACCTAGAATAAAACATGCTTGGGGCGATCGAGCTTTCTCAGCCATGGGTCCAAAACTCTGGAATGAACTCCCTCTACAAATACATCAACTGTCATCAACAGAATCATTAAAATCACAACTGAAAACTTATATGTTTTTTTCATTGTAATTATTGCAATATTGTTACATGTATTTTTCTCTAAGCGCCATGAGCATCGAAAGGGGGACCTGTGCGCTATACAAGTACCGGAAGCCACTATTATCATAATTATTATTATATAGTATGCAAACCTAAAGATCAAAACAAAATCTAACTTTTGATAATTGGAATCTTAGAATTTTAATTATCAGTTACTCTAAGCAAAATATTTCATATGTTCAGAGAAATGTTTCCTTTTATTCATATATTTTTCAAATATTTGTATGATATTGTTATTTACAGTAAAAACAAAATTGTATTAATGCATTATGAGGACATTTATACCTACATTGTGTCATCATATCAATAGATAGCTGCTGTACATACAACTTTAATGGCATAAGTTGTAAATAATAAACAATAAATTTGATCTATATGTGTTAAAACAACTCAAATCTATGTCTTTCAAGTATATGTATAATGTAATGTTTGTGGAAAATTCATAACTTGCAAATACTATATTTCTACTCTATTTGTCTATATCTTTTCATGTGTATTTAGGGTTCTTGGTTCCTGAAATAGATGTAATCATTTCCTATGTGTCAGCAATAAATGTAAATAATCATTTCACCATATTATGTTCATATATGTACATTGTACATGTACACCTGTCTAAAATCTGAATAAAAGCTATTGCTGGGGCAAATTAAATGAATGTTTGTGTGTAGATGTTTATTTTATTAGTATCATGAGCACTTACCTTCTTATAACACCCTTTTCACATGCTGTATACAACATACTGCCATTTGATGTATACCTTTTGAGAAAGGAGAGATTTTTAAAATGTTGTTCAATTCAAGTTACTGTAATACAATTCAAATTTATTTTAACTCAAACAGTAAAACATAAAGATAAACATGTAGATTGATGAAAAGTGTTGATAAAAAAATATAGAAGACTCATACTTACAATACACACATACACAAAGATATCACAGAAATATTGATTTTACAAGCTTCTTTTTTTTTCCTTCAATAATATGTATACGATATATTTTAGTGTAAGATTCAGCTCTATATAAATACATACATATACATACTTATACTACATGTTCATGCAATTTAAAAAAAAAAAGGAGAGAGACATTCTTAATCAAAGGTTAAAAGGCCTTTGGAGGGCCTGCAGGATTCCTAAAATCAAATTCTCTAGTAAATGTATCAGGGAAATGTGACTCTTCATTCCTTCACTGTGAGAGTCTAGAGAGAGCCATCGAGATTCCTAAAAGAAAAAAAAAATGGAAAAACATTTCTTTTTCATTCCCCTCCTCCTATCTAAAGAGAGCCAGCAGGACCCCTGTAATCATATTCCATGGAGAATTTTAAAGTAGCCACACAAGAATCAAAAGTGTTTTGAATTGATGCAAAACTCATATCATTGCGAAGGGAAAGCCTTGCCGATCAAATATACTTCAAAATATGTATGGGGCCCGCAGTAATCAACTCTCGAAAATGTTAGTTTTGAGATCCAGATTTTCTGCCTTCAACGGTCCTTTGTAGAGCGTCAATATTTGTGACGTCACATTCGGGACACGGCTGGTGTGACGTCACTATTTAGAGCTCGCTACGCTTGTGTGTTTGACTTACGTTCAGGGGCGTTCGGGGGTCTAAGGAGGGTCTTGAAAAATTGCATTTTACGCCTTTCCATGATATCTATATGATTTCTCAGCAAATTGTTCGTGTTTTTCAAGAGAAAATCTTTCCATCCATATGTAATTTGTTCTAATTATGAGTTGTTAGTGAATTTTCTTTGTGTAGCTCCTTTAATGGCAGGGTTAATTCTTGCTCCTATCTCCTTCCCCCTTTTGCTCCGACAATTAAAGGGCAAGTCTGACCCATTTGCAAGTTGAATAAATTAAACAAAAAAAAGGGTGAAGGTTTCATCAAAATGGGACAAAAAATAAGAAAGTTAAGGAATTTCACAGTATTGCATTTATGATTTCATGACACAGTGATATGTATCACAAAGCCTGTATGCAAAATAGTAAGTTGATGAAGTCATCCCTCACTATCCCCCATGTTTTTGTTCATTAAATTTTTACTTGTTCTCTTCTTTTTTGGACCCTGTATAAAACATTTCATTAATATTACAATCAGTTACACTAATGGTTATTTTGCCCTATAAAGGAAACCAATAACACAAACACACAAACAAAAATGCTCTGTCCAGGTCACATTCATTGGATCCCTGGTATGGCTATTTTTTCCCCTTATGTTCTTTAACTATCTTAATGTATTGTATAGGTTTTAGCATGTTTTTATCCAAAAATAAACTGATCATTTTTGTTTGATTCATTCCCTTTGATATCATGAATGATATGGATAACAGTGATGTCTCTCATTACTATACCTGATTTTCCATATTGATTCATCACCATTCTCTCTGAGTGTCTCTTGGACACCAACATCTGGCAAGTAGGCACAAACTTCACTTCCACCGAGCATAATTACACCTGTAATATATGAAGAAGAAAAAAGAGAAACTCATTAGAATGTGATATGAACATTAAAACATGATATTTCTTTTCCTTATGAGTTTATTTTTTTGTTATGTTGAAGTGGCATTTGGAACAATAGATTTATAAGGTGGTGGTACTAGCAAACACAAGGAAGATCCTCCAAATTCTAAGGAAAATGGAAATCACTGGTCAATGCCAATAATAATTATTATGATGAACAACAGAATCATGATATGATACATGCCTCGTAAGTTCAAAGTAATCACATCATTTTTTAACAATATTAGTTTAAAACCCTGAACAATTAATAATTTAAGGACCTAAATTTGAGATTTAAGAATTTGAATAAAAAGTTGGGATAGGTACAAATACAACATCCCTCCAATATCCTTTCGCATCAATCATCCGTGATAATGACTACTATAAGAACAGCAGATAACATATCCCGTAATATCAGACCTGATAGTTACACACAAAATTGGAACAAATACAACATCCATCACATTCCGATTCTCTTTCTATTCAACAATTTAAATAATAATTATACCACTAAATTATACATCAGGGTTCAGCAGGCCCTCAAAAACTATTTATCTGTAGCAGCAAGATGAGTTAATGAAAGTACCAATATGTGCACTAATTCAGATCATAAGAAAATTGAAGCCTTCATTTTACACACAACAAATGGGGTGAATAAAACACTCTCAGTTTCAAAATTCAAATTTGAAAACAAAAATTACTGTAATTTTACTAATAATGAATATTTTGCCAACATACTTTTAGAAGTTTTTAATTATGATTATTTTTTAGAACTTTTTTTTACTAGCCCTTCTACAAGTTTTGAGATTTTAACGGTGCAAATCCCTGCAACGCCCTTCAAGCTTATAGAAATGGAGAGATGCATGCAAGACTTACTTGAGAACCCATCTTCAGCCATTGCATTGTAGGGGCCTGGGGTAGGGGATACTGAATGGAGAGTAGCACCAGCAGGAATGTCTAGGAGGGTACGACCATCTATTGTTACAACCTACAAATGGACAGCATTAAAGAAATTCAATCAAAAACATGTTTTTGCCGAAGGTTAAGTTTGTATTCTTGATTTTTGAAATAATTTTGTTTTACCTTGCAAAATACTTAGTACAAAATGGTGTTCTGTCAATAATTCTATACATGCGTGCTGTTTATTAATATGTACAAACTGGAAGTTCTATAACTAAAATATCAAAAGCTGAAAATTTGAAACAGGAATTACCCGATGGTATATTATTGATGGGCATCAAGTAATAGTATAAAAGTTTCAAAAGGAAGCATTAAAACATCACGGCTGGAGGTATATGCTATTCCACATTTTGAAAATGATAGCTAATATTTTGGGACACAAAAATGCTTATTCTTGAAATGCAAAATGGGTCCCTGATATTATGAAGCATCCCTTTTTATCAAGAATATCAACAATGACTACACACACTCATATTGTACATTTGTGTCAGTTGTGTTAGTGTTAGTGTTAGTTGAGACACAAAAATTCTATAAAATCATCTGGATTAAAATGGGGAAGGCTCTACATACCTTCCCATGGCCGTCTATTGAAGCAGTTACAAATGTAGTTTCCCCTGAACACCAAGGCCAGCTATCGGAAAGAAAGCTGACATCACGGATGACATCACAATGTAACTGAAGATCAAAGCACAGCATGGAAATATATATTCAGAAGTTGTGCATTGTTGCTACTGGTAGAAAACAATGTGACGTCAGAAGGCCTTAGGTCACTTTTGACAAAGAAACACTATAGTTCTAATAAGCCAATCCAAATTTGATTTTATCATAACTACTACAAGTATTTATAGAATGGATTGTATTACCGGTAATACAAAGAGGAACATATATGTCCTATTATTATGATAATTTCCCATATTTATTTTGCTAAATTTTCAATTGAGCACCTAGTGATTCCTAACTGGTTAAGTAAAGACCAAATTCTGAAGAGAAACATCTTTGTAACAGGAGGTTATTTGAAACATTGATTCAAGGTCCTAATGAAGAGTTGCTTTAAAGTGCACTTAATAATGTTGTTAAGCTTTGATTAATAATACTCACATCATAGACATATAATAGTGGAATTGACATTCTGAGGTCAAATACTGCCAATCCCTGTATGAGAGAAAATGAAAAATAAAAGACAGATTAGGAATGTTGTTTTGAAATACTATCAGCACTTTGGTAATTTGGAGAAACAAATCAGACTTATATAGATATTAATAATGATATTGTATGGCTTTGTTTCCATGTGATACAAGAATATATTGCTCTTGCTAAGACAATATTAGACTCATCTTTGACTTGTTCATTATTGTCATAGCTCAAGCAATATATTCTTGTATCATCCTCAAAGCCATCAAATTTTATATACATATTTATTCTACCCTCTGGCACAGGATGAAACATGAGGGTCTTCAGAAATAAAACAAATTAAAAGTAACCATAAAGCTTATATATTTAATACCCGAATATAACATCTTTGAAATCAAGCATACAAGAATTTTTAGTGAGTGTGAGCGCGATTATATGGGTGTACCCAAATCTCTACCACAAAAGTGATATATTCTGCATGTTCAGACACTGGAGCAGTTGATGACTACACAATTAGGTAAGTAATAATTATTTCCAGAAAGGTTGAGTGAGGAAGAAGAACCTTTTCTCTACTTATTCTTTCATAAAGCTTTTCTTAATAAAAAAGAAAAACAAAATACAAAAGAACATAATTTCTTCTATGAATTCTTTAAAAAATGGTATAATTTTGTTTTGATTTTGACAAACCTTTCCATTGACACAGGTACAAACAACAGTGTGAGGGCACTTGGGATCCACTGCTAATCCAGTTCTATCTCGGCCATTAAAAGCACCTATAAAGAGACAGATAATCAAAGTCTTTAATCCTATAGATTTGTTGATCCTTGATATTAAATCAAATTAATCTTTAATCCACTATGATGATGGCTTCTTGTAATCAAAAGCAGTTTCCCTATCATACATTAAAATTATCATCATACTGTTTGAAAAAGAAATTCTTAAATGCAGAAACTAACTCAGATATTCAACAGAAAACAGCTTGCTAATAAAGGCATACTTGGCAAGTAATTCATAACTTCTTTCATTTAATACTGATGCATACATTTGTATACAGCACAAAGAAAATCACAAATCATACAAGTCTTAAATCTCCTATTTAAATTGGGAATGTATGGTTAATAATCGCTGTAAATATTTAATTCATGGGGTACCTTCATAACATGCCTAGTACATTCAAGCCTGTCTTGGAACGAAACCAGACTAATTGCCTTCATGGATAATGTCAAGGCCATATGCTTGTAGAACTTTTGATTATTGGCCATGACACATGATATAAACATTAGCATGACTCATGGTTGGCAACCCGGCATGTTGACAGTAATTTTGTTTTAGCTTTGCTACATTTAAGTTACTGTTACTCTCTACCGACTCTATCTTCACAAGTTCTTTTAAAAAAAACTGAAGTTACTATAAATGTAGAGTGAATATCAAAAGGTAATTTATGAGCAGTAAAAAATGTAACAATATTCAATTTACCTAAAGTGTTAAACTAACCAAACGATTATGGGACAATATGCAGACAATTTATAGAAAGGATTAGAGCATGAATCCTATAGTAACCCAAGCGTATCAAATTCAAGCTCATGTAATTCATACCTCCAGGAATATCCATATATATCATAGGAAAATTATACAGAGCTAATCATATATGGCAAGCCTTATAGAAAACAAATATATTTACAGTAGTCAACTTTCATAAAACATTAACAAAATACAAAGACCTAAAAGAATCTGATTTGTACTCAGTAATAACTTACAGCTATCGTATGTCAACAGCTGGGCTCCTGTTTCAACATCCACCACTGCCAGCCGTCCTGCGGTTGTGGTGGCCAAAATCTGAACAAACAAATATCAAATATCATATACACATAAATAATGCGACTTATTCTTATCGTTCAATGCATTGCTGAAATTCTTTTCATCCTGTTCAGTGTGTTCACACACAAATGTTCAACTCAAATCATCCCCATTGAATACAGTAGAATAAAACATGCATTAAAGGGGAAGTCCACCCTGATATTATAGTGGTTTTAATAGAAGCAGAAAACTTAGAGAAACAATTCAGTGAAAATTTGAGGAAAATTCAGACAACAAATAAGAAAGTTATGAATCTTTCAAAATCATGAAAATCACGGAATCTTTGAGACAAATTGGCAATGATAATAATATCTAATATTTATATAGCGCTTAATACAAATGTCTCTAAGTGCTTTACAAATATACTATTACCCTGGTCATTGGATTCAGTGGTTGCTTGCACACAATGTGTGCACAATCTCCACTCCCTGGGGAGCATTCCAGCCAGGCGTTACATGACGCTCAAAAACTGTTTGACCAGCAATGACGGTCGCATCCCATTTAACTCCTGGGTGGAGAGTAGCAGGTGGAGGTTAATATCTTGCCAAAGGATATTAGTGCCGTGTCGGGATTCGAACCCTCAACCTTCGCATCTCCAAGTCAAGCGCCTTAAACCACTCGACCATGACACTCCCTTCAGAAATTTTGATGTCATTCCCTCACAATTCTGATCTGAATGACAGAATGACCCAAAATCTCAATTTTCTGAATGTAAATGAAATAGTAGACCTCTCTTATATGGGGAGGCATGAAAGAACATGTTATCTGTGATATGATAGAGATAGGCATGAAGAAAATATATGTTTTTATCAAAAAGGAAATTAATGACATTCCTTGCATTCAACAAAGGATAAAAAATGAGGGGGTAACATCATATGTAGAGATCGCGTTGCCAATTTGACTCACAAATTTGATGTATCTCATGAAAAGTTATGGATTTAAAAAATCCATGACTTTCTAATTGATTGTCCAATTTTTCTCAAACCTTCACTGGTCTGTTCTTCTCATGTCTCTCCTTGTATTTAAACAAACTTGTTATCAGGGTAGACTTCACCTTTAAGGTCAAGTAGTTATCTAGGTATTACTTCAATATTGCATAATTTTGATGGGTGGATTGGGCAAAATGATGCAGGGTAAGAATTTTTTTAAATTACTGACAACTAAAACCTCAGAATCAAGAATAATTTTTTAGCTCTTTAGCTTTTGGTCAGTGTTTAAATCCTAATTTAGATCAGTATTATACAATGTAATAGCAATTGCTATTTCAAATTTAAGATTAAATCACCTTTCTTCCATCACAAGTGAACCTCACAGCATTGATGTTTCTGGCAAGACTAAATGTTGTCACCTTCAGAGCAGGAGAGAACAAAAATACATACCGGTACAAGGAATAAACGTATAATAAACTTTACATAGATCCTCCAATTTGAAGGGATAGAAGTTCAAATTTAGATATAATATGATAAAACGAAGTGTATTACTTGGCTTATTCAAGGTTTTGCAATATTGGAAAATATGATAAGCAACCTATATACATGATATAAAAGTGCTTAACACATTTGTGATTAAAGGAAGGATTTTTCTAAGAAGACTTCTTGCTCAATTCTTTTTAAAGCATAACATTACATACTTAAACTGTCATAAAAAAAACTCTAAGACATTTAAATAATACAACTTATACAAGGGTATGTTATTGTACTTGGCTGTTTCAAAAAGAATTACAGATCTACAAAACATCATTCTTCTGTACATTGAGAAACACAGATTTAATTATTTGTTGGTAGAAATAACAATTGAATTTACATTTAAAATGTCAAATATTTTATACAAATAACAGACATTATTGAACAACAGCAGCAGAATTTCTGACGTAATGAAATGAAATTATTATTCATCAAAAGAAGCTAGTGGTATAATTGCATCAAGACGACACACAAAAGTATCAAGAATAGAAATAGAGCATACTCACAGAGTAGCTTTGAAGCAAGGCACATTTCTGTGCTGTGTATAGGTTCACTCTGCCATCAAATGCTCCTGAACAGAAGAGATACCTATCCTGAAATATCAAATTAAATGCATTTTCACATCATATCCTGCATAATAAATATATAATATTTTGCTATTTAAGGAAATCTTTATCATATTCTTCATAAAATTCACCTTTAAAAGTACAAGGATTGGCACAAACTTGTCCATATATTAAAACTTTTTTCTGCCACATGTGCACATTCAAGAAATGTCTGTTGTTTTTATTGCATTTAGAAATAGACTATAAAATCAAACTAAATCTTTGTAGACTTATTTGGGGACATCCCATGTATGGTATAGACAATGTATCACTAATATCTATATCATCTGTATAATGAGTATTGCACATTGACTGACACCCATGACAGACCTACTCTACAACACAAGTTTGTTATTTTCCTGCTATTCAAATTATCATTCTCAATTACTATCTTAAAGCTTTTACCCCCCCCCCCCCTTAAAATGGAAAAATGAATGAGATAATAATGACTTTAAAATGTAAATACCTTTAAAAGGCTGCTCTTAATATGCTTTCCATAACTGAACTTCTTTACCCCAACTATATTTGAATCCTGGGCCATTGTTAGCCCTACACTATTTTTAACAAGCTCCCTATTCTTATATTGCAATCTAATAGCACAGACAGTCAATACTTGGACAATGGTATTTTCTCTGCCAACTGTCCAAGGTCAGCTTTGAGGGGCCATTCTTAGTCATGTGTGTGAGCAAAATCCTATAACACAAAAAGTTAATTCTGACCTAATTTGTCAGTATCTATCTTGTAGGAGAAGTCTCTCAATTTGGATTTCTGAATAATAATCTTACCCCCCAACAATGAAAATATATCACTTTCTTTCAAATGTCAAAATTAGGCCGGTCACGTGTGTGACCTCGCACAAACAGGGGTCTTGCTGGTATCCCAACCTTCTTTCTTGTATTTCCCTCAGAGTGCAAGTTTCTCATTCTTAGTCCTATTGACAGTGAAGTGTGAGCCTGATATTCTGTGGTTTTCATACACAGGCCACAATAAGCGGCACGCAAAACAAAGCGAGTTATATGAGCAAGCGCAACACATTTATTGCATATCATTTTTGATTGGCTATCGTACATTACAATGGCCATCAAGAAGTATTTTGGCTTAAAGCTGGCTTCTCACAGCACATTACTTACATTTGATTTGAATAAGACTTGAAAAGTTTTATCTATCGAAGCTGAATGCTATGTAAAGCACTGGCAAAATTCAGTATTAAATTGACTTCAATATTGCTCCATGTCTGTACAAATTTTGTAAATGTACGAGTCTAAGCACTAACCTTAGGACAGAAAGCTACACCTCTGACACTCCCAAGGTGATGCTTGAGATAGTGTGCTCTACCCTCCTCTTGCATCTCTGAGCAAGCCGTGTCCCGCCCTCTGTCACCTCCTTTCACCTAGCCTAGCCGATCCGTCTCCTGACCCTTCACAAGGCGTGTAGGGTGAAACAACGGTGGGATGGATCCGCAGTAGCTGCTGCATTCATCCAGTTTGGGTATCAGTGATAATTCTAGGGCGTGAAAGACATTTACAAGTTGATGAGCATGGTATGAATGATTAAAAACCCCTTCCCTAGTTCTAAAATACTGTTTTTACATTTTGATATACAGGTAGTTGTGAAGGCAGTGAAATAGTTAATCAAGTTGGCTCAAAATTTGGCGTGTTTAGTGCACATACATGTATAGCCACTCAGCCTTGGGGAGTCTGCTGAATTTAGCACCACTCCAAGGGCGCACCTGCTATTCTAATGTAATAAATATTAAATTGGCTAAGCAAAATCTGCCATTTTAGCATACATGTACATCGCATGTATTCGAGTTCCCAGCGGAATCAACATTGCAAACTCTCCTGAGCTGAAAGGTCAGCGTTTTTTGCACGATAGCTCTTTATCATCGGGAACACATGGAAAGAAAACAAAGATCTATCACGGAATAATGTCATTTTCACACAAAAAGGTGGTTTCAATTTGACATTGCAAAAACTAAGGTACCCATGGTCATGCCATGTCTACTAACTTATTCACTTTACACACAGTTCAGGATTTTTGAAGTGAAAGATGGCATTTCCAGGCAGAATAGAGTTACTTAAATTAGACTTTTCTCATCAGGTTTTTTTGCGTAAATATGAATCACTATAATATTAATAGAGACACATATCTTGTGTTCTCTTATGTTTTGTCAACATAACGCAGTTTCGCATAGGTCTATGCTCAGCGCCTTAGTCTAGATAGATAGATTTCTAGTTAGAGTTAGACATGTCATGGGCACTTTGTGTTTGTTTTTAGCCATACTCATCAAATCGATGCCAATCAAGTTTTAAGAAGGCTTGGTCAGTTGGTATTATCACCTCATTATCAATATCATATTTAATATCGTTACCAAGCCCTTCAGGCTAAACTGGGCACAGCAGAGCGCAGGCACAGACACTAGCACGGCAGGTGTATCCGCTCCGCAATACGCATAGGGATTCACGCATAGCTATAGACGAGTGTACTGTCAGCGGCAGTGCAGTGGCACGGTCTCAGCTCCAGCTCCAGGCCGAGAATGACTGAACGAAAACAAAGCCTGTTTACCGATGATTATAACTCCTTTTAAACACACACACAAAATATTATCTATACACATCTACATCACTCCTTCTGATAACTTATCAACTATCATTAATTGTGTAATAAGTTTTACAAGAAAGAGAAAATTGTAAAAACAAGAGCGACGATACTCACAAATCTCTCGTTCAGCTCTAAGAGGTCAATCAAGAGAACTTTAAAGGTCATGAACTCTGTGCTTCATGCATATTCATCTCGTAGAAATTTATAAACAAAGCAACGTTACTCTCCAAAAAGTAAGAATATGAACATCAGTGGTTATGACTCCATGGATGTTATTCGGGCATTGTTGGGTAACTTCTGTGCCTTAAAACGAAACAAAGAAACAATTACAGAATCTTTGTATTTATTCATAGGATGGGTTATGTTATCCATGCTCATGGGACAGGCCTATTCTAGATATAGTTCTCAACACTAGAAAAAAGAGGATTGCAAATAATCTAGGTGTACGATGGGCCCCCAAAATATGTAATGGACCCATTGTTCTAGAGCAATTATTTATTATATAAGATGATTATACAATTATAGCACTGCACACTTCCCTACTTTATAAAGTTATGATCTAGACCGGTAGTGCATGTAAAATTGCGGTTCAAGGGTTTTGGGTGCAAAATATCCATTCAATATTGTTTAAATATTTCCTTCAGAGGTTTAGATGGCAATACTTCAAACTAAATTCGAAAGATATGCCCAAATGTTTAATGTTGAAGTGCATTTGAAATATCCAGGCCGGATCGAGATGATAATTTACATTAGTAGGCGGTTTTCCGGCAAAATTTGTATCACTGTCACGTATTAGTCAAAACTTATTCTTTCACATGATTAGTAATAAGAGATTCCATTTTAGTTTTTGAGGGGGGGGGGCGTTTCCAAAACTGGTCTATACCTTTAATACGTATTGGTAGTGGGGAGGGGGCACACTAAAACGATGGTGGCACAGATCAACAATGAAATACAAATGATTCTGTAACATTGAAGATTTTTTAGTTTGTAGGCCTATTTGTGCATGTAGAAATATTCATACTGTTATTTATAAGGTTCATTGCATAATATTATGTTGCACTGCTGACATTTTCTCTCGGCTCTCTCTCTCTCTCTCTCTCTCTCTCTCTCTCTCTCCCTCTCTCTGTATCTCTCTCTCTCTCTCTCTTCTCTTCCTATTTGACTCTATTCCGTATAAGTCCGTCTTTCTGTCCTTTTAAGGTTTACAAAATGGCTTGTGGCAAGGCCTATTTTTTCTGATAAAATTTGCCTTATAATAGGCGACGTATCATTTTCATCAGCCAGAAACTTTCACAATAACTTGAAAATCATGATGATAAAGACAGTGTACCATTAATGCCATTATAGTTATTTAATCCTTGGAATTGTCGTTAAATCTATCCGTCTTTTTGTGTGCTAATTATTTGTTGTCATGGTAATCATTTGTGCTTTACTTTCCTATGTATGCTTGCATTGACTTATACGTCATTGATTGTCCGTCAATAATAAGGGTGCCCTTTTTCAGGCAATTGTATGCTCCATTTATATAACCACGCATATCTCTCGTATTTTTTAGAACATCTACTTGCCAAACAAAGCAGTTTGGAGGCCGGATGGGCCACCAGCTACTGTTGTTGAAGCTTGCGCGACTGTCTATGAATGGATTAAAGAATGAATAAATATGGCAATTGAAACAAAATATATGAAATGAACCACGCAGAGATCAAGTAATATCAGGATCCACACCGTATTTCAGTGACAAGCAAGATTAAGAAATATATGGGATTTTTCTAACCCAGCATGACTTAGAAAAGGGTGCCAAAATAGGCCTATGTATTTATACAAGAGCTGGTACCATACCAGGAGAAACCCCCCAAAACAACGGACCCATTTCTACGCCCTACATAATCATAAGTAAAAGTGCAATCAAGATATTACAAACAATAACAAATGGGCGTGGTCCACTGTGCTTATAAATAGATCGCAATGGAACCCCTTTGATTAATACAGGTGCGATATCCCATTTGTTTACTTTGCCCTTTTTATTTTGAAAGGAGGAGATTCCTTGTAGAATATTGAGTTAATGAGACATATGAATATAATAATCAGAGCAATCGAATATCATAAATTCCATTGCATAATTATTAAATAGATAAATACAATAAACGAATTTATTTCTTCGAATTTGGAAAATAAAAAATCACCTCAAAATATTCTACCTCTATACGTTTACCCCTTTTAAAAGTGGACGGATCCAATTTCTCGATCGATATTGCGATCGTTGATGAAAGCGTTGAATCTGTCCACGTCGTCAAGAAGAGCAGATTTGCAGACGCTTCTCTCATTTGTGGTAAGCAAATCTTCGTTTAATACCTTTTTATTGATATCCAACTGAATTAAATGTACCTTTACGTAAATCAAACAGTAATTTATGGTTTCAAAAGGAATGATATTTGTTCATTAATGAAAAACTAGTGTTCTTCGGATTGATGTGGACTTTCCACCTTTTTTTTCCGAGTCCCATGTGTGTCTTTATTTGTTAGTTCTGACTTGTGAGATTTTCAGAGATGATAAATTCTGTTGTAATGGTAGTGTGAGATTTGTGTGTTGGTTGTACGCTTGTAGCTAAACTTAGTCGACGTTAAATGTGACCAGGTATGTTACTGCTAAGGTGAAGTGCAATTGTTGTTATGTACACATATTTTTCCACTGCATTTTGAGCCCTTTCATCATCATGGTCATTTCAAATGTGCCAGAAGTTTTTTTTATTTGACAGTTTCTACATCAGCATACACGATCATGCCAGTAAAGTTTGCACAGCAGACCGTATGCCTATGGTCTGAGTTCTGTCTCTAAAGTGAGGAGCTGACCCTACGTAAATAAAAGGCTAAAGAACAAAAGAGAAATGGTCAATGCTAATGCGTATAGAGTCTAGGGGGTCTAGTTTGAGACTTTATTTTTCTTACAGAACAAAACCAAGGAACAAAACCAAGGAATTAAAAAAAAAAAAATCAAAATTTCAAATCTAAGGAGTAAGGTGTTAAAATATGTAAAGGGGAACTTTTACTAATACTTATTTGGTAACGAAGGTCCAGTGTATAACCAGAGCTTGGCAAGATGAAACTTTCAAGGATTATTGATAATTCATGGTTGCTTTGGTGTCGGAGGCAAGAAAGTGTTTGGAATTGCTAAAATTCTGCGATTTGATTTTGATTCAAATATTAAGCAGCATGAAACTATGGCAAACCTCAATCACTTGCAAATTCCAATTATTTTACACACATGAATTTTAGTATTACAGTGACTGTGTTGAATAGCAAATATTGCTTTATTTTTTTTCAATCTAAGTAAGCTACATGTACATGTTTATGTATATAAAAGTAGAGTGAACAAAAAAATACAGCAGATATTTAATTGTTAAATTATGAGCCAGTTAAAAGATTGTAAAATTACTTGGTAGTCTGTTTTTAATTACTAAGCAAGGGGAACAGTCCCTCCAAAGTTGTATTTGCCTGTAGACATTCCTCCAAAGTGGTCACCATGTTGATTGAAATAGTGATGTCACTTGTCAGAGTTTTCCATTGACTTTTAGAGAACGGACTGAATTGTACTTATGGGGGAGAGATTCTGATACATCTAATTCTCTATCATGCTGTTAATGTTGCTCAGTGTTTGGAGGGTAAAGTCCATCATGCAGCCATACAGATCTAAGGAGGGGAGGGAGAAGAATTGAGTCCTTTCTTTCAAGAGGGAAGGGGTCTTGTCTTCTGAATGTCATTGTCATTGCCGTTATAAATGGATGTGAAATTGGCAGATGAGGACATCGGGATAACTACAGGGTAGTTACTTGTTACTTGTAGAGATAATCCCGATGGCAGCTATCATACAGCTAAACTGGGATGTCCGTGCAACGTGCTGGCATAGTGACGGTGCATGAAATAATTCAAAACAGTGAATCAGAAGTGCTCACAGGTTGTTAAAGGTTAAATTCAAAGAAGATCACAAATATGTCCACTTATGTATCACTAGAAACTGGTAAGCTAACAGATGGCCATTGTACAAGTTTTTAGGCGAACTACATATCAGGTGATTTATAAAAATACAAATACAACCACCACCATAGCAGCTGGGATATACGAGAGATTCGCCGGAAAAATAACAATGTTTTAATGACGTCACTATATGGACCAACACTGCCCTAGCAGACGACATCCCATAGAGAATGAACATAATTGCAAAGCTATTATTTCTCAAATTATAATGAGTTTAGTGTATATAAATGTAATGGCATGTCAAACCATTCAAAAGGGGATATGACCCGATTCTGATAACTAAAATCTTTTGCTTGTAAATACACAGGATAGGGGTTAATTAACAATCAAATAAACCAGACTTTCAAATTGAAAAAACCCCAGAATGATATTAAGGACGGCATTTGTTCCCTCTTGAAACGCCGAACATACCCCGGTGTGTGCTGCTGAATTTACAATGGCGTCTCATTTTGTTTACAAGCGACAGATTCCTTTATTTTTGTATTGCTGCATTTGTCATTAAAAAAAAACATGCGCAGGTTTAGAGTGAGACAATATATTATACATTTAGCCTGACGGTAGTGAAGTAAGAGAAAGAACTCAAGAGAAGATGAAAACACAGGTACTGAAAATGTGTGAGATGTCATGGGACATCGTCTGCTTGTGCAAGTCATGTCCATACTGTGATCTCACACATCTCAGCAGCGTTCGGAAAGCTCTTCAGGTGCTATGCCGAGGCTGTATTTAACCGTTTTGTAATTTATAATAATCATTACTTTGAATGTTTCCAAGCATTGAATTTTAATAACCTTGTCAAATCAAAGTTTCAACTTTGCAATAATGAAAATAAAGTTAGTTTTTAAAATCAATGAATATCTACTTTAATGTATTGAGAGATCTCTGACCAGGTTGCTGTATTGGGTACATACATGGGAATTCCTTGATGTTAAAAGCTTTTGTTCCATAGTTAGACATATTTTTTATGTGTGTGTGTCCTGCAATTTTAACTGTTTTCTTTGACTTTAAGGCTAGAGTGGCACTAGTTCATAAAATAAGCAAAAGATAGTAGTATTAAACTTATTTTTAAATTGATGAAATCCCCTTTTCCACATACTTCTTCATGTTTTACGTCATTAATTATTTCCCCTTTATTTTTAGCTGTAAGTTCAAGTTCTGAAAGATGAAGGCCTTAATTCTTGTTGGAGGATATGGAACGAGGCTGAGGCCTCTAACTCTGAGCAGACCTAAGCCACTGGTAGAGTTTTGTAATAAACCAATGTTATTACATCAAGTGGAAGCACTAGCAGAGGTAAGTCAGCTTTCTGTTGGAAACAAAGAATCTTGATTAATGAATGAAGCTTTCATGTATATGTATCATGATATTATTTTCACCAATATGCCATATTTTCTTGTACTAAAGGATTTTTATGTCATGATTATTCAATTTTTGTCAGTGTTTAGTGGCTGATCATTGACAGAATGAGAGTGAAATAGCACTTGAGATTTTTAAATTGTATTATTTTGATTTATTTTCTTTGGCATTGATAGACATTATAACTGTTGGAGAACTTCTATTTTTATATTCTGTTGGTTAAGGCTTTACACTTATCTTGACAAGACGGTCTTTACAGGTTTCATAAAACTTTCATAAAACCGTGTTGTATCCTCAACTAGCCTAAACTGGTGTACTCTAAATTGTAAAAGATTGATGGTGATGCAATTGTTATTACTCTTTCATCATGCAGGTTGGTGTGAAGGAAGTTATCCTGGCAGTCAGCTACAGGGCAGAGATGTTGGAGAAAGAGCTGAGAGCGCAAGAAGAAAGAGTAAGAAACACTTGCCTCTTAATTTATTTTTTTTTAAATCCATGTTTCCTTTATAATTAGAATGTACCAGCAAATAATAATTCCTACAGACATACATGTATGCTTGACACAAGTACCTCAAAGTGAAATGGAGTGACAGTCTAAATGAAGTATTTGGCCAATTAAACACGAATTTGCAGTTTCTTATCAAAGAATTATTGAGAGGATTTTGTAGTATGTGGTATGAGATTTTATTCAACAACTTGAAGTATAAATTTTCAGTTTCAGGGAATTAATGAATTAAATTACTTGTCTTGCTGAAATGCAGTTGTTTGGGGTCTGAGGCTTTGGGAAAGATATATGTCTATCTTGAAACAGGATGAGTGTAAAGAATTTTTAAAATACAAATTGGAGAAGTTTTGAACAAAGATTATTATAAATAAAGTCATTCCATGGATATTGTAACAACTGTATAGCAGTTTCCCGTTATCCTTACCTTGGCCTCCATGATAAAGACAATCAGTTGACCTTTGGCTTGTGTTTCATCATTGTTTATAGTTCTAAGTAAAGCATGCTTGCTAAATTTTCAAAAGCTCAAATGACATTGTTACCTGCTTGAGTCTGATAATCCTAGATTTAAACAGTGTATGAAGTTGATTGCTTAACCTTATTCTTATGAGAGATAATTCACTTTAAAGACTCTGATATTTATGTGAAAGAATGATATGATGTGTTTTGATATGATAAAGGTACTATTTAACATTTTTACATAATCATGAAATTATAAGTATTGTTTATAAGTTTGGTCAGTTATGTGAGCAGTGGAACTCATCTACAGTATTTAGAAAAATGACCAATGCTCATAAGGAAAGTTCAAGTTCATTTCCGTTGAGACTGGGAATACTAAGAACTCTATTTGTATGATGATACAAAAACCTCAGACTTACCAGTATAGATATTACAAGCAAATGAGTAAGTTCAGATTAATTTATTATCATCTTGCTTCCCAAGTTCCCATCATTGTTTGTATTTATGAAAAATATTTGTCATTGTTTCAATTCACAGCTAGGAATAAAAATCACCATGTCACATGAGAAAGAACCCCTTGGAACAGGTAATTTTATTTCTTCTCTAGAGTAATAGTATTACCTAGTTTCTCTATCTAGGATAGTTTGGAAAAAAGGTATCCATAAAGACCAATCATTGAGAGTTCCAAAACATTCTTGGGAACGGATGAAGGAAACCCTTCTATAAGTCAACCAGGTCCTGTTACAAAACCATATGGGAAGTCCAAAGCTTGTCAGTATATTTTACTGATCACTCGACATACAGATTCATTTAAATTTTCCAGATTTTAATGTTTCATAAATAAGTTTTCAGGCAAACAATTACAGGAAGAGTCTGATGATGTAGCAAGCACTTTTTTCAAAATTCTTGGATGTGATTAGTTGACATCATTATTGCATAAAAATTAGGAATTTTCAACCATTGCTATCAGTCACTAGGTGATATTGTGTCTGTCAAGTCATCTGTAGTAAAACCAAATAAGGCAAGGCCCACTTGCAATGACATCAGGACTTTCCTGTTAATAAATACACAAATTGTAGTTTTAACCCAACAGCTCTAATATGTTGAAACAGAATATGGGAAAAATATTTAGAGTGGTATTTTGAGCAAATTATCAACACTACAGAGTTTGTAGATGGTCATTTGTGATTAAAGTTTAAAATGTTAATAATACATATTTAAACAATTTGAATTTTTAATTTGTATCAAGTTGCATGTAGAACATTCTTCATTTAATGTTATTGAATTGATATATTAATGAAAGTAATATATATTTGTCTCTTTCATTTTTTTTTTCAGCTGGTCCATTGGCTTTAGCAAGAGACATTCTTAAAGAAGACAATGAACCCTTCTTTGTGTTGAATAGTGACATCAGTTGTGAGTTTCCTTTCCGTCAGCTTATTGAGTTCCACAGAAGTCATGGCAAGGAAGGAACAATTGTGGTCAGTACTCTTTAGGGATTTTCTAAAGTACAAGCTTTTTTTTCTTCTTGTAAATAGAGAGAATTTCTACCATCTAATTTATGCAAAAATATGAATGTTTTGAAATTAAGATATGATTTAGAAGTATTAAGATTCCCAATTTTAATATTGACAATATTTATTAGTTTCTCATAATTGTTGTAATATAACTAATTACATAGGAAATATGGTTGGATCCATAAATCATTAATTTTCATATCAACCCTTTACCTGCTTTGTGTGACTATTGGAACAAATTGTGGTGTACCATAGTCAACTTTTGTCACAATGTACATTGTACATGATGGTACAAACACTATCAGCCTAAGGTTTCAATCCTTAATAATTAAAGAGTTATGATGGAAGGGAAAAATGTTTAAGAGGAGTCAGATATATTTTCCTTGATGTCGAAATTGTAAAAAAATGACAGGAGAATGATCGATTTTATTTAATTTGTTTTCCTTGATGTCAAAGCTGTACAAACAAGACCAGATAATGATATTTATTATTCTTTAAAAAACAAAAAAAAAGTTTTAAAATAAAATTTAAAAAAACAATATAAACAATATCACAGTATTCTTGATATTTAGATGGTGTTTCCCATTCTTACATTTGTATACCATGTTATGTTTTGACAGGTAACGAAAGTAGAGGAACCCTCAAAATATGGTGTCGTAGTGTACAACAGCACTGACGGGAAGATTGAGCGCTTCGTGGAGAAACCCCCAGTATTTGTCTCTAATAAAATCAATGCTGGTCTCTACATGTTCAGTGCTGGTATATTAGATAGAATAAAGGTTAGTATCGTATAAATTCAGAATGTAATTATACTTAATAAGATTTAAAGGGTAACAAACCCTTTTCAGTGCTTGTATCAAATAATAAGGAATCAAATGGAAGCTGGTGAAGTCATGCTATTTTTAGCAAAAAATGTACATCTATATGTATTGCTAAAATCTTTTTTACAGCGTGTTTACCTAACTTGATTAAAATTTAATTGGTCAATGCTCATTATTTTCTTCCTGGAAATCCTTTAGATTAGAAAAAAAAGTTATCTCGTGTATTTGGATGTGTGGCATTGACCTTATTTCCTCCATTTAGAGACGCATCATATGACTTTATTCAGCAATATATTTCTCAGGGATGCATTTTCTAGAGTGAATTGTGTGGGCAGTTAAAAAAGAAATGTAGGTATCAATAAAGTACCCCTAACATTTGCTGGGACACCACTTTTAGTCCATGAATGTCTGTCAGTTATATAAATGCACCAAATAAATACTCAATATCCGTTTTAATGAATAGTATGATGGTGAATAAAAGTGAGGATATCTTTTATTAAAAAGGGGGGATTTTTCTTCTTTTACAGTTGACACCTACATCAATAGAGAAAGAAGTCTTCCCTCACATGGCCACAGATGGACAACTTTATGCAATGGAACTTCCAGGTGAGTTCAAACCTCTTATTGTCCCCTCATAAATCACTGTGTGCAGGCAAAAGTGCACAGCCACAATTTTTGTCATACCGGTAATGCATTTGCACCCAAAGAGCAGAGAAATATAATGTCATTGATTGCTGTGATAATCAATGATGATGATGTACACAGATCATTCAAAATTGAAGAATTTTGTGAACTAGGAATTACAAAATGTAAAATTCCCTGTTTCTCCCTTTTAATATATGTTGTCGATTTCCTCATTTTCTGTATGTTACCTTTTTTTCTTAACTTTTAAATTCATGAAATTGGTAATCCACTCTTTCTATTCCTCCATCTGTTATACTTACTTTTATTTTGATTTCACTTCTAAAATGGTGTCCTTTCTTTCATCCAATCTGTATCATGTTCTGCAGGATTCTGGATGGACGTTGGTCAGCCTAAAGATTTCTTGATCGGCATGTGCCTTTACCTCACTTCAGTCAGGCAAACACATCCTGAAAGGTTATACTCAGGACCAGGTGTGGTCGGGAATGTTCTTGTGGTAAGCATATATCTAAAGTACAACTTTGAGAACTTTTATTACCATTAGATCAATTTGACATCGTCTGATTTTGAAGTTACCACAACCTGCAATGGTCATTCCCACTATTGTTTGTCAGAAATATGATACAGGGGTGTTTTGATGATGAATCATCAGCAATATGATGAATCCCATACTGTATTGTATTGCAGGACCCGACATAGTGATAGATTCTGGTGTGACTGTAGAGAACTCTTAAGCATTAGAATATAAGCAGTGGATTGTGATTTGTATTGTTCTGTTATTTACTTTGCAGGACCCCACGGCTAAGATTGGTCAGAACTGTAGGATAGGTCCCAATGTAGTGATAGGCCCTGGTGTGACCGTAGAAGACGGAGCTTGCATCAAGCGAAGTACCATTCTCAGGGATACATCAATCAAATCCCATTCGTGGATTCATTCATCTATAGTAGGATGGAAGTGCCAAATAGGACAATGGGTAAGTGTTGGATATCATATCTTAGCAGAGTTCTGTATTGTTTCTTCCGTTGAGATAGCTTTTTAGGAGAGCGAGGGAGGAGTAATTATCGGTACCACTCTTTTGATTTTCAAATCTCATTTTTTGACCGTGTCTACTTGTGGCAGTTTGTACATTTACTCCATTGGCAAAATTTGATTTTTGTATTATATTTTTCAAGGACACCAGTCTTATTCAACAGAATTGCCCATATAAAATTACTATTTACCCAATATCAACATATTTCATGCAATTCTAAGTAGCTAACAGCTAATTAAGTTAACTTATTAATTCCTGTTTATTAAATAGAGGTATACAGGAGCCATAAATAATTGTACCTCCCTTCTTGGTTCTCCCTATTTTTTATAAATTCATTTATATTTCGATATACATTGTATATCAAAGCCATACTGAATTACTATTTACTGAATTACTATTTACTCAATATCAACTTATGACATGCACCTATCCAGAGCAAACAGCAGTTCCAACAGGTGTTGTCCCTTTTTCTTTTACTTTAAAAAGCTGTGTCAATGAGATTGGTTTCCTATTGAGTTATTTTTTAAAGGTCTGTCGGTCTGTCTGTTTGATCAGTATAAACTTGTCGTACAGATCTTATTTCAACACACCTTGTAAAAATAGATGAATGGGCTGACCTGATTAATTTTCAGAGGAGTGTGGTATATTAGTTTTTAGGTAAAGGATATTCACTTTGTTATCACCCTTTAACCCCATCCTCCAGTATCACTTCATACATATGTTTACAGTTCAAGTCATATTTCGATCTCTGTGATGGTACACTTATTTTTAGCTGAACGTGAAAAAGCACGTTTGAAGTAAAGTGAATTTGTTGATATTGGTACTATACTGAAAAAGCTTCCAATTTAATGACATCTCCATCATGGCGAATGCAATTTACAATTTGAACAAATTGTTACTTTACATATTTCTTCCATTTATGGGCAATAGCAGATTATTTGTTGTTGGTGTAGTTTTCTTCTTTATTATTTTTTCTGATGGAAGAGAGGCACACTGGCATGTGCCCCCCCCCCTTGAAACCGAAGCACGATACCTTTATTACACAACTAAACAAGTTGCCTCTTAAACTACAGACTCCTGAGTTCTCTCATTCCTGCAGGCTTAATATAATGATCAACCAGTTCACGTAGCCAGTGGGTTTTATTATTATGTACTTTTCTTTCAACTGTGCCACCCCCCCCCCCCTCCCTTTTTTTGCCCCTTTTGGAGGGGAACCAGTATCTTTTTACGATTGTTTCGTAAGTCAACTGCGGGTACAACTCAAACCTTTTTTTCCGTATTGTCATATATTGCAGGTTCGCATGGAGAATGTATCAGTACTGGGAGAAGATGTGACAGTCAAAGATGAGCTCTATATCAACGGAGGGCGTATTCTACCTCATAAATCCATTGGAGCTTCTGTATCAGATCCACAAATCATCATGTAATCTATTCCATCATGTGTGACATTCATGAAATTATAGATATAGAACCTTCCAATGCCCTCATACATACATATGACAAAACATCAAATACAAGTAATTTGGGGAAATCTTAATCTGGCTTTGATTTGGGAGTATGAGCATATCACAATAATTCTGTATTCATGTCATATGGGAGTTCTGTGCTACAATAAACACATGTTTATTTAAAGCCCCTTTGCACTAGTTTGGCCAGGAGGGATTAGACCTCCCTGCATGGTCACTGACAGGTGGTTATCTCAACAAATCAGCTTTCAATTAACATAAGAAAAGGGGATCATGGGGGACCAATATAGTCACAGATTAGGCATTGTTTGACATATAAAGAGCGCAAGAAGCTATAAGTAGTGCAGTGGGGCTATAAGTTTTAGGTACCAGTAATCCTTTATACATTCATTATTTGGGCTTTAGGGAATTCTGCTGTATGATTGACGAAGGAAATGGCAGTATGATGAATTGTTATTACTTGTGCCTTATATTTCAATCATTTATTTTTTACTTAACAATTAAGGATGTTTTTATAACTACATAATGATTTGGTGCACTTTTTATGTATTACTCTCATGCCTTTCTAGTTTTGAAAACAGCTGTGAGATTTTTTTTAAAGGGACACAATAATTTCAACTGGTTATTATTAAAGTTGGTGGCAGGTTCGTTTGTGATTTTAGGGCCTGTGGATATTCCAATTTTCTTGTTTTCCTCAATCGCTGCTTTAATCGATACAACAGAGAGTATGGCAATGATGTATGCATGTATGCTGCATGGAGGTTTCACCTGGAATCTATACACATTATATTAGCCTCTGGAGAAAATATTTAAATCTGTAATAAAATGAGGTCTTTGTGATGGAAAGTTGTGCTGTAAATGTATTTTGATAAGAATGCAGTACAATGTCTTTTGTAAAAACATTTATCTTTGCTTGTCTTTCCTAAGTCCTAAAAGTGTGTTCATATTAAACAATGATGGCTTACATGAAGGAGGTTTACCATTTTGTAAAGATCTAAAGGATAGTTTGAATTTTAAAGTTCCATTGTGGGCTTAATTATACCTAGATAGAAGTGGGTTGTTCCCTGTTCCTACGAAACTGTTGACGAATTTAGGCCAAAGAGAAAGACGGAAGGAAGATTTCCTGATGAATTACATTCAGATCGTAATATTTATTTTTATAATGCCTGTACAGGTAAAATATTAGCTGTAAATGTGATACATAACTTCTTAACAATGAAATGCGATTGCTTCCTCATGAGTAATGTAATTATTATATCTATTTAATTGTGCCCTATGCATTTGGACTAAAATGTATGAACATCGATTGAAAAAAAATAGGTTATGTAATATTGCTGAATATACACTCGCATGTATGGCTGATATTAAATATTATAATTTAGAGAGAGTATATTATGTAAATTTATGAAGGATGTAGATGGCTAGAAATATTGTATGATTGATTTATATAAATGTGCTTTGAGAGGGTTCAGCAGTGATTTACAGTACATCAAATGTCATAAAGGAATGTATTATGTAAGAAGCAATGTAATATAAAATTTCAACATATTATTTAATATAAGAAAATCCAATACCAAAAGCTGTGCTCAGACAAAAACTTCACTGTCATTCCACAATTTGTTAATGTTTGTTGCTATCTTAAATGAAGAAAAAAAATTGTGTATTTAGCCTGGATATGATAGGCTAATCATGGACATGCATAAATTTAGTTGATTTTGGATCACACATGTCAAATTTGCAGGTATTGTTTAGTTAACTTTAAACAAAAATGTTGAATGAAAGTAAATAGTAGTACTTAAAATTGTACTTTGGTAACACATTAATTTTTTAAGATATGTTTATCTTGGATCAATAGCAAAAAGGATTTTGTCTTAATTGAAGAATCTATAATGTGATTAAAGGAATAGGCCCTTATCAAAAGATTATTTTTTAAGTAGTAGCAGATTCCTCACTTGATTTTTAATAGAAAATTAGATATACAGTAATGATTATTACAATATGAATAACAATGAGAGTATTTTATGAAATGTATTATTTAGCAAGTATGACAAATAATAAAATCAAATCAAATGTATTCATACAATGTATTAATCATAAGCTCTCTTTTCTACCTAGGTAAATACACTTTATATCAATTCTATACTAATTCTTTCTATATCTTTATCAATATTTCCAGATTTGTGTGAGTACATAGTTTTTATCAAAATGGAATATGCCTATGACACATGCAGCTTTAGCACGAGGCAGAAGAAACTCTCGTGGTCTACATGCATGGAGTTCCTTATGTAGTACTGGTACTAGGTGTTATTCAGTACACCTTCTGTAAACAGGGTCTTTACTTCTATAATTTTGCTACACTAGTGATATTGCGGGGATAGCTTTCTCAAATTTAGCACTAATTAATATTTCAAAGTTTGCTTTTGCCCTGTCTGCATGGAGTGCAACATAGCACGTACTTGACCAAATGTATGATCCATTTCTGTTGATTGCATAATAAGCATGTATCTTAGACCACATTTAACTTCTGTATGACTTTTCAAAATTGAATGATCTCTATAACCTGTCTTCATTTGATAAAATTTCCAAAGATGTCTGTTTTTGTTGTTGATGTATTTATCATTATTGACATTATTATAATTTTCCAAACTGACTTCTGTAGAGCTAATGGTAATTCTAGGAGTCATTTATGTGGCAATTTCATACATCATATAATGTACAAATTGAATCAACCAAGTTTTGTATTAAAGAAATTGACTTGGTTTTATAAATCACTAAAAATTGTCAAACTTTGTCTTTTTTCCCCTTTTGTTCACTTGAATAATGCAGCTCCTACCCCAACCTCTTCTCTAGATTGTGCATTGTATTTTCACCAAAAATATACTGGCATATGATGCAAACAAAATATGCATGCATATAAGTATTTAAGATTACACCAAAACAAAAACTGTTTGTACATGTAATTCTGATTTCAACTTTATGTAAAATTCAATTAATACCACTCCCAGCAAATTTACACAACTCCTACACATAAAACTGCACATAATCAAGTATGAATTTTATACAAAATGTCAATATATTTATTTACAATGAGGTGAGTGAACATGCAAGAATTTACAACTACAGACCTACAGATGAAGTGACATCAATCTTAAACATTCTCAAGCATTTCATTATTCAAACCCCATTGCATTTGTGTCTTGTGGAGTTCATAATTCAAATCCTACTGCACCTGTTTCTTGTAAAGACTTCACAGCATCTCTCTCTAAAAGAATTTTCAGGAAGGGGGGGGGGGGGGGGGGGGGGGTAAACTAATCTATTTATTGCCTCTAATAGCTTTGAATGAGAGCAAGTCCATCTATTCCGTCTCCTGCATTACTGGCCAATATAGGAATCACATATACTTATTAAGTTTATTTATATGTCTATAGTTCCACTACAGATTTGACTGGATCAATTACAAAGTGATGAAACGTTTAACTTTTAGTCGGTTTATGTTAAAAACTCAACAATACTTGTTAATGGTTTATAGCCTTTTGGTCTACAACCAGTTCGTCTACTACCCAATTGGGCTATTATCATATGGTCTACAACCAGCATGTCTATCATCCACATGGTTTAATAATCATTTTGTCTACTTATCATTTGGTCTAATAACCATTTGGGCAAATAGTCATTTGGTCTCATTTCCATTTGGTCTAATAAAAATATCCATTAAATCTACTACTCACTTGGTCTATTGCTCAATTAGTCTAATTTTCAGTTGGTCTAATTCCCAGTTCGTCTAATGACCATTACTATCCACAAGGTCTAATAATCATTTGATGATTGCTGTTACTTATCATTAAATGATTATTAGACCATATGGACAGTAGATAAAATGGGCATAAGACAAACAATATACCATATGGGAATAGACCAATTGAGGTAGTAGATTAACTGGTTGTAGACCAAACGGCAATTCACTTGTAAACATGAGGGACACTAAATCACTTAATAGCTTGAACTTGCCTTTGAGTCAAAGCTATTAGTGAAAGTGAACTGATAAAATTTAACTTTTCTGTGATGTGAAAATGGTTTTGTTTACTAACAAATATTTTGTAACTTTGGGACACATAATTAAAAAATCTATGGGTATTTTAGAAATAAAATTCTGTATTTATTATAAACTTACTCTTAAAAATTTACTTCTCCTCTAATCTGGACACAATATCGGTATATCATTCACAAATTTCAAATGACTTTGTCCCATAGAAGGTTTCTACTGACTACATACTGATATAATATTACATTTGGAAAAGCCCCATTGCTCTCTACGGTCACATGTAATGGGTGAATTGAGGAGAGTGGCATCCGTTGTTTCTCCACGGGTCCATTTGAGTCCTCCACAGTCGTGCCATTCACACATCATTTAATCTAATAGAAGGAGAAGAGATAGAGCACAGTGATCAAACGAGTGATTACCAGGTAGATAGAAAGAAAAACATTACATATTTTGTACAAGAAATTGTAGGTAATCTCCTTTTAGATTAAGCCAGGAGGTTGAAAATGCAAGTCTGCACACAAAAATTCTTTATATTTACACATCTGTATTTCTGTGAATAAATTTTTTAAAGGTAATTCAATCTTTTTATGTACCGGTAATACATACTTCAATACAGAAAATCAACAAAGAATTTTCCATTGCTAGTGGACTCACAAGATAGAATTACCCTGTACACCTTTCAATCAAGATATTGTGCTTATGACCTCCACTTATCAACTTTATTTATTAATCACGAAACCAATTTCAACTTGAAATCAACCTATTTTGCAAAGGCCATCTTTAGCATGTGCAGAAATAAATGAAACAGAAATAAATGAAACAGAAATAAGTGAAACAGAAATAAGTGAAACAGAAATAAGTGAAACAGAAATAAGTGAAACAGAAATAAGTGATAAAATAGGGCCACTTGTTACAAGATAATCTTTATATTCATTGTCTATTACTTACAGTGTACTTATCCCATTTCTTCTCTGGATCAAACGGTTCCCATCTGCTAGCAGGGAAGATGTGCTTGTTACGTTCATACCAGTGTCTCAACACCACTTTACCTGCATGGGACTATGAACAGGATTGCAGAAGAGAAAAGAAATGTTGATTACCAGTAATTCTAATAAATGTCAGAAACATCCACATTTCAAATATTAGTTGAATTATTCATCCTGTTGTTCAAACCCTTGTGACTGTGAAACTAGTTTTTAACACAAACAAAAAGAAAACAAAAGTCACAAATTCACAACAGTATTGTTGAAAATGGTCAACATATGTCACATAAATCATAAACATACCTCATCTTTCTCTACTGTAGCATCACTGGTCATCCTAATGTCTTCATGAACATCAAAATTGAAGAGGGGACCTGGTGAAGAAAAAAAAACATTCATACTGATATCCACTGACCTAGTTAAGAAATACATTTAATGTTTCAATTTTCACATCACAGTATCACGAACATCAAGAATGGCAAGGGGACCTTGTAAATGAATAGAATGCAAACAAAATTCATTGATCAGTTTCCAAAACTGTGCTAGAGAACTACTCATCAATTTATAATAATAATGATAATAGCTAGATTTATATTGCATACGTATCCCTCCCAGGGGAGGCTCAAGAGGTCTACAAATGAGCTGCCCTCAGGCACTAAAATCATTTAAGGAATAAATTCCTGCTAGGAACCCATTCATATCTTGCCAAAGGAAATTAGTACCCATTAAAATAATGATTATTTGTGCAATACAATATGTTAGTCTGTTTTCACATTAGTGCAATATTACCATTCTTCAAATGGAATTCTCATTGATAATCAATTGTATAAACACATGTTTATTGATGTACACGATCATTCCTTGAATACTGAACACATTTAATACAACTTACCACTTTTTCCTCTTGCTTTAGTCACAATAAAATCATAGAAGCTATAATGCTGGAAAGGTGCAATCCCAAACAAAAGACAGAAAAATATGTCAGTGCTGATAATCCAAAATATCAAGTTTCGTTGGCCCAAAGCATCCAATTACTATCCATTAGCAGCAAATACACTTATTTAAATGCTATGTTTCCCTCAACCATTCTGTGGATTATAAATGTAAACTGTTTCTGGATCTATACAATCTTTACCATCAGTTTAAAGATACGCTTGAGTTTAGGTAATGGTAGAAAATGATTTGTCACTGAATCAAACAAAACTCACTACATGTTCAAGATTACAAATAAATGATATATGCAGAACGATTTTGGTAGAAAATATATAGGGGATGAGTAATGCGCATAGAAAAATAAGTAAATCAAGGTAAGTAAGCCCGACACCATGTGCAAATGAGAGTTGTGATTTTTATTGAAGATGATTTCTAGCAAGTTTTTATGAGGTTGTTTTTATTTTACTGGTTCAAACAATCAATCTACTGTAGGATAAACAATCCAGAATGAATGATAGCCATGTTCTCTTGATATACGATGCCCATACCAGAGATCAAGATTAGCTTTAATTTAGGTTAAATGGTATACTTACATGGGGTATAATCAGATCTTCCTTTATGTACACCATCTGTTCTACACTGACAGCCCTACAATTAAAAAAAAACATATTTAAAACACTGATATTCATCACGGTAGACATACTACAGGAATATGAATTTCAAAAGCATACAATGTACAATGTCAAATACAGGACCCTCTGAAATCACAATACCAACAGTTGAATAGCAAAAATGTTACCCTTTAAACTCTATTAAGTATCAATTGAATGAGTGAAAAGAAAATTTATATTGAACACATACAAAAATCATAATTAAAAAAAAAAATGTCTTACAGTGACAGACCTATTACACATAGCGAGAAAAGAGGAAATTCTGACCATTCTTACTTTAATTCATGGAAATCTCTCTTGAGATTTTCCAGACATTTCTGAAGAAACCTCTGAATAGTGTCTCCTTTCTTCATCTGTTGAAAGCCAGAGAGAACGGAACAGAACAAAATAATTGTGATGATTACCTTGTCAATTAATATAACCATTTTTTTTAAATTATGAAAAAATATGTCTTTTATGTATATTTTGTTATCTGTATTATTTCTGCATGTGAAATGTGAAATCAATAAAACTCAAACTCAAACTCAAACTCAATCAATTATAGATGATTATTATACATTTCTAATTTTCATCAAAGCACTTAGAAAACAACAAAGTAGTTAACTTTTCTTTTGACTAAAAAAAAAAAGATTTTTCATTTATCTCCAGCATTTGGTAAAAGGTGTAGGAGTTCAAAACACATTTCCTTAAATTTCAAGATTTGGAATGTACATATAATGATACAACATAATAATCCCTAGAAACTTTTAAAACTCAAACTTATGTTTGAAAAAGGCATGCTTAGTGCTGATTTTTTTTCTCCAGAGGATTTATCTGTCAGATTGTCACTAATAAACATCTTATTCCCAAATTAACAGTTCACAATTAGGCCACTTCCACTTGTGTTGATTAAATTAGAACAAAAGGAAATTCACAATGAAGAACAGTATAAAGGTGAACATGCATTCCCGGGAGGCTTTAAAGCTAACCAACTAAATATTAATTATGATCATTTTGCTCTTCATCCAAATTGATACACAGAGAAAACCTATCACCCCATCACCCCATCTATGACCTTGACAAACACATCATATTACCTAAAATCTGATCAGACACACTCATAGTAATAATAAACCCAGGACCTTCCTGCAGAGTCTCCCATCATCTATTGAGAGCCAGAATGGCATTGAACTCTATGTAAGATGGGTTAAAACCCTTCTGGCTCTGCTCTGATGATATCTTACCTTGACATTCCTCCTGTGACCTGAACCATCCCAGTAACTGTATGTGATGTCAATCTCATCATCTGATAAAAGGAGATGTGTAAAAGAGAGTTAAATATATGTACTACAAAGAATGAGACTGGTGAAAGCTGTCAGGTATCATTGAAAGTTTGTTGACCTTTGATAATCATACCAATAAGGTAAGCCAGAAATTGTTTGCATGAAAATGAATGTGGATTGAAATGAAGGGCTGTTTTTTTTATGAACTAGAAAATGAAGAATTATACTTCAAAATAAAATGACTATTGATTTACATCGTAGAAAACATCCGATCTGAATATTTTGAATGAATCAATCTCAATTTTTTTTCTCATCAATTTGATGGATGTATTGTATTCTTATGAAATGCAATGCAACTATGAAATCTTTGTATGCAGCAGTCTTAGAACTGTTTCTACAAGGATTTTTCTTTCAACAAACAGAAATGAATGAATGATTGACTAGATATTGAGCCTTGAGACATTTGACAAGTTGCTCATAACTAAGAGCCATAACTAGTGGTTTGATGACTGCGAAATATTAATTAAGATACCTTAAATTATAAATTAAAGTATACCAATCACTTAAAGAAGCAATATGTGTACAGCTGGAATGTATAAAATATATAAAGTAACATAATACACCAAACACGGAAGCCAAGTCCTACTTGGGTTCCGTGCAATCTCTTTTCTACACAAGTGCATTAAAAACTAGCACTATCTCTTCATCTTTAATATAGTATAGCGACGTTGAACCCTTAACTTACAGTTACAAATTTTGTTCGTGACCGGTATACTTTTAGCAAACCTACTTTTGATTTTTTCCTGCTTGGTTCTCCATTCTTGTCTCAGTTCTTCCCTCATCATCTTTTCCTCTTCCTGAAAGAAAACAACAACAAAAACTCAGGTTTCATATTTCTTGGTGATTAAAATAACCGTTGTTGCAAACATACCCTTGAAGAAAAATGGTCCAGAAATTAGACGCATTACAAAAGCTAATAGAGTCCATACAAATGCAGGAGAGTAGAATAATTAGGATGGCTATGATAGATCAGGAAGCTCTATGTCCGGAGGTTTCATTTTTTTTTACTATGGAATTAAATAAATACTGAACTTGAACTTGAACTTGAACTTGAAGTGGATAATCACTTAAAATGAAATAAAAGCAACTAAGTTCTGGTGAAAAGTAACAATATTCATATTACACTACATTTAAAAATGATACTATCTAAGCAACTTACCTCTCTATCTCTGTCTGGCAAGAAGCTTGTGTCCACATCCGGATTCTTCCCTATCCTCTTTTTCTTCTTCACTACTGCTTTAATATTGGGTTCATAATAATAAATAAAACAAAAACAAAAACAAATTATCATAGTTCATCAATCATTTTTTATTAATAACATTTTCTATCATAATGTATAAATGCATTGTATATCCAGAATATTGTTAACTTTGTAATATACTTTGTACACCAAAAATTAAAAGACTTATCACCCAAAATATATTACTAATACATAAAAACATAATTAAAAGGAACACTGTTACAACAAGTTCTCATTGTAACACAGTACTTTGACGGGTCACTATTATACACATTTTTTTCAGCCCTGATATAACAAGGTACAAAATAAAGAAGTTAATTTTCTTGTTTCCAAGAAGTTTGTCATAACAATGTTTCAAAGTCAAAGACGTGTGACTGACAACATGTATACCTTGTTGAATTGTGCAGGTATGGTTGTAGGCTATTTCATAATTAAACAAATATTAGTAGCTGCAGTAAAAAAAAGTATTTTGAAAAACTCACCAAACTCATCATCTTCCTTATCTTCCTCTTCTTCATCTACTTCTTTTTCTTTTTCTTTTTCATCATCATCACCATCTCCATCTCCTTCCTCTTCATCCTCATCCATATTAAATGACAGAGTGCCAGCATTCTTTAGCTTCTTCTTCCTCTTACGTTCCTTCGCTCTGCACATATACATGAAAGAGTTTCAGGAATAAATTTATAAAGACTACAACCATTACCTAAACCACTTGTTAAGGTTTCTACATACTTTTATTTAATATTGATCTCATTCTTTGAAGAAATTTGTAGCAATATATTGGTCATTTTCTAATCACAATTTAAATAAAATTAATGTACAACACTTCATCTTACTATAGCGAACCCTGTATACAAATACAGTTTGTTTGTAAAAGTAACATTTCGATGGCCCCCTGAAAATGGTTCTTCTATGAAAGTTGTTCATAAAGACCACCTGTCAGACAGAGCCTGTTAGACATATCTTGTATCGGTTGAGTGGTCTGTTTTTCTCCTTTGGTTTGACTGTAAAATGATTTCTAGCTGAGGAGTAGAGTGTCATATAAAATAAGTCAATTAAGGAAGAAAGTAATTAAATATAGACATTTTTTTCTCTCCAAATAAAGAAAGATGCTACTTAGAGCACAGATATGATTTGACTTACAGAGCTTTAGATGATTGAGCAAGTTCTTTTTCTCTCTCTTTGAACAAGTCCTCTCTCTTGGCTCTCATCTGATCGAAGGTGACCAGACCTATGGGAGCAAATATTCAAAATCAATCTTTACAGCTGTCCACAAAAATCATATATAAAGACTTAATTGAAACCAAATCCACCGAACTTTAATTTACTAGTGTCACTCGTATCTAGAGAATTTGAAACTATTTTTAATTATTGGTCTTTTACTAACTCCCTAATGAGTAATGACCACACTAAAAGACCAATTGTGACTTCCTTTTACTATTTAGCACACAGGACTGGACTGGACACTTTATATCATCACTAACAAAACTGAAGGGGTTTTTGCAGTCATATCTGAACTAGTCTTGAGCAGATACAGTAATAATGAAAAACTAAGAACCAGTGTTGACAAAAAGAGAACCTAAGCACAAACCCTATCTTACCGATTGTGCTGCTCTTGAGTTGCTGTTCGACTGCATCATAGTGAGCTGAGAATTTTGCACTGATAGTAGACACTCGGCTGACACTGTCCTGGAAAATTAAAACAGAATCAACAGATATCAATCTGAAACAAACTCTCATGTAAAGATTTTTTTTAAAGGGCAAACACCGTGACATGACCACTCAATGTGAAGCTTCAGCTAAAAATCAATGCAGCAGATAAGTAAATACACACACAAACTTTCATCTAGATCTACATGACAAACAAGAAATAGATCTAGTTATATATAAGAAAAGGACTCAAGGAGATGACGATGATGAAGAAGAATAAGAAGAAGAGGAAGAGGAGGAGTAACCGAGTATTGTGTTTTTGCTTTTATTACTAGTCTAGAATCTATTTCTCCTCTTCCCCATTTTTCTTATTCTTCTTCTCCTTCCGGCCTCAACAACAAAACCACACTTTACAGTCAACACAACCACAATGAACAAACAGCTCAGCTCAGCATACACGTCGAGCCGAATACGTAACGACCTCCGACGGTGCGGTGCAGTGACGAGTCGGGTCGCGAGACCCAACGGCAACACAACACTGCAGATTGTCACTGTCAGAGTCGGCACACAAATCCAATATCACTGCGAGTTTCATCACCCATTGTGGTACATTATGCATTCATACGATCATCAAATTTTTATTACCTGTTCTATGCGCTGTTTCAAACGTTCTAATTCATCTCGTTGTTTCTCCCTTTTCATCAAAAGTTGACGAACTCTTCCAGCTTCGCTGGCAGCACCCTTGTATTCAGCCATTTTCTTCAATGGGACGATTCCATTTAGTATGGAGTGTTGAAGATTCCACTAGTATGGAATGTTAAAGATTGATAAATTATTTGATGCAACTCAATAATTTCCTTTATCATTCATTTCAAACTGTATAGATTAATCATATTTTTAATTTAAATTTTTAAATTTAAATTGTATATACTTAAGTTTCTATTTCACAATATTATATATTTCTTATATAATTTCCCATGATAACCCACACTAAGGCTGCGACGGGTAGTCGAATGCTCGAGTACCCGCACGGTTGACAACTACTCGGGTACGATTTCTTGTACCCGAATATTCGGCCGCAAAAAAAAAAAAAATTAAAAAAAAAAAAAAAAAAAAAAAAAAAAAAAAAATGTCCAGGCCCACGCTCACCCGTGCCAGGGAGAGCAGCGTCCGCTGGCATGGTACCATCGGTAAAAATGTTTCCCAACTCAAGCACTGTCAAACTCACCTTTCAGAAACTGGGACCAAATGTCCAGATTTCTGTTTGGACTTGGAGGAAAATGGATTATTCTGCCATCTTTGGTTTTTAAAACAGCATTGTTTACTGTTATTATTCTTATTAAATCGGCGCCTTCAACTGCAACTCAAAGTAAAGTTGCAAGTTGCATGCGTTTTCAGCGAGCTGCGCGAGGGACCTGAGAAACTGCCGAGTGGTATGGTAGTGGCAAAAAAAGAAAAAAAAGAAAAAAAATCCAAAAATTTAAAAATTTAAAAAAAATCAAAAAAATTCAAAAAAAATTCAAAAAAATTATAAAAAAACATGGCGTCCGAATATTCGAGTATTCGCCTGTGAGCCTGGGAGTGTACTCGGGTACCTCATTACACTGTTGTGCACAGCCTTAACCCACACCCTCCACCGAGCTAGACGCTACCACCCTTAGTTGACAATCCAATGATCTTCTTACATAATTTACGTTCTAAACCAGTGAATTTCAGGGAAAGTCCCCCCAAGTGGAGTATTAAAGTTGTGAATTATTGTTTAATGCAGCAATGTTTTGTCGCAATTTTCGCAATTTTCAAAATGTTCAACCATGCTTGGTATCAAGGTCTTCGAATGGAGCCAAACCCAAAGCAGTTACATCCGTAAACTGCTTTCATAACCGGTCAAATCCTTCGACATCTCTGCCGGTGAGACAGACCACTTTACATCGGCATACTCCGCCAGCAGTACGGGGGATTGCCAATTCAGCTTTCCGTTACCAGGAGTCGGAATCATCTGTGAGTCCGAGCTCAGCGGCGTCAAGCGTCTCTCGAGTTACAGCCTCTCCAGTCGGCTTTGCCAAGAATCTTTGTCTCGGCAAATTTAACAAGGTATACGTATACACATTTATAAACATTTAAATGGAAGTAAAACTTAATTTTCACCTTGCCTGAACAAGTCCAGTGCACACTCATAATCATAACTTGACATAATTCATATTCATTATAATTTTCATGTTATTTGTTGATGTCTTAATTAGTAATGATGAATCTGATGTTTTGTTGAGCTAGATCATGATCAACAACCTACCTTTTTGTCAATTAATTCATTTCACATTTTAAAAGTCTCCCCGAACTAGACCGAAAGCTTCAGTCTCTATACCGTCGGTTGTTCCACTGAGACTACGTCTGGCTCCACTAGACCTCCGGTTATGGAGACAGAACGATCGCCTATGCCAGCCTATGTTGAAGATATCACGGCTAGATTTTAGCCGTTAGGCCCCTCCCACAAACATGAACAAACTTGCCACGGCCGTATTGTTATGCCCCCAAAATCCCCCAAAATCCCCCAAAATGTCATTTTACCTCGTGCATATCCAATTTTACATTAGGCCTAGGCTATAATACATCGGTTCCACTTACTAACTTGATTGAAATAATCCGTTTAATGGTCCCTTTTAAGGAAATTATGGGTCAAAATCGACGTCCATGTTGAAAATCTTGCAAGCCTTGTTAAACTCTCGCTGCCGTCAATCTCATCCCTTCTAGTCTACGCCGAAGGCAAAAATGATTATGAAGGAAAAACTGTGCGCCATCTACACGTTCGTAATGGCGTTATCACAGTTTTTCCTTCATAATCATTTTGCCTTCGGCGTAGACTAGAAGGGATGAGATTGACGGCAGCGAGAGTTTAACACAGCTTGCAAGATTTTCAACATGGATGTCGATTTTGACCCATAATTTCCTTAAAAGGGACCATTAAACAGATTATTTCAATCAAGTTAGTAAGTGGAACCGATGTATTATAGCCTAGGCCTAATGTAAAATTGGATATGCACGAGGTAAAATGACATTTTGGGGGATTTTGGGGGATTTTGGGGGCATAACAATACGGCCGTGGCAAGTTTGTTCATGTTTGTGGGAGGGGCCTAACGGCTAAAATCTAGCCGTGATATCTTCAACATAGGCTGGCATAGGCGATCGTTCTGTCTCTATAACCGGAGGTCTAGTGGAGCCAGACGTAGTCTCAGTGGAACAACCGACGGTATAGAGACTGAAGCTTTCGGTCTACCCCGAACCACCTTTTGAACCTAACTCTGGAGCCCCAGTACGGTACCACTGGTTATAGACTATGACATGAAATGATGTTTCACTAGGACTTTAAACATCTTGATATTATTTATTGATACTTTTATAGTTTTACTTTTAACCTTTTTAGGTTTTAAAAATTAGAGAACGCAGCATACTTTTTAGAATTGTATATACTCTGAAGGAAAAAAAAATATCGGTAGACGGGTCTATGTTATATTTGGGGATATGGTCCGCTGAGACTCCTGGTTCTGGCTCCACTTAAATGAGTTGGAGGAAGAGTCTCAGAATTTAAAAGATAATATAAAACTCCTCCAAATTAGGATTTTTCTGTCTGGACTATACTCTATACGTTATAGACTATATTTTATCATTGTATTTATAAACCAAAAATTAATGATTTAGGATTAATTTCCTCAAAAGAGCCATAGACCCTACAATGAATATGTAACTTACCCTGCAATGTGATTAACCTTGTGTTTTATATCTCTTTACAGGACGATGCATTCCCTTTCCCTGAAATCACAATGGAGCAGTTTGATCACCTCAACCAAATGTGTGATCCCATTGAAAAATATTTCAATGAAGAAGGTAGAATTTTCATTTAAAGATTTGAATTTTCAATAAAAAGAACAATCCCAAGTAGTTTAGTACACTCCCGCCCCCCCCCCCCCCCCCACTCAGTGTTATTTAGGGTACACATATTCATGTTCCCTCCTTTTGAAAACACCCCCTAAGTCTGATGTGTAAAGTCAATAAGGGCCAGATTTTTGTGTACTATGAGCCAGACTTTGGTGAGTGAAAAGTACCCCTTTACCGGACAATTTGGTAACATGCATGGCATCCCTCCGTTCACGGAGTGAGGGGGCTGGGAGTACACGACAGACAGTTATATTATTTGTCTAGTCCATTCAATGTGAACAATGCTTTGTCAATGAAAGTATGGACCTCTCAGTCTCAGCTAAAGGGGGGGGGGGGGGAATGAAGATATAAAATATAAAAAGAAATAGAATAAATGTAACTTACAATATATGTGATTTTCACTTTTGTTTTTATGGTATTTTTATTAAACTTTTAAGTGTGCATGGTATTGGGACTGTGAAGGTCACCTTGAAGTTGGTACATACAGCAAAATGAATAATAAGGATATGTAGGTAATGCATACAAGAAATATTACTGAGCCTGATACAGGTGCAAATATTACTGGTAAACATACTTTTTAGTCTTGCGCTCTTGTATGTTATAATGATATTTTTGTTATACTTTAAAGGTGCCATTTGCAGGCCAAAAAAAATGAAAAGGTTTAATTCCAAAGGCATTTGAAAGATAATACTAATTTAGAACTTCCCTAAAAAGGGGGGCTTGAAAATGTCTTTTTAAGGGAAAATAAGGACTGTTAGTTGTTGTATCAACTTTAGAGATTGCAATCCTTTTAGTAAATAGTCTGATTTTCAGACCCTTGTACCAAATCGTGTACGATTTGCGCTGCTCAAAGATTCAATCGGTTTAATTTTGGCCATTACAAGAAGTTGGTCATTGATGTAGACAAATGCTCATGTATCCTTTACAGCTCATTTTATGTATGTTATTGCCAAAGAAAAAAAATGAAGTCGGTCAGTCACTCGATAGTGTCTGACAGTGAAGTCTAGAAAGTAAACAGGTTTCCTTGCATAATTTGAATACTAGGACACTGCTAACGTTTATATTTCACAGCTAGGACATATGTGATTCATGATTCCTGCGAAGTTCTATAGAATTTGATGTTGGCTGTAAATGGGACATAGTACTTTTAAGTGTGCATGATATTGAGACTGTGAAGGTCACCTTGAAGTTGGTACATTGATACAGCAAAATAAATAATATTGATATGTACACTGTAGGTAATGCATACAAGAAATATTACTGAGCCTGATACTTGTGCAGATATTACTCTCTTGTATGTTATGATGGTGATAAGAAAAAAAATGAAGAAGCATAAAATTTACTCATCTATTTTTTTCTTTCTTCACCCTCAGTGGACTCCACAGCAATTGATGTAAATGCCAAAATTGATGAGAAGACGTTGCAAGGATTGAAAGATCTTGGTCTCTTTGGTCAACAAGTTCCTGAAGATTATGGTAATAATATCCACTGAATTTTCTATAAATTTTTATTTTTTCTTCTTCCTTTTCTTATTTTCTTTCTTTTATCAGTTTGTAAAAAAGTTTGTAGTGAAATGAGCTAAAAATTTGTGTTCTACAAATATTTTGTCTTGAAATTATATACCTTGATTTTCGTGATACAAAATTTATTTCTGGAAAATAGAAAGTTGGGAGTAGCACATGAGCAATCGTTCGTGAACTAATATTATTATATTTCCCAACTTTTATATCATCTTAATGGACCCCGAATGGCATTAATTATGTGTAAATGGTATGATTCTGTGCCCTTCCGCTGACTAAAGCAAACAACATATCTTCTTATACAGGTTGTATTCACTTCTTTGTATTTTTCTTTATTTGTTATTTTGATTCTTTACTAATATTTGTACAGGTGGACTTGGACTGTCAAACACAGAATTTGCTCGCCTAGCTGAAATCACTGCACAAGATGGTGCTATTGCTGTCACATTAGCCGCACATCAGTCCATAGGTTTCAAGGTTTGTATTAGTGGTCAGCCATTCCTAAGCTAAAGTTTCTAATTACCAATACTAGCAACGTCATATCCATTATTCAAATGCACTCTTTAAAGAAAAGGTTGAGTTCTGGGAAGAGGTAAAAAAATAATTTGTGAGTGTTACATGTATCATTGTATTATGCAAGTGTGGAAGAAAATCAGATAACAAATTTTCCCTGAAAAGCATGGCTCTTCAAATGCCTTAATATTCTAAATACGGCATGTAACATCATAAAAATTAGGACAGATTTTTTATGCCACATGTTTGTGTAGTCCCATATACATCTTTCTGTGTACAGTGCTTGTAACTTTACCAAGACTGGGCCAAATTTCTTATCATTTGGATGATTCCAGAACCTTGCAGTGTACACCAATACTTATATGCTAGATGATCAATCTTTTCTGATCAATTCCACAGCGTTCCTTTCACAATGCAATCGCATGACCGGAACTTAACTTTATCTTAAAGAAGTTGGTAGACTGATGGACAAGCCGTCAGTTTTATGCTAATTAAAAGAGATGTATTGATAACTGCAACTATACAATTCATTAACAGTGACCCTTTTTTTAGAGGATCTAGCTTTACAACTCTGTATCCTGATATCTTTGATAGTTTGCTGAATGGTATCAAACATTTGACTGTTTCTTTAAGATATAATAAGCAAGTTTCATATGAAGCAAAATAGAGAGAATACACATTCACTTTTACCATTTCCATCTTTTTAGGGCCTTCTGATTGCTGGAACTGAAGAACAGAAAGCCAAGTATCTTCCCAAGCTAGCTACAGGTGAACTGGTGGCTGCTTTTTGCCTTACAGAGCCTTCAAGGTTAGAAATAGCATGGATTTTTTTTTAAACCAACATAATTCATTTTGCAGTTACTTGTAGGCATTGCATTGGGGATTCATTTCACAGTATATTTGCTAATTATTTAACCACTCTGTGGTGAGCAACATAAAGCATAATAGGACTATGTCGTGTACTTCAGTTTTAATAATTGAATGTTGCAATTATTTTGATGCGCGACAATGACACTAAACCTTTTCAGTGACATTTATGTTTGTCATATAGTTGTTCTGTCCTGTTTTTTTTCTTTAATAACTATTTATTAGTCATGTAGGCAAGGAGGTCAATTTCGGTTGTCTTTCCTTACATTATGCCACCAAGGCCTAGTATAGTTATTCATTTGAAGATATTTTGAAAGAGATTTGAAAGCGTTTGGTATTTGCAAGTCAGACCATACAGCTTTGTGTCATCAAATTATATTGTGTACATATTCTCTCATACTGAGTTATTATTGGAGGGTTTCAGATTGGATATCATAGGCCAATTTCTACTCTTTAGCCATTAGGTATGTGAAGCAAACCTTTTCTCATAAGAGTCAGTTAAGTATATTTTGTGATAATGATTATCTTTGTTTTTACTTGATACAAAATTTGTTTAATGTTACACTACATATTTTGTATTTCAGTGGCAGTGATGCAGCCTCCATTCGAACCAAGGCAACTCTAAGTCCAGATGGTAAACATTATCTACTTAATGGAGGAAAGGTATGTCAAATGCTCACTGGGTGTAATGAATATATAACATTGTAATTCTTCCAGAAGATTGAAATCGTGTGTATAATAAATTTCAGATTGTATTCCTTTGTATGAGTTGTACATAAATGCTGATCTTGATTGTAAACTGAAAGAAAGGGGTTTTGTATCTTGGTAGTTGCTGGTTTTAATGAAGGATAGTGATGGTTATTATTTATAGTTAGACTTTCTTTTCAGTTCCATACCTATACCTCATCAGAGTAATTAGTCTTTACCTTGGACTATATGTATGTATATTGAGAGATTTAAAAAATCAATATTTGGCAAGGGATTTCAGATATCATATAAGTTTCATTGAAAAAATTTCTATCATTGTTTTTTTCTTCAGATTTGGATCTCCAATGGAGGGATTGCCGATGTGTTTACGGTCTTTGCCAGAACAGAAGTAGTGGACGAACAGGTACGAGCTGACTTGTCTCTTTGATGCAGATAGCAGGACGTATTCTAATAGTTTATCTTGCATATCTACCAACATTTAGATTATAAATGGACTTTACACATGGACCTAGTTGTGATTGTAGATATATTTTACCAAGGTCATGGGATATGTCATGTATTCATATCATTTTTATAATAGATTATTTGGAGAACAGTTTATGTTCTTGCATTTCACCACTAAACTCTTGCCTGAAATAAACCAACACATATTTAACGAGATTTCAAAGCTTGTCAAATAATGCTATCAACTGATAGTAAAAGAGTGTTGAACTTGAATTTATAAAAATTAGAAAAAAGGCATCCATTAAAAAAGACATGGGAAGGGTTTGTGTGGCATGCAAAACTTTTATTTACTTTTGTGTAATCATGCTTTTTCATTTATGAATATCACTAGTGTTCTGCTTACAGGATGTTTGATACAAATCATTACACTTTAGAAGGGAAAATACATAATAAGACTGCAACGTGTACACACTTATGCACAGGCTTAATTTATAAATATACAATTTCCGCAAGAATTCTGATATCCATTTCTTGAAATATTATCATTGCACAAATGATGAGTTGTCTGAATGTAAATCCTTTCAGGGTGAAACCAAGGATAAGATTACAGCTTTCTTTGTGGAGAGAAACTTTGGAGGGATCACCAATGGCAAGCCAGAAGATAAACTAGGAATCAGAGGTTCAAACAGTATGTATTGCATTTCTATTTCTCTCTAATGTTCATTTTCATGTATTCAAATGAGACTATAGTACCATTGAAGCAACAAATAGAAAGCTTTGTTTTTTACAAGGTTCATTGATATTGGGTTAGATTCAGAAGATTCTATGCAAACCTAAACAAGAACTTTGTATTTCATCTCCTATTATACAATCTCTTACAAGTTTAAATATTTCATGTCAATTTTTTTCTTCAACAAGGTTAGTGCTAAATGTTGGCCTGTCAAAGGTCCACTTTATCATTTGATAACTTTCGTAAATACTAGAAATGTGTCAAAAACTTTCACCAAAATTTAAGTAGCTTAGCTCTACTCCATTTTTTTTCTTCTGTAGAGTTCTTATTGATTTATGGAATCTGTACGTAAGGGCACCCTGTTTAAATTTACAATTTGGGGGGCTTAAGTTTGGTAATAAAAATTTGATGCTGATGTGCACCAGGTCTCTGTCAGTGTCAAGCCCTTCGTATAATTTATTCCATACATTCAACACATTTCATGATGATTTTAAAGCCTCCAATTAATGAATCGTTTAAATTTCAGCTTGTGAGGTGTACTTCGACAACACCCCTGTGCCTCTAGAAAACATCATAGGAGAAGTAGGTGGTGGTTTCAAGATGGCTATGAACATCCTCAACAGTGGTCGTTTTAGCATGGGCAGCTCTGGAGCTGGCATGCTTAAAAAACTCATAGGTAAGCACATTATTTTTATAGAATAAGTATTGAACGCAGATATTTTTCAAACCAGTAGTTATTTAATACATAAGGAACAAGTGTTTATGAACCGAAAATCTGTTTGTTGCTATATACCAGGTAGTGCAAAAATATGTTAAAGGGAAGAATATCGATGGGTGTAATTTATCTCTGGTACAACTACATACATGTATAAACAAGCTGTTTCACAAATACAGTTAGCAACTAAATTATTTGTACCCCTTGGAAATTTGATGTTTTTAAAATTTGTTTATAATGAAAGAATTAATGGTGGACTGATCAAATTAGAGCCTTTGTGAAATACTTTTAGATATAAGCTTTGATATACACTGTATCACATTCTCAAGAAACATGAATAGAGAAAAAGCAATTTCTCACATACTTCAAAAATTACAAAACTTTGTAAGTTATGAATAATTTAGTTGTTAAGTGTATCTGCTGCAACACTAGATAAGAAAAATGTCAAGGAGTCAAATGATTACTAAGGCTTGATGGGTTGTTCATAGTGATTATAAGAATTGATAACATTTACATGTAACTCTCGAGCTAATAATTCATTGTCTATGTGGTGTAATATTCTTGAGTACCAAGCATTAAAGCAAATGGGACTCTTATTTGTGTATTCTCATGGCCTTATCCACAATATGGTGACTGGCAGAAATTGGGGGGGGGGGGGGGACATCAGCAATGCACCCCCCTCCCATTGTGTTGTTGTGCCACCTTCTATTGATAGATCAGAATGTCCCTGGAAAAAATGATAAGAAAGACCTACTCTTCCCCTTTTTGTTATTGTTCCTTTCTTGTTAGAGTTTTTTTCAGAATTGTTCCTTCTTTCCTCCCTTTTACAAGAGCCAGGACCTGGGTTGTGTTTCACAAAGATCCTTAGTCGAACAAGCTGGACTTAAATATTTTGGAGAGCCATTTGTAGCCTTGAAATAAAATATATTCAGATACAAAAATTCAAGTATTTTAGACTTTTCATAAATTACACATCAAGAACATGAAATCTCCTTGATAATAGAAAATATGAATGATTGAATTGACATTTTATGCCTTTTAAAATAACTTTTACAAATATTCTCAAAGATGGTAACGGCTTTCCATGATTTTTAAGTCCAACTTAGAGATAATTTCAACTTAGGATCTTTGTGAAACTATCCCCCCCCCCCCTTGCTCTTGAACATGGTATCAGCTCTTATGCCACACTTCCTCAATCATTTCAGGTATGACCACCGAACATGCCTCACAGCGCAAGCAGTTTGACACCAAGCTGAAGGAGTTTGGTATGATACAGGAGAAGGTAGGAAGGATGACTATGTCAGCCTATGCGATGGAGAGCATGGCCTATCTCACTGCTGGTTTACTGGACAGGCCAGGCACACCGGATTGCTCCGTAGAAGCTGCAATGGTCAAGGTTGGTTCAACTCTTCATCATGTGCAAAGCAAAAAGATAGTTACATAGTTGTTCAAACCCTCTGCCAGGCACATGACAACCTGTTTCTATATACATGCCATATATTCTATCCAAAGTGTATGGTTCAAAAAACAATATGAATTGTGTTTCCTTATAAATATGAGTTTGTTTAAGAGATTCACTGAAAATGAATGCTTGAAAAAGTAATTGTTATTTGATATTTGTTGTTGTTGTTTATACCCTTTTCTTTGGTCTAGAGTTTTGTGAGATTCAATTTCAACACAATTATAAATTCATAAAGGAATATATGTATTGTATTTGTAGAGCTTATGTATAAGACGCTTGAAATTCTTAATTCCATATGTTAAACGGTTTATTTTACCTAAATTTAATGTTTAAAGTGTATATTTAATTCACATCCGGAGGGGGGGGGGGGGGTATATAGTAAGACATACAGGGTGTGCCGCTCTGATAGGTCATCTTTTTCACAAAAATATCCCTAAGCATGGATCTGTTTTATTTAAAATTACAAGAAAATTGTGAAAAACGGGCCTTACTTGAGAAAAATCCCCCAGAAATGACCCTTCAAAATGGGTAGGGGTTTCGAGGCTTGAGCAGCACATCCCCGGCCAAACCAAATCTGAGTACCCCCCTCCCAGAATTCACATCTAGAAATTATCCTTACTGGTGATAAACAGTCCCACTGCTTCATTTTCATGAATAGATCTTCAGTTCAGAAGGAGGATGGGTATGTGTGAGCGAAGCTCTGCAGATTCTTGGTGGTTTGGGCTACATGAAGGACTATCCATACGAGCGCTACCTCCGTGATAGTCGTATCCTCCTCATCTTTGAGGGAACCAATGAGATCCTACGGTTGTATGTTGCTCTCACCTGCCTGCAGCATGCTGGGAAGGAACTTGGTGCTATGGTCAAGTAAGTAGTTTACAGCTGTTCTAGTCCTAAGCACATGAAATTTAATGTTACACTTCGTGAAGCAAAACACCAATCCTGTAAATTAGCAGAGCGTTTACCTTTATTCTTACAACTCTGATGCGTACTCGACCCGTTGAAATACAGGAATTGATCACCCAGATCTTGTATTCCATGCATTAACCTTTACTTAAATATTTCTTTTGAAGGTGTACTTTGATTGAATTTTCTAGGTGGGCCCAGCATTTTGCACACACAAAAAGAAAATTGTTTAAAATTACATGAATGTGAAGTTTCAAAGAAAATGTAAGAGTTCTGCTGTAAACAAAAGACAGCATAATGTTTTTTTTTTTTTTTTTTTTTTTTTTTTAATTGTGCAGGAAACTTCAGAATCCAGTAGCAAATCCAGGTTTTGCATTCAAGATGTTGACAGGTCGATTCCTAGGTCGCCTTGGACTCAAGTCATCAGGCAATGTCAAACTCCAGCATAATGATGGAGGCGTTCATCCTTCTCTTGAGGTACCAACGAACCTTAAATCTTCAGCAGAATCTTTAGCAATACTCTTCTTCCCTCTTTACTTTACGTCCCTGATCCTTATCTTTCCCTCCGTCTATTTCTCTCTTCCCTTCTTATTTTTTTCTAGTGTTGTGACTCTGGTATATCCAACACAAGGTGATGCTGAAAGGGATTTATGCCTTGCATATTACCATGTTCTTGAATTGTGTTTATGTTACTCTGTATATTATTATAATTTGAATATCTTATTTGAATGAATTAGGAGATGTGTTATGACACTGAAAATACAAAAGAAGAGAAGAGAAGGCAAAATTCAGGCATACTCAAAAGAATTATTGACTATATACATTCAACACGACTCACTTATGGGAAAGGTAACCTTTTCCATCGTTTGGCAACCAAGTATTAACAAATTGACAGTGCATCAGTTTTATCTAAACCTTCTGTTTTGTCTAAACCTTCACAGACAAGTGGGAAGCAGCTAGCTCAGTGTGTCACATCATTCCAGCAGGTAGTAGAAGGAATTCTCAGCAAGTACAAGAAGGTAAAATTAATCTTCATCATCATCATAACCACCATTGTCATCACGATCATCACCAATTTAAAGATCAACATCTTTTTCATGTCTTTACAAGTCTACATGATGTACATAAGAAGATCTTCATCATGGGCCCCTTAAAGATACTATGTCCCTTTTGCAGCCTACATCAAATTCTGTAGAACTTTGCAGGTATTATAAATATGTAATGTATGTCGATCCTATCTGTGAAATTTAAACGTTAGCAGTGTCCTAACATTCAAATTATGCAAGGAAACCTGTTTACTTGCTAGACTTCACTGTCAGACACTATTGAGTGACTGACTGGCTTTTCTTCTTCTTTGGTAATAAGGTTACACAAGCATTTGTCTACATCAATAACCCACTTCTTGTAATGGCCAAAATTAAACTGATTGAATATTTGTGCAGCACAACCGTACAGTACAACCGTTCGGTACAACAGTCTGAAAATCAGGCTATCACTTACTGACTTGGTAGCACTTAAGTCGATTTGACAACTTATAATCGCTATTTTCCCACTTAAAGACATTTTCAAGCCCCCCCCCCCCCCCCCCCTAGTCTGCAGGCACAGACCCTAATTTAACACTTTATCAACAAATCGTTGTGCCTTGAGAGAAGTCTAGCCAAGCTACCTACTGGTTGTATCAGGAGCAGCTACTGTACATGGCCTATGGTAGTCTTATAGTGCAGACTCACTTTTACGACTGACCAGGGTTTGTGCTTGCAGACTACCCCCCCCCCCTTTTTTTTTTTCAGGGAAGTTTGAAATTAGTATTATCTTTCAAATGCCCTTAAAAATTAACCTTTTCATTTTTTTGGCCTGCAAATTTACTTGATACAACAATTTGTCTCCCCTCTGTACCTTCCAATCTTCACCGGCCATCTTCAGGATGTTGTGAAGGAACAGCTGATCTTGAAGCGAGTGGCTGACATCCTGATTGATCTCTATGGTATGACTGCCGTCCTGTCCAGGGCTTCAAGAGCCAAGACCGTTGGACTCAGGAACTGTGACCACGACGTCCTCATTGCAACCACCTTTGTCAACGAGGCTGAAAAGCGCATCGCACAAAATATCTATGATATTGGTCTAGGTATGAAATCTTACTGATCATCATTAAGTGTGGTTAGGTGTAACCGCTGTTGTATGTATATCTTGTATCACTAGGCATTTATCTGGACAGATGAATAGTACCGGGACCCCAGTCTCATTGATAAGACCAACGAGATACTAATTATATACCTTGAATTGCCAGGTTATCAGTCAGTTTTAAGTCAGTTTGGCAGTGTGACTGGGTATGAGACAGGTTGTTGGCTTGGATGTTACAACACAGAAGTTGAACCTGTGGCTTTGATGTATTGGTTTCCATTACAATGTTTATACATGCATGTAAAATGTAGAGCAACAAGAGCACAATTGACCTTTTAATGTTCAATTGTAATATTACTCCAAATGGCTGTACATCGGCAATGTCAAGGATAATCAGAGTCTATTTGCAATTTTGCATCATTACAATCTTGAACCTATTTTTTCAAATAAAATTTTATGGGTATCTACAGTTGTAGAAGACAGCACTTTAAAACATGATTGTGCAAACAGAACCCTGATATTTTGTACCTATTACTGGACGTATACAGAATCTTCCAATCATGAATATAATTGGCGTTTTCATTATCTTTCCAGCTCCAAGTCTCAACAACGATGCTTCCATCATGAGGATCGCAGAGGAAGTGTTTGATAACCATGGTTACAAGGCATCTCATCCCCTCACCAAGGAGTTCTAAACTAATCTAATCTAAAACTTGAAACTTTCACAATCATGAAATGTTCGCCTGTTTTGCGATCGGTTCCATGCCGCAAAAAAAAGTAATCACCATCGACGCACTAGATTTTACAATGTTGCTTGTGGTTCAGATTTGCAAAGTTCATGCCATAAAGTGATATAATTTCTAGACACAACACTAAATTTCCCAAATTGCGAAGTTGTTTGCCGTCATTTTTTGAAAGTTTCTGGTTTGACAGTATGTGCAAGATAATATATTCCATCTTTAATTTATGTATCTTTCTGTTAAAAAAGGCTTATGATTATTTATTTTGTAATAGAATTACATGTCCATATAGTGGTTAAAAAAGATAAGAAGAAGCAGGTACCAGGGTAGATGTTACAGTGTACCCTTATAAAAGTGAAAACCTAAATGCTTTTGGGAGAGTGCCAACTTGCAGTTCTTTGTGGTGTGCACAATTCTAGACACATTTCCATACAAGCAGGTACGTGTAAAGTAGGAAGCCATTAGTGCAATTACAGATATGGACGATTGAAGATTTGTAATGAATACATATTTAGGCAGAGATGTGTTTGTTTGCTTATCATCTGTCATTTTTGGAATATGTTACATGCACGGTTTAACAGGGTTCTCATACAAAAAGCTTTAAAACTTGCATTTTTTCTGTGGACCAAGTGGTAGGTGCCAACATGTCTTCAATAGGGAATGAGACGCAAGTTATTTGGAAGATAATATCCTTTTCATATTGCTCTCACCAGATCTGGTAACGCATTTTAAAAGAAAATTTGAACAGCCTTTTTCAACTTACTGAGAGAATGGATCAACAAAATCAATACTGTGTAAGCCAGTATACAGGTTGCTTACATGTTCCAATGGGCAGTTCATTTAGATGTTGGTCCTTTTAAGTGTACAGTGTATTCAACTATTCATTTATCTGTAAACTGATTTCGTCTCAATTACCTGGCCAATAACAACCAATGAAACATATTTTTTTCAGTAGATGATCAAGCCTAACATTTAACAGTACCTTGATAGCATTTAGCAGAATATTGGATGAGGAGGTTTCTACTCATTTACAATGTTGCAGATGTGATATGTTTACTTGAAAGTACATGTACATCGATGGCTAAATTGTCACTTTTGTTCATCACAAAAGAACATATTCCTATGTTATATGAGAATCAAAGCCCGTTTGTTCAAATTCATTTTCTTAACCCTTTAGCAACTTAACCGCTCGTCCATTTTCAATGGGGTCTACCATGACAATCTTATACGTGCGTAATCCTTACTGAATTCTGCATAGAAAAATAGCACATGTAATATGTTACATATTGTTCAGAACAATGTAAAAATGAAAGCAATATTACATCTTCCAGTGAGTAATAGGCTTTTTTTAACAAAATCTCTAGTTGCTAATGGGTTAAGAGACATGAATTTGCACCGCCTGTGAAAGTGAATGTACTTGGTATACTTGTATTGAAATAAAATAAAAATTTCAGTCAAACCTAAATTTCAGTATCTTTTGTATATATTTCCTTCACTTCACTTTGCTGTGTGGTTTCTTTGTAGGAAACCTTCAGTCCCTTTAAGATTAATGTGTATGAGAATTGTGAAAGGGCAATCCAACCCTTGTAATAAGTTGATTTGTATGAAAGCAGAAAAATAACATAACAGAATGGCAAAAGTTTGAAATGAATCTGACCAATAACAAGGAAGTTATGAATGTTTTTTAAATGAGATCACTAGGTCTATGCGAATCTCAAAATGGTAGTTTGGTGACTTTGGTCAGTGGATTGTGACATATTGTAGGACTGTGGACAACTCTCCATTTGCTGTTTTTCTTGAAGGTTCCTTCTCCCTCAGGGCACTACTAAAAATAGATAGCACATTATTATAGGATTAGGTCCTCTAAAAAGAATAGACCCTCCTGACAAGTCCTGAGCCATGAATTTTTGAAAAATTAAATTTGAAGTCATTTTATATGTTGGAACAGATGGGAAAGTGGTCTGGCACTACATCACCGCTTCAGCCAATTTGAAGTGCCCATACTAAAGAGATTACAAACTTTAAAAATTCATGACTTTCCTATATTTAGTCAGATTTAATTGAAACTGTCATCACTTTCCTTCTCTGATTTTTTTGCTTTCTTATAGAGTAGTTGTGTATTTGGGTTGGATTTCCATTTAATCAGTGTAGTACTCGGTATTCGGGTATGTCCAAGGTATTCAGCCATTTTGTTTCAGATACATTAGGAATACTGTATATGAACAAAAGTGTCATTTCCCATAGAATTTGGGCAATTATACTCTAGCTTGACTTCTCTTTGATGTAGTCAATGTATGTATGGGTCAAAATACCTCTGACTTACCCCTCATTTAAAATGACATGTTTGCCACTCTCACAACTTTTCAAAATAATTAAAAATTAATATGCATCTGACAAAACAAACAACAAATTAGACACTCCATGTGTTTGCTTCACCCTGGTCTATTTGGGCAACTCTTCAACAATCATCGAATGACAAAGACTTGATATAAACAGTTTATTGTATTCCTCAGAGAGTTGATGAGCACTTGAAGCGATGATGTCACAGTCCAGTTTACTTGAAGCAGGTGCTGGGTCTGCGGGTGACGAACATGGGCTTGTTTTGCCTCTGTGTGCGATGTGGGAGGGGGAAGCTGATCTTTGAGGTCTGTGATGAAAACAAAATACATACAAAGCGAATATAAGTTACACTGAAAAGGATTTCATCTTGAGATAATAGTGACAGGGGGGATAGTAAAAGAGACAAATATATAAATCCCAAAGTCTAATGAGAGCCAGGGAGTCAATAGGTTGTCTTATGAGTGTCATCACTAAAATTAATTTTTATTTGGTAATATGTATGGAAGTTAAAAAAAGAAAGAAAAAGAGCCAAGTACAGGAGCAAACTAAACAAACTATCATATCTTTATAGTGTAATATATTCAAAATTTCAAATCTTAAATTGGTACATTTAAACAACAAAATACTATAGACAGATGTAATCATAAAATTTCTCTCTAAAATTTGCCTCTATTTTAAAAATAGTGCGACAGAAAATACAATGTAAAATACTGTCATTCATCCGATTGTCACATCATTAATTGATCCCTTCAGATCAAATCCTGATGACTTGCCACTCATATGTCAAGTCAGTATGCCAGCTATAAACCGTTTCTAATTTTTAAAATATGTTGGATAATCAGTGACTCACTTTTTCTGTCAAATTTGAAGTAAACAAACAAACTTACCAGGAACTGCTTGATGTGAGGTCTCCTGCATTTGGAAGCTGGGATTTCTTCCACTCGGATGATCTGTATGGAATGGGCACGGGCACGATGCCTTGCTCCCATGTCACGGTCTGTCAAAACAAGCATAACATATGATCAAAGTCTATCATTTATATCATGTAAATATTTGATTTGTCTTAGGCCAACTAAAATAAATTTGGATGTTCCCTCAAGTTCCACAAAACATGTTTCAATTGTCTAAATCTTAAATCAAACCATATTGTGCCTTATCCAAGTATATATGCACAGGAATTGAACTGTATACACTGAATGCAGCACAGTAAAATTTAGTACCAAATGTTGTAAAAGTGAAACCACGAGAGAGAGGGGGAGAGAGAGGGGGAGAGAGAGGGGGAGGCAGGTAAACGGACAAGAGACAAGAACACGTTTTACTTGGCCCAACTTTCCATTCTTTTAGCTAGTCTTCAAGAAAACAAAGACACACTTCCTTTTACAAAGAATGTTTTATCATGAACGATTGGGAAAATTATTCCTATTACAGTCACAAAGCTTGTAAACCAAGTAAGACAACAAAGCATTCCTTCACATGTGTTGAGCTTGTTAGTTCATCATATTATCAAATCAAATTATTACAGAGAGAATAAATGGGGAAAATAACTTACAGCACTGGGTGACTGCTGCAGCAGTAGTCAGGTCACGGTACTCCCTGTACATGTTGTGAGTTCCACTCCTGGAGTCGTAGCGCAGCCAGATACCAAAGTTCTTGATCTTCTGGGGCTTCTTCTCGTTGATCTACAAAGAAAATAATTTTCATCACACTTCCTTACTTGTTCAACTATGCAAAGTTAAAGGATATCCACTTAGCCATAATCTTAAAAGATAACTCACAATTGTCATTTGGTCAAATCTTAATTGATTTTACTGATATGATGACTACATGCAGATATATATCGTTTTTGAGACGGGTTTTAGCAAATTCTCAGATTTTGGAGTCATTTGTCAAAACTGTAGCTTGCATACAATTGGCAGTGTAGGGTTGAAAAAAAAATGTATAGTGATGGTCTCTCGGACCTACCAACAACAAATGTAATAATTTGTCACTCTGCAAATGTTTACAAATAGACCTAGTCTACTTAATTACAAAAGTGACCTATGAACATTTACTTTTTCTAAGGCAAACGATTTCTATTTTTAGAACATCCAAACAATAGTTGTACAATCCACTATGTCACTATCGTACCTTCCTGCAGCCCAAGATCTCTCCACGAGTCTTCTTCATCTTTCGTAGTCTGTTACCAAAGTACCAGAAGCGAGACTTGGCAGTGACTTCATCTGGTGCAAAGATCCGCATCTTGAAGAGGGGTGGGAGAGACTGCCTCTCTGTAGGCATCTCCCGTCCCACCACCAGGAACTCTGTCAGCTAAGGGCATTAAAGAAGACAGGGATATAATTTAAGTTTTAATCCTACAAATCTGCACCAATGCAGGAATAATACATGTAAGGAAGTCCACACAGACATTTGGTTTGCAGTTTCTTAGATGTGAACAAAATTACAAGGACCAAGATAAATGTTTTGAGAAAATAAAAGTTCAAAAAGTGATTCCACTGTCCATTTTCAGTATGAACACTGGTCCGAGAATTAGAACGAGGATCGTCCGCATAAATGAGGACATCCTCATTAGCGCGGACAAATCGCATCCTAAAAATAAGGATCGTCAGTTTTTTCTTCGGTGCTCTGCGGGTGTAGGGTTCCCCATCAGCGCGCTGGCCAGCGAAAAACGGATTCCGCTAATAAAATACCCACACTTCACCGTCTACTTTTATTGGTTACCAGTGCCCGTCTTCCCAAGGATTTATCTTTCACAACGTGAAACTCTCTGTGCAAGGTGAATGTGAAATGCGTCAACAGTAGGGGCGCTAATCCGAAAATGATGATTGTCCGCATAAACGAGGATATCCTCGTATGGATAAATCACGTTCTAAAAAGTGAGGATTGTCCCCATTTCTGCAGAGATTTTTTTCTTTCTCCGATGCTCTGCAGGTGTAGGGTTCTCGATCGCGCGCTGGCAATGCAAAAAACGGATTGCACATTTTTGAGGACGAGTCTGTCCGTATTTACGAGAAAATCTTCGTTTATACGGACGATCCTTATTCTCAGACCAGAGCCCCCACTGATGATGTACATAATGATTGTTACTAAATTATTAATCACTGTAATGTTTCACAAGTTATTTCAATCATTCATAAAGACTTAGATCTCTCCACAATTTCAATTTTTCTAGGTCTGTGCGGTGCAATTCCGGGCCGTGTACGTGTGCACTGCACTCGCAGAACGAATTGGCCATGCCCGCCGTGTATTATACAATACGTTGTGTACTATGCGCACTGCTCTCACTCAGTCTCACTCCGTCATGATCATTACCATTCCCATTTATAAACCTAAATTTTCTATTTCAATCTCAATTACATGTCAACGGTGCATATACCATCTAATTCCAGAAGAATCAGAGTATTATACATCTTTATATTGGTTTTGTCAAGGAGAGGGGGAATAGCAAAAGAATAGTTTCTAACCTGTCCTCTGAATTTCATTTTGTGTACAACATGTACAACCCACGAGGAAAAAGGACGAAAAGAGCGATGGTACGTCTGAAAGTAGGCAGCCTCGCGAGCAGAATCAATAATTAATGTATTTTGATGATATAAAAATAAAATAATAATGAAATTTACCACTTAATATCTTTTAAAATCTTAATACAAATTTTTAAGAAGGAAAAAAACCTTCAAAATTATCACTAAAAATAAAATAATTACAAAATATTTTAGTGACATTAAATTGGTTTTTATAGTTGAAGGTGTGCCTCGGAAAATAGATTTATGCGGTGCCAATTTAACAAGTAGGCTGCATGGTGAACTCGGAGGATCCAGTTTGTCTTACACTTCAAAAACATACACTTAGCATTAGATAGGATTTTTTTTAAAGTGTACATGAAAAGTCAAAATTTTCTTATATTATTTATAAGCATTTACGTCAGTTGCACGACATAGACATTTTTAAATCGGCATGGATTGTAAGAGAAATAAGATATTTTAGATGATTGTTGAATGTCTATAAAACAGTATGGTCAGGTCAAAATATTATCTTAGATTGGAATGAGGAGGTTCATAGAAATCGCTGATGTACAAATTATAGAATATTTGAGCAAGAAAGTGCTTTTAAGAATCTTTGAATTTTGAAAATTAGACTTAATTGATACTTTAAATTGTACTTTATGCAGGTACATGCGGGAGCAGCCTGGTGATGAATTTGCAGTTTTGGTTCAATTGCCCTATCTTTGGTAAGGAGCAGAAGGTTTTAATTAAAAAAAATAAGTATTATGTTACTTTATAAACCTATATGATGTCTCTAAACTTTTAAAATTACTTATGAAAAAACAAAAAACAAAAAAACTTCAAAGTAATATAAGGCTTTTTTCTCACATGCTTTTTATAATGCCGACGCGCCAAATTTATATATGCAGGATTCATATGCAAGGGGGGGGGGGGGCGGGTGGGGGACGTCTTTCAAAACGGGGGTGCACCACATAGTTTTTTTTTCGGGGGAAAGGGGTCACCTACAATGACCTCCAAAAATAAATAGACGTCATATATATACCCGTACATTGTATCAGGGATAGTATTAAAAGTTTCCTCTGTACTAAGTTGATCCAAAATACTGTTTCAGCACCATAATTTTGCATGTGTGTGTGATTTTTTGAAGACCTATTTGCGAGTGAGCAAAGCGAGTTATAAAAAGAAAATTGTGAGGTTGTATTGCGACCGATTAGGCCAAATAACAACAACATTCTCTTTCCCGCCCGGCGCAGAACCCCCCCCCCCCCCAAAAAAAAAAAAACAAAAACAAAAACAAAAAACAACAACAACAAACAAACAAACAAAACAAAAACAACAAAAAACAGTTGTTATAATAATAAAGCTATAATTAGCATAGCAGCCATCTTTGAAAAAATTGCAAAATAGTAAATAGTAATGCCCTGCCTCCTCCTTTAAAAAAAAGTCCGGACGAGAAACACGTTATTATTGTTATTTGGCCTTAAACTCTTATATCAGTAAATTAAAATACGGTAACCAATCCTCGTGGGGTCGTTTAAAGCACAATCTCACAATGACAAAGATAATAAGACCTTTAAAAATAATAAGTAGGCCGAGGCCTACTATACTAAAGCAAGCGTGCGTAGCAAGCAAGTTTTGGGACAAATTCGAGAAAAATTGCTCTCAGTCGCTTTAAATTAGGGGCACATTTAAGGAGGCAATGATAAATATATCTTTTCGGGGTAGTTAATGGGTGACAAAAACATCTTGTTATCGCATATTATACGTGTGGTATTTACATGAGTTATGTCTCTTTTTAACATGGATGGTATATTTGGTATAATGTAAACGCTGTTGCCTTGAGTTTGAAAACTTCTTCATTGTTTGAACCTTCATATTTTTGAACGAAGGGCAATTGATTAGCTAGTAGTCTATAAAGTTCAAAAGGGCATAGGAAGGCGCACTGGAAGCAGTTTGGGATGGGGGAGGGGGCACTGTATTCCAGGGGGCTCACCATCCAGGGGCAGTGGCAGTGGCATAATGAGCAAAAAACGTTGGGGGATCTGCATCACCAACACTCAAACATGTTACATGCAGGCCCTGCGGAACGTTTTCAAAGTTGAGTATAATAGTCAGGTGGCTCAGTGAAATTACCGTTACTTACCGAATAAAAGCACCATTTTTGGTACAGGGCTTTCTTAGGACCTACTAAACTATATTAGGTTAGTAGCCCCCGACAAAAATTCCAGTTAAGGATGTGGGGGCAGGGGCGCCGTATAGGAACCCCAAAAATTAAAAATACGGTAAAATATTGATGTTGTTTTTTGTTGTACAAACGCCATTTTTTTATTACAGGGGTTCGTTATGACCTTCTGAACGCTGTTATGGTAAGGCATACTGTGGTGAGGGCGTGATGGTGTCGGGTCGGAGCCCCAATGTTATATGTCATGTAAGATCACCGTGGTTTGTGGTTATACGACCGCCTGTTTTGATCATAACAGCCAGGCGCGAACGCAGGGGGGGGATGTTTTGGGGGTTAACCCCCCCCCCTCATTTTTTTGTGGAAAATAAATCAATACTCCTTCCCCCCCCCCTCCATTGAGCGAAATATCGGTCGGCGCGATTTTTACATTTGCGGGGGCAAAAAAAATTAGTTCTCTCACTACCCCCTTCCCCCCCCCCCTCCCCCAATCCCAGAAAATTATGTCATTTTCATGTGTAAATCACCGGTATCAAATTAAAAATAAACCACGTTTGAATTTTATTTGGGGGCAACTGCTCCCACGCCCATCAGTACGCAAGTGTTCAGGGGGTCATGTCTTCTCACCCCTATAATAAAAAAACACACATGTTTTCCCATCTTCTCGCCATATTTCCACGATATGCACGTATCGCTATTATAAAATCCTCCATTGATAAATATAGGGGCATGCGGGATGTTTAGGAAATTTAATTCCTGTTTACTTTACTCTTCATTAAATGGAATATAATTTGTATGTGATTCAATTCAGATTTTATTTGTATTTGTTTCCTTTTTGGTTAAAAATACAAACCATTCTTACTCCTTTCCCTAGTAGTTTATGTCATGGTAGTTTAAAAGAGGAAATGTTTAGTGTACACAAAAAAGGTACACTTTTTATATTAAAATGACTTACATAGAGCAGCGACATTTGATAGCGTTGAACATGAGCATGATTATATTCTAAAAGGGGCACAGTTCGGTTTCTTGAACTTTGGGGCATTGTGCCCCCTGCCCCCTCGGATACTGACTTTCATCGTGGTGGTAGAAATAGACGATACCTGTTACTACACAAAAATACTCTAATTCTTCTAAATTAGCCGGCTCTTTTAAATTCAATGACTTTAAAAGCGCACACAAGTTTCTGAATGATAATGGGAAATATAGATAAAAATGGGAATTTATCATATCAAAGCTCAGATATGATAGAAAAGAAAAGAGACACTGTCTTATCAAAGTAACAAGGGGAACTTTTCATATTTGAAAGGAGCACTTATTCGAAAGGGGAAAAGAACTTAAAAGGGCACAGTTCAAGGTAAACAGGGCAATTATCACGTATTAGAGGTGAAAGTGCATGGGCACTTTTCGCACTTAAAACGATGGCCTCACTAGAGATCAAAAGGGGCACTTATTACAAAAAGAAAGATGTACTAGTACCTGAAAGGAAATAGGGACACGTGTCAAATTGAAAGGGGCAATTATCAGAGGTGAAGAGGGGCACATCTTGCACCCAATAAGGGGCACTGTCATCAGAGATAAAAAATGGGAACCTATGAGGAGGTGGAAGGGGCAATTCTTTGAAAAAAAGGGTACATTTTTCTGAAGTAAATGGGCACTTTTGTTAGTACGTAAATAAAAAGGGCACTTCTGAGGTACTTGAAAAAGTGAGAAAAAATTGTGCCTCGATCCTTGCTCTACTGCGGAGAGCCGTCTCTGGTTGAAATTCAGATACGAGCACTGATCTGTATATTTTTTCTGTATGGTTATGGATCAGTGGGCATGAGGCAAAGGCATGAGGCATCGGTCCCACTGCATGGCGGGCGCAGGCCGGGTTAGGGGCGCCTGGGTGGTTTTCTTGCTGCCCCCCCCCCCCCCCAAAAAAAAAAAACTACCAATAACAAAACAAAAAAGGGCGAAAAACAAAGAGAGTCTCATAATGGTTGAGCCGACACATGATGGGGGACCTTTAAGTAAATAGATAAAACTGAATAAAAAAATAAAATAAAATTTAAAAAACAAGACCGGTGTTTCATCGTCTATATATATCTCTATGCTATCATAATATCAGAGTATTAGCCAGGCAACAATTTTCTGGATTTTTAGTCTTCTACCTTTCCAGTATTCCCATATGGAAGCGCACACAACACGCACACAATCCATTCATTTGCGACGTTTCGACGCACATGGATATTGCGTGTGTGTAATTTATGTTTTGGGTTGTTGAGTACACGTTGCATCAGCCTATATGTGTAGACCTTTATAATGTTTATGTTGCCTTGTTTTAGCTACATGTTTAGAAAGTGATTGATTTTATTACAGGCAGTTAAGGTTCAGATGTGTATGATAACATCGGTCGGAATTCAGCAAATTAATTGTAAGTTGCTCTCAACATTATAGTTAGTTACCGTTTAATTTCCTAGCATGTTTTTGAATGATGATGATGTTGATCTGAATTCTGTCTGATGTTGAACTTGAACTTGAACTTTGATTGAATTTGAACTTGAAGTTAAAATATTTAGTGGTGATAGTAATAATAATATGAAGTATGACTAGACCCCAGCTATGCTGAGTATATTGATATCATATCATGTATCAGCAGATCAGGTTAAACTTGTCAGCTCAGTTCATGTTATTGTTAATACAAATAATAGATTGTCATTGTGATTATGAAATGAGTAGACTTCTAGATCTAGATGTAGATCTATGTGGTGACTGATGAGTGATGGACTCTTTTTTTTCAGTAAGGGTGCTTGTCCGAGAACAGGTCTAGATCTAAGTATCTTACGCATAAATGAGGATATTTTCGTAAACGTGGACAATTAATCTCGACCTAAGAGTAAAGGATGTCCTTTTTTCTTCGGCTATCGGTACGAAAAACGGATTCCTTGGATAATATAGGCCTACCCCCAGTTCACCGTCTACTTTTAGTTTTACGAGTTGTCCGTCTTCCAAAGGATTCATCGGTCATAACATGAAAGTCTCTGTGCTGCATGCTGCATAAGTGACAAATTCATTATGGAGCATCATCGCGGAATCCGTTTTTTAAGATTATTTAAAATGTCTGCGTTTACGAAAATATCCTCCTTTATGCGGACGATCCTTATTCTCGGACAAGCGCCCCTACTGGTTTTCGGCATTGGACCTCGTGTGCATTTCCACTGCCACTGTGTGTGCCTCATTCCATCACACACGTTGGTTTCCTCATTACCATTCCATTGACTCTCGGTCTAAGTAACTTGTGTGTGACAGAATAAAGTACATAAGCGTCGGATACATTGTGACCATAGTTCGCGCGTGACCTAATAAATAGTGGACAGTTCCATACAGTATCTCGAAATAGCAGCAAGATTTTGAAAATCTGGTATCTCCAATGAAAAGAGAAATATCAAATTAGTTCATTACTGATGAAAATTTACGATAGTTTAAATAAAAGTATGATAGTGATACTTCTTTGGAATTGGATGTGAAATTTTGAAAAATTATGAAAATTTTGACAAAAGATCAGCTAATTTCCAGCAATTTTCTGTCCGTTTTGAAAACATATTATGAACGAGGGTCGATCTGGTAATCTTCATTCTGACTTTTGAGTGAAGACTTCATCACAATCAGAGTACTTTGACTGCACCAACGTAACTTCCACACACTACACCATATAATGCCCTTCAGTCTCTGTGTAGAGGCAGTCAGTGGAGTCATGGAGTCATAAATAGTCCCTGGCGATTGATCATCTGTCTACTTGTATACAAGAGACTGAAGCTTGAAGTCTAGATTTTAAAGTTCATGCAATACCGCCATCTACATGTATGTGGATGAATAATAATAATAATAATAATTACAGTGCTTATGTAGCGCCGAACACTTACTTTGTCAGAAGTCTCTAAGCGCTCTACAATAATGCAGCATAATTACCCTGGCTTTAGCAGTGCAGCTGTTACGCGTGCTGCGTTTCAAGGAATAAATTCCTATTAGCACAATAGATGTGTCTTCCCCTGGAAATTTTTCTGTTCTATCAATGAGGAAATTATGTAGTGGGCTAGTCACTAATGCCAGAATTCTTATTAATCCTGTTCATTGATTAAAGCAAGTGCAAACATAAATATATGAAACATGTACAAGTTCTTGATAGTATAGTGAAATTTATGTCAATTCCTATGGAGTAGACTTCTTTTGGCTTTTGCAGTTTTGCCCTACACTACACCAGACATGATTATTCTAGATGATCTGAAGTGATATAGCCCCATCATTTGGTGACAAATGGCCATGTCCTGACAGAACAGCCAGTGTCTGAACAACGTTACCCAGAGGCCTCTATGCATTTTCCATGATTTCTTACCGGCCAAAATACTGCTGCCAAAACAACAAGATTGAAAGCTACATGTACTTCAGCCCTTGTATTATTTATTTTGGCTCAAGATCTCTGTATTGACCGTATCAAGACCGTATTGATGAAATTTGAGGTATAGAGGCTTTGTATAGGGCATAAGTCACTGGACTGTGAACCGCAAGGTACAGGGTTCAAACCCTTCCCACAGCACTAACATTCTTTGGCAAAACTCACATAGACAACTCTCCCATTTGTTGTATGCAAAAATATAGTCAGTATTTGTTTTACTCTTTAGTACCTGCTCCCTTTGGTCACTACTGAAAATAAATTATGGGTAGCATATAGATCCTCTAAAGAGGGAAGACCCACCTGGGTCATATATTCTTTTAAAAATTGAATTTGAGTCATTTTGTGTGTTGGAATAAATGGGGAAGTTGTCCGCCACTACATCACAGAGACAATACCGATTCAGCCAATTTGAAGAGCCCATACCTAATTACCTATATTGATTGCAACTTTAAAAAATTCATAACTCTCTCCTAGTCTCCTTTTTTTCTTCCGATTTCATTAAAAATGCAAACAGTCTGCTTCTCTGATTTTGTGGATACCTCATCACTGGGTCCCCAGAAAATAAATGTCCATAAATATGAATATTTTAGTTAACCAATCTATTGACACCTGACTCTTTAATTGGTGTCAATACTAGTATCCTAAGTAACCTCCATGTTAAACAAAAAATATAGCCTTCTATGTAGTGGTGTAACTTTTAGTAAAATACCTTGTCCTTTAATTGTTGGGGCAATAGCCCTTTCTACTTTAGTTATATTAGGAATTTATATTTATCCTGACTTACAGTCTCAATTATGTTTTCTATTTTATCACTTCAATTATTGGGTAGATGTTTGAGAGTTAATGCTTTTTCTATTCACATTTTCTGGGTTATTTGTATTTCTTTCAGAAGTTAATCAGATTTACTCACGCATGACAAAGATAGATCTAACGACTTACTGATTTCTTTTCCATTAATTTTTTATCTCGTTTAAAATATAAGTACTATTTTCCTTCATATTTTCTCCTCCCTTTCTGTAGTCATCGCATTAGTTGGGATTATGGCGGCCACAAACAGCTAGTCATCGTTGCTTCGAATATATCTCCTTTCTTTGAAAGTACTTTTTGGTACAACACCTGTCCGTGTTTTAGTAACCCTTCATTCATGATGCCATTATCAGTGATTATGTGTCAGCTAGGTTTTAATTAAAATCATCCTTAATCTTTTCATCTTTAGAGGCTGCTTTTATTTGACAGAATGATTACAATCATAACAGGACAACAAAATATCTTGCATAGCTGCTTATTACTTTTTTTGAAACTGTTCAAAATTGTTCTTACCCGGTAACTGCAATGTGCTTAATGCAACAACACATTTTATTTGATGAAAATTTGTTTTCACTTTTATTCAATTGGTTATGAAAGCTATATGTACATGTACAAGAGGGTTTCCGGTACCTTGATTAGGGTAGGTTAGGGTCGTTTGTCCAGCTAATGCATTTTCCCTGTTATTTTCACTGTGTTATAATGATATATTTAATTTCTATGGGAATTGTATCTTTTATTCTAGGATTGATTGACCCTTCTCTTCTCTTCTCTTCTCGTAACCCTGTACCTTTGACAAAGTAAAGCCTGGATCAATTGGATCCACATCAAATGTCCAATCACAGATTTAAGAGTTTACACAGAGTCACAGACCTGACTCTCAAAATGGTAGGTTATGAGCACATGCCCTGACTCTTTAATTTCAAGCCAAGTGGTAGGGGAGCGTCATGTCTGCTCATATGCCTCGTAAACCTTGATGTAAACCTACCGTATTTGCCGGCGTAAAGGCCGCAGTATTTTTGGAAGAGAAAATATCAAAAAGTCGGGGTGCGGCCTTTACGACGAAAGAGTAAAAAAAAAAAAAAACGTAAGTCAAAACTAGCACAAATTTGCACGTATGGGACTAGAAACGGTAAAATAACAATACCACTATGGTACAGGACATTTCCAAACATCTTACCGACAATTTTATTTTGCATTGTTGACATGAAGATGAAAATAAACGTCCTAACACAACATTTGTCGATAGATCTTGATCTAAGTTCGTGCCAATGCATTGCAAAAGTAAAGGAAGGGACCGTCTAACGGAGCTGCCGCGAAGCATTCATCCGAAGTCGCCATTTTGTTTTTCCATTTCATGCAGTTTCGCATTACACCGTACATTGTGGTAGGGGTATATCGGACACCAAATCTGCCTGCGATCACTTTTTTAGCTAAACTTCCGGTAAATTATAAGAATATGGATGAATTTGGTATCAGTTTGTAAAAAAAAAAATAGTGTTTTCGAAAAAATTATGATTATTTTGTTTTGTCTGTTGTTTTTTTTTTCCTTTTTTTTTTTTTTTTTCCTCTTTGAAATGTCAAAGTTGAGGTGCGGCCTATGCGGCGGTGCGGCCTTATCGCCGGCAAATACGGTATTTCTCTTGATGAGAAATGATCAGTGGTCATTGAAAGTAACCATATTCAGCCAAGTTCAGTATTCACCTGTTTCTCCTTGTTCCTATTACTGACACACTGGGGGCAAAAGTTGATACTTCATAAGTGGTCAGGCACCTCTTAAACTGCCTGGTCATTGACCACTAGCTATGATGTACACGTACATGGATGGTCAACCAGTTTTGAAATTCTGAAAAATTGTCAGAGAGGAGGTTAATGTTTATAGGTAGAAATTTAATTGTATGCTCTCTTGTTCACTTTATATCAGTTTGGAAGAATATAAGCAAAGGCATATTAAAATGAATGCTAATTTGCTATTGAAATACCCTCATACATGTATGTCTAGTGAATCAAATGATGGTTTTAAAAGTTTCTGCATAGTGAGTGTGAACATAGCCAAGAAGAGATGATACTAGCCTGTACTCTGTCTAATAGTTTACCTAGTATTAGAATATGCTGCAAAAGTGCAGAGTGGATGTGAACATGACCAAGGTTAGATGATACCACCCCATGTTCTTGTCATAAGAACACATCAGAAATACATGTATGAACTGCACAGTAAGTGTGAACATGGGCAAGGGGAGATGATGCCTGCCCGAATGCTGTCTGATCACCGTCACATATACATGTATAGGTGTTGTGGACTGGTGGATAAGTCAACCGCCTGCAGATCACAAGGTACAGGGTTCAAGTCCCGCCGCAGCACTAATGTCCTTTGGCAAGACGTTAATCTACACTTGCCACTCTCCACCCAGGTGTAAAAGAGTACCTGATATGCTTGAGTGCTACGACCAGCTCGGCTACGACCAGGGTAATATGTGTAAAGCGCCATGAACGTCGAACCTGACTGATACCAGCGCTAAATAAATAACCATATTATTATTTTTATTTATATACGGTATATGAACTGCACAGTAAGTGTGAACACGGGCAAGGTGAGATGATGTCAGGCTCTGTCTGAAGCCGAGTACTAATCGCTTACTTCCTGTGTCCTCCAGCAAGGGGGCAGGCCTGCTTCTCCCTCACTCAAAGCTTGTCATCCAGCATGCTCGTCATCCCACGAGCAACCAGAACACTTGGCTCGCTCCCGGAGCTTCGATTCAAACTAACCCTCTAGTCACATTCTTGGCATGTGCTAATTGTTGTTTCTCGTGATGAAACAACTTCATGTGTTGACAAATTGAAGAGGGACCAGTAAAGGCTAATATTAGAAAGCTCCTACAGATACAAAGTTATGATTGGATCCACAGGTCGTCACATGATATCGTTTGCGAGGATCGCAATGAGCACTATTTCACTCCCAGTCATTTTTTTGATTTTATATAGACCACCTGGTCAAACGAGTATATTTTTACCTCGTATTATACCCAAGTAACCCTGCATGCATTAGCGCATACCTGTTTGCATTGTCTTAGCTGCGCGCATATGACTTGAAAGGCTGGACTGCTCAAGAAATGAACAAGGCATGAGATCCTAATTCTCCTTGACTTGATATAACAAAGCGTAATCAAGGCTATCTAAAATAACATATATTGACTGGTAGGATGTGTAAAATAACATTTCGGGATAGCAAGGCAGTAATATTTCCTGCTGTGATCATAACTGAGGGGAAAATACCTCCCTTTGGTGGTCAAAAAAATTACACACCCAACCAGTCGATATCTGTATAATTAGCTACTTTTTTGCATTCTCTCCAACCCCATGTAAGGGTCCATGTCCCTCCTCTCTGAAATACATGTAGCGGTAGATACGAAGAGGATTGGGAGAGCGAGAGAAGTGGAAACTCGATGATGGTGCAGTATCTTCATCACGTAGAGTTGTATGTCATTGACAGGTATGTCAGTCATCAGCTCTGTGACAGTTGTGTAATGACAAATACATGTATGTTCTCTACCGCAGAGGCGTCATGATTTGTAACATGTCTACCATTCATGTACCATCATGCTTTATAAAATGTGTGTTCATAGGTAACACAGACACAGAGAGAGCGAGAGAAAGATAAAGAGACATGTAAACAAACTCAAAGTACATGTACACCTGTAGATCAGAATCATCAGATACATGTACATTTGTAAGGTTTTTTTTGTAGTACCGTAAATTTCTGTGTATAAGGCGCACTTTTATGCCGCCGAAAAAAATTGAAAGTCGGGGGTGCGTCTTATACACAGATTTTTTTTTAAAGTTTCGATTTATGGCGCTATGCCTGGCAATGTCTCCCAGCTCTGTAATCAGTGTGTTGACTCACCACTCACAAACTACAACAACACTCAAATTTGTCTGTCATCTTGGTTTGAAAGTAATCTTTCTCAATATATAGTTTATAATAATAATTCCTCAAATTTTTTTTCTATAACAAATAGTGTACCACAAGGTTCTATCCTAGGTACTCTATTGTTCTTAATTTATATTAATGATCTTACACATTCTTCTAAAAACGACGTTGTTACTATTATTTGTGACAAGTTCACAGGCACAAATCAGCACCTTCAACTGCACCTCGATGTTAAATGAAGGTCCTTCCCTGCATGGGTTTTCAGCAACAAAACAACAACAAAACAAAGAAACATTTTTGTCTTTTTGTTTTTGTTTTTATTCCCAAAATAGGGGTGCGCCTTATACACAGGTGCGCCTTATACACGGAGATTTACGGGTATGCCAATATTATTATACCCTATTTTCACCTTAAGGAGACGAACATCAGGCCAACACCAGACCGAAATATCAAGAATGAAAAGTAAAATAGGTAGAAAGAGAGAGGAGAGAGCATGAAAATGAGAAAAGGGGGGGGGGGGGGGAGGGGTGGGAGAGAAAGAAGATTATTTTTGTTTGATACTACAGTATATTGTTTGGTACAATTAATAATAGTTGTGGCCTTGTTAAACATGATGAAAGAAATTCTGTAATAGTTGGTGGCTGTTATGAGGGATTAAGTATAATTATGATTTCGATCAAACATTTCCGGTCTGCCGCCTTGTTGAGTGCTGGTACTGTATGGAAAATTTACTGGTTCAATGTGATTTTGAAAAAGATTTTAAACTAGGAATGTGTTTTTTAATGAGTGCTTTTCTTTATCGTTACATCCAAATTCACTACTCTTGATATTATATATTTAATTGTGTCATAAAAATGTGATGCAGCACATACATGTACCTGACAAAAGATTTGTTGTATTATTATTTTTTTAAATTTAAGGGGGGGGGGGGGATCAATCATATTGCAAGGCCAATCTCTACAAGATTTTGTTTTAAATAATTATATTGATTATTCAAATCGGGTTAAATCTTGATTTGTTGATAATGGTTTTGATTCAATATACGGTACATGTATGTATAAGATTGTGTGTATATATTTCACTGTTGTGTGTTAGTTTTTGCCTTCATGGTTAAAAAATGCCAAGATCTGCAACAGGATTTTGAAATAATTCTCAGAAACATACCAAGTGACAGGCAATGGTCAGAATCGAGCAAAGAATTTGCAAAATTAGTTTGTACTTCATCTACATAGTACATGTGTGAGCCTACCATGTACAAATAGAATTTGGCATAATGTGGCATGTACCCCATCCAGTCGATCCCACTTACACTGTCTTGTTCATGTCAATCAATGAAGTTGTCAATGGTCTGTAGGGTTCTTTTCCCCTTCCACTTACAAGTTACATTGTGATGTTTAAGCTTTTAAGGTAACATTTAATCCTTTTCCCATGAATGTATCAAAATTCATTACATTTATTTACAGAATGCCGGAATCTCGGTGAAGCAGTTGCCAAGAAACATGAATGGGGTGCATGCTGATGTAAACTGTACTTCTGTGTTACTAATATACTATTCAAGGATGAACACAGTCATTAATAACTTTCTTTATTGTTACCTAATCCATATGATCTTTATTCTTTGGATAGAGTGTACATAGTATATTTTTTTTCAAGTTTTCAAGCAATATGATTGACAAGTTTTGGTGAATTTTAGAAATCCAAAGCACTACACATGTATATATGTTTGAGAATACATACATGTAGCTCTGTGTATTTTCTATTAATTCACCTGTGTATCTTCTCTCTTCCCATACAGATAGTTGTTTATTGTGATGAGTTGATTGAGCAGAAGCCATACTGCTAGCTGCATCGATATGAATGAGCAAGCACTCGAGGGACTTGGATCTTTCGCAACTGCTGAAGATCGCAACAGGGTAAATATATATATGGAATCCAAAGAATATTCAGCAGAGTATAGGAAGAGATTTAAAATTACTTTTAAACACAATTAAATCGATAATGTATATGCAATACGATATTAGTGGTTTCTTTTAAGAGCTGATCGTTACCCATGGCAACCATTTTATATCTTCAAAAAGAAACGGGAGTTGGCTGCATGGTATATTTAAAGCATTGTAATAAGAAATTTACATACATAGACTTTGTTACTAGAAGTTTTTAAATGAATGATAGGATAATTAGTGGATGCGTAATGTTTCTTTTTTTGTATCATTCTCACCAAAAAGGTAATCAGAAATTGAAGAAGAACATTTAATTTATATTTAACTTTTGTGAATGATTGCATTGTAACTAGCATTTACCTTCCCTTGATTTTAAATTTGATATTTCTGTTTTCAGAGAATCAGGTTGTGTGTCACTTTCAACCTGTCTGTTAAAAATGAAGACTTGTAATAGCCTTGACATTTATCACTTCAACACTACAAGTTTATTTGGTAAAGAGACAGTGGATTGATGTTACAGAGAGACAGTGAGAGAGAGAGAAAAGAGAGAGGGGGCAGTATTCAAAAAATAAATGAGGATGAGGTAAGGTTTTCCAACTGTTAAACCAGGTATTAAAGGGGCGTGGGTGGGCAAGAGGCTGGGAGAAGGGTATTGTTTTTACAAAAGTGTATTGTTTAGGAGAGAGACGCAGACAGAGACCGAAATACGGAGGAGAAAGAAGGGGGAAGGGAAAGACAATGGAGGGGTTATCCTTGAGTGATTGTGAGTGAGCAAAGCTGAGTCACACATGGCTCATCCAGGCTGCCATCTCTTCAGTAGTAGAGTGGGCATCCAACCTAGCTAGCTAGCTAGGTGTTCAGGCCAGGCCAGGGAGGCCCCCTCTGTCTCAGTCACAGTTCCATGGGGTAGATGTGCATGAACACCTGTTGATGTACTGACAACACACCCCTCACATAGCATCACCCGGGCAGTAGTTGTTTTTCAGACCCTTTCCTCGCAGAACAAAGATTTCAATCCTAAAAGATAACACTGTCATTTCCAATATAGGTTAAAATTTAACATAGAAATTTATTTTTGTTGAAAAATGTTGGTGTGCTGGTCAGTGACTTCCATGTTTGAAAGTATATCTTGTTTTAATAGGAAAAGTATACATTGTATGTGGTGGTTAATTATCTCAGAAGTGGAGAATTGGCTTGCTTATTTTGTAATAAGAAATGCAAATTTGTGAAGTGCAAAGCATCAGTGAGTAATTCCTTGAAATTTGCCCTATATGACAGAGGTCTTTTATCCATTTATTTCATACAAAAATTAAAAAATCTTTTTGACCAATTTTTATTTCTGGTAATATATATTTTTTCTTTTATGAAATATATCAATAAAATACTCATGTTAACAGGACATATTTCTCAGAAATACCTTAAGGGTAAACGTTATGAATGGTACACTGAAGCATATATCATATGAATCATATATTGTGTGAATATGCTTCTCAAAAATAATACATTTCAATCCAGGATTTCCTGTAACAAGATTAGTTACAGACAAATGAACAAAAATATTTCCACAACAAAATCAAACTACCGGTACTGCATATGAATTACTAAACAGGAGGGGAAAAAGACTAAAAAAGAACAAGGTCTGCAGATGTGATCTAACTCCAAGCAGTGGCTCTCTCACAGGATTGGTTGGCTGGACAGTCGTCGACTCATCCTTTCCACAGAACCTCGGCCGCTTTACCGTTCATGCACCTCACATCATGATCAGTCCTCAACAGCTAGCCAAACTCTCTTACTCTCATCCAACACTGATTCTACTTTGATATGACCGGGCCTCCTCTCCTCTGAAGTTCATTGGAATCTAAATCTGGACTCTACTCCTAACCGTGACCTTTTTTGCTCAGATGTTCAAGGATTCTGCAAGTTCACATATTTTATTGATTGTTGTTTTTTGTTTGACCACTCATGTTTCCTGTGCAGGCCTTGGCGTACTTTGAGCAGCTGAAGCAGTCTGACAATGGATGGAAGTTGTGCGCGGAAGCCATCACTCAAGGCGTCTATGAGAATGATCACATCAAGTTCTTCTGTTTTCAAGTTCTGGAACATTTTGTCAATGAGAGGTAAGACATTTGCTAATTTGTTTATTTGTTTTTTAGATGCTCTTATTTAAATCATCCATATTAGTTTTCTGTGGTCAGAATGCCTAATTGTTAAGCCAAATAGAATGTTCAATACATTCTCTTTCGTTTAAATGAAGAACTACCGGTTCTGATTTTGGAAACTGGTGTTCTTTTTCTGGGTCAAATAGTTTAACTTATTCCATGCCTTACACCTCTAAACTCTACCCAAGAATTAGAAACTCAAATCATGATTATGTTTGCATTAAGAATAAAAAGAACGGCTAAAGTTTCTTTCTCTTAAACAATTGTAGGTACCACCCTTATTATTGAATTCATTGCCTTGACATATATTGCTGGTCTAATTTAACTATGAAATGAGTGATTGATACAATTTAAGACTTGACAGTTCATTATAGCACAGAAGCATTTTGAAATGATAATGGTAGGATAAAAAAGTGTATGAAAAATATTGGTACTAAAATGAAATGTTTTTAAAACTATTCCAAAGGTATTATTTGATAAATTTAACTTTAAAGAAAGAAGGGTAAAATACTGTAGCCACAGAAAATGACATCAGAGTCTTTTGAAAGATTTATTGCAAGGAAAGGTAGAAGGTACTAGACAAAGAGGGAAACCAAGGACTAAGTGGGGGAGAGTGGAGGGGGAGGGGAGGAGTAGGGGAGGGGAGGGGGGCTAGTGGGAAGTGAAATCTAACAGAAGATATCTGATGAATAATGAAATGGTACCTGGCCCTTGAAAGAATGATTGACATTGCATGCAGTGAAAAAAATACACGGGGGCTCAGGGCGAATTTGCCCCCGAAATGCCCAAAAGAGCCCCCAAAAATCAGAAAAGAGCCTCCGTAAATTTGCATAGAGTTCAATGCAAAACTAATTTTAGAGTGTTATTTTTATGCAGGCAAGCTTGAAAAGTAGCCCCCGAAAAATAAATATTAATTTTTTCCCTGATTGCATGGAGTCCCATCCAAGTCTCACTGTTCACAAACATACTTGATGCATTTGTTTTAAGGACATTTCATTCAGAATGTTCAATCCTCGACTGGTCATATTCGTTGTAGGCATGATGATCTTTTATTTCAGTTCAACTAGTCATTCTCTGCACTAGATCTTTCAAACTAGCAAACCCTAGGGTAAACAGATTTGTTTTGATGATTTAAAAGCAACCACATTGTCTTTTCTCTCTTTCTTTCTTTCTTTTTCTTTCTTTCCTCACCTTTTTTTTAATTAAGAGATCTTATCATTCATTCTCAACTGCATCTCCACCATCATATTTCCAAGGAAAAATAAGATCATCATAACCTTGTCCAATTCTCAATTTTTCAATTATTTTCAAACATGTTATTTGTAGATATGTGACGGCAGACCCTGCCGATCAGCAGCTCTTGAAACAAACCTTGATGACATGGCTTCATATGCAGGTACGTAGAACTAGAAAGCCTGGGTCACTTCAAAGTAGATCTGTAGTTGTGCCTTTTGAAGTAACCAACTGTTCCAGGGTTGACTAGTGATTTGTACAAATGTTGTTTCTCTGTAGCTTCACTTACCAATGTATTCAGGTTGTCCATTTGTTGCATAATTTTTGTCATGGTGATATCTCAAACGCCATTTTGAGGTATAAACTTCAAACTTGTTACCAGCATGCATTACCATTAAAATATGTACATGTTTGCTAGGGGTAATTTTCAAATATAAGTAGGGTCCAAGGGCACTTTAGACAACATTTCAGATCTAATTTAGTGGAGTCACATCGACCAACTTATGCCTGACCAACAAGAGATCCCCCCCCCCCCCCCGAAAAAAAAAAACTGCATTAACTCAAATAGTTTGTGTCTATTTTGGAGTCAGCTTGGCAATGTGACTAGTTATTGGTCTTATGTAAAATTTCAAAAACAATGTGAGTTACAGAATGAAATAAAAGTATACATTAGGTATAGATTACCATATATGGATAGCTATAGTAACAAATGCTTTCTATCAATTAATTTAATGGTTCTTTAAGACAAATAGTTTACATTTACATTGAATCTTTTTTTTATAGACGATGGCTACCCAAGAAGAGAAGAGCTTTGTGAGGAACAAGGCAGCTCAACTCTTCTCCCTCATGTTCATCAATGACTACCCACACAGATGGCCAACGTTCTTCTCCGACCTCCTGCAGATGCTGCAGGTTGGGGAAGCGGCCATCGATATGTACCTCAGGGTGTTGCTGGCCATCGACACTGAGGTTGTTGACAGGGAGATCATACACACCCAAGAGGTATAAAGGTCTAGCTTTTAATAGCCTTGTATTTCCCGGGGAATAGTAACTCAGTCTTCAAGGTTGATTACCCCCTCTCCTTCCCCCAACGTTGAGACAAATATGTGGTATAAAATATGTTTAAAAAACACAGAAATCTTCTTCTTTTTTTTCCATCATCCAAGTCCAATGGTGTAACAATTGTATCCATTATATGTTCCCAAGAAACTTTATTGTTTAACCGAAACGTAGAATAGATGTATTATTTTATCATTTGTTCAACATCTTTAATTTCTCTACAGGTTATGAGAGAGAAATTTACCTGATGCAGCCGCAGCAGAATTAGAGAAAGATAGAATTCATTACTTAGGAAATCTATTTACATACTGTATCACACATAATGCTCTGATGGTTCTTTAGTTCCCAATTACTCATACTTTTTTTTAGAATGTATACAGACTCTGACAGAAATCAATCAGTCAAGAAATTGTAATTATTGGTCTTCAAATCCTATCAGGTATTACAGGATCCACCTGAGCATTCTCGCATGTATAGCGAACTTTTAATGAACCATGCATATTGATATCTCAAGTCTTAATGTTGTTCCTCATTGTGTTTAACAGGTCCTCATGGAAGACCACTATTATTTGTGATAATGAGTCACTCTGTCTAAATATCAGAAATAAATAAATAAATATCTCGTTCTAGGAGACATTAAGGAATAATCAACTCAAGGATGATATGAGAGAGAGGTGCATTCAAGACCTGGTGAATTCCTGGTTCCAGATACTTGTAAGTAAAATTTAACTTTCAGAGCCTGATCAATTACAACCCCTAGTGTACTATGTATTTGTATATTTGAAATCTACTTGTCATGTTTTTTTTATATCATTATTTCACAGAATATGCGTGATTCTAAAGATTGTTAGTTTTCGGAGGAAAGCGCTATATAACCACTAGGTGTTTTATTATTTTCATTATTATTATACTAATAGCAGCATGAATAGATATATGTGATGTCATTATAAAAATATAATTCCTGGTCCTAATAATGCAGCTCCAAAGAGTGGATTTCAAACATGGGAACATGGGAACAGCATCACATTTATTCCGCATTATTGTTGCGCTTATGAATACAAGGAAGAAAACTGTATCACAAACAAAGTTTTTCTAAAGTTGATTGCTCATTCCCATGAACAGACATTACCTGAGTGATGCACTAACTAGTGCCTCATGAGGTCGACGGCCAGCCTTCGAAGAGGAAGAATTAATGTGATCCCCTCATTATTATTGTCATCGGTTATGTAATGAAATTGGCCGAGGGCAAATGTTGGATGTGCAAACAGTAGTGATGTTTATATGCATGTGTGCCAAGTCATGATTCATGGAGAGACCATATGTCTCATGGGGGAATGTTCTGGGGATGATTCCTCCCCTCTTTTCAAGAGGTCCTCGGAAAGATGAGACTTTTATGAAGTGATTGATTGATAGAATGTTGGAATCTAAAATCTGTGCAATCATGTTTTTCAACAAGGAATCATTCTTATCCTAGGAAAGAGGATGAAAGGATGGAAGAGGGTTGGGATGGTGGAAATAGAAACGGAAAGGAGAATAGGAGAAAGCCAGAAATGGTAATAGGAGGTAGTTGTTTGTTCCATTTCAGCTAATAGCTGCACAGTTAAGCAATTAGCATTGTCAGCGTTCAGTTAGTAGAGGTGCTGATTTGGCACTATTTTGGCTTGAATAAAGAGAAGTATATGGTAACTTGTGGAACTTGATAGAAGAGAAAAGGGAGAAATGGGATTGAATTTCTCATGTTACAGGTAAAGAAAGCTCCCAGACTGAACAACTACTCATGGAGTGCAATCTTCAAGACATGATTCTTAGTATCCTACCCTTGGACAACTACCCGCCCCCTCCCCCTCCACACACACGAACAACACTTCTCAGAACAACGTCCCCTCATTACCCCCCACAAAAACAGATCCAGAGAGGTACAGAACGAACATCAAACCAGTTCTTGATACCAGAATCTTTCACCAAGTGCGCAGGAAACTAAATTAGGAAACTATCCATTAGATAGTAATCTTCAATTTGTTTCCAGTACATTCACAGAATTCAACTGCAAACTGAGACGACAGTTGACATCTACTTCCCCCATCACACTAGTTGGGATGTTTGAACAGAAGGGGCGATCAGCCAGCAAACCTTCCCCTGCCAAAGCAGATCAGATAGCCACTTTTTATGGTGTTCGTATTGCCAGGATTTTTTTTTGTGAGGCTTAATTCAATTTCCTCCTTTTCTCAACAACTTCCTCCCTGTCTGAAAGGTGTTTCTAATGCTGTAGCCGTTAGTGTAGCTGCTGAAGTCTGATCAGTGGTGCAAATCGGGAAGAAACAAGGAGTGATTTTGATGGGGGTTATGCAGGGGTCATCCCCTCTGTGTGTGGAATGATTTCATCACACCAGTATTGAGTTACAGTGGCAGAATCTCAAGAGGTTGAAACAGAAATCTGGTAGAAATACAAATCTCCCCCTTTACCCCATTTTTCCCGGTGTAAAATTGAGGCCATTCAGATATCCTTCTGGCATTTTATTACTCTATATTCATTTTCCAGTTTCAAGATTCTTTTCTTAATTTGTCTTTTTTCTGATGATAAAAGGTAAGAGAAATATAATGGTAATGATGATTGTGTTGATGTGTCATGCCTGATGACACATTAGAACATATGGAAGTGGGTTTAATCATGGTTAGCAAAAGTGCCATGCCCTTAGGAAGGGGAGTCTAGATCGAGCTTCAAACTTTAGGGGGTCCTGGCTTAGATTTTGTGTCACCATGTGTCTGCCTTAAAGAGTATTTTACCAAGTAGATGTGTGTTGTTTATTGTCCATGCTAAACAAATCTATTTTGAATGCAAAAATAATGGGGTATTGCTAGAACTACATAGCACAGTAGTTCTTTGCCATTTTATTAGAGGCAATAGCATTGGTATCATATGCAAATTGGATGTGTTAGGTGATGCTGATTATAAATCAATGTAATTTTTTTTATCCTGTCTTTGGAAATGCAGTATTCAGGCATTTTACAATTTTAAGGGGAAATCAATTTTTTGGGGATAAAAAGGGAAATTAATGGATTCAAATGAATAAAGCAATTGATAAACAGTGAGGCAATGACATCACAAACTGATAACCAAATTGGCAATTTGTGTAGTGATTTCCATTGTTCTATAATTTTTCATACTTTTTCAAAAATCCATAACTTCCTTATTAGTTATCTGATTTTACTCAAATTTTTTTTGATTGGTTTGTCTGATTTTTCTGCTTTTATTGAAAGTAAGTTATTTTTGGAGTGGATTTGGCCTTTAACCATTACCTCTAAATCTATTATAAAACCTAAAAACTATCCAAGACCTTACTCTTTATTTTGATGAAGTACAGCAAAGAGCAATTGTTGTTGTAGCAAATGTTGCATCACCACTGTTTAACCTTCAACGATTCAGTAGAAATGTGGTTCTTGCAATAACCACAGGAGTAATTAGGAGTCTATTGTTTTAAAAAAAGTACCCCCCAAAAAAAACTTCAAAAAAAAAAACACCTACCCCCCCCCCCCCCCAAGAAGAAAAAAAAACTAGCCCCCCAAAAAGGTTATGGTGTAGGAGAACATGTAAGTCCTTGGAGAGTACAGAGTTCAAGGTGAACTCTTATTGAGAGGTATCCAGAGGATTTGTGAGGATGTCTAGAGGCATATTCCGTATTTCCTGTTCATGATCCTCCTTGAGTACAGGAGGGCTTACACAATCAATTCTGTGTTTTGTGTCCAGGAAATACTAGTACAATTGTCATGGTCTATTATTAATATATGGCTCTATGTTTTGATCTATATGTGTGGGTTGCTGGCTAATGAAAGACCATGTGAATGTTAGTGGGCATGTCATCAAATAAGAGTAGAAATAATTTTTTTTTTTTTCTATTGTTAAAATATGTAGAAGATGACTAATAAGATTAGGAGAATCAAAAGAAGAAGTTTTGTATTATTAACAGTGACATATTTTGTTCCTTCTTTTTTACTCCATATTGTGGCGTAGTGAACATTCAATAATTTAAACCTGCAATTGCTGACAATAGAAATGAAACACTTTTTATCATATAATCATTACAAGCTATTTTTCATGTATTTTACTTCAAAAGTAATTTGACAGTTCATTACCATGGCACTCGGGTAGAACTGTATTAAATACCCAAAACAAACCTATACATTTGTATGATGTGTAGATTTAAGATTGTTATCAAAATATCTCTTTGTTCAATCTTTGAATTTTTGTCTATTTACCTCAAACATTTTCATCCCTTTCTCTTTTTACTACAGAAAAACTATGAATCTTCCAACCCCGAGCTAGCCTGTCTGTGCCTGGAGGTCGTCGGTGTCTACGTATCGTGGATCGACATCAGCTTGATAGCCAACGAGCGCTTCGTGGGCCTCCTCCTCCATCACCTGTCCATCGATGTCCTGAGGGAGAGTGCTTGTGACTGCTTCCATGAGATCATTGAGAAGGGCATGGATCCGGTGGCCAAGACTGAACTGGTGGAATCTGTGACCAAAGTCCTGCAGGACTCTGGAGTCATACCACCTTCAGGGGTAGGCTTAATGAGAATATTCAGTTAGGCCTAAAAAACAAAAGATGTTGTATTGCCCTTTAGGTGCCAAAACATGGGTCGGTCGGTCAGAAATCTTCTTTGTTTTTTTAACTTTTTGTTGTTGTTGTTGACTCCCTCTTTGGGCTGATATTTTTCAGTTTTTTTTCTAAAAAACGGTTTTAAAAAAAATAAATCAAAAGCCGACCGTTGATTTAAAAAATTTGGGATCGGTCACAAAGGGCAGAACAAAACCACTTTTTTTTTTTTTAGGCCTAATGTTTATGAAAAGAAAATTGGAGTGATAAGTGTTGAATATATGTTCTTGTATTGGAGTTCATTTAATATAATATATATGGTCTAGGTATTTTGATAATCCATCCTTGATTTTCAATGAATGTTTGTTTAAATATTAGTAAGGAATGCCAAAACAGAAGCGATCTCTCACATCTGTCCTTGCCAGAAGATCCCCACAACGGAGTGATCGTACAGAAGTTCATACAAAATTGAACACACACAGTTGTTTGCAGGGATTTATATAGTTATTTTACTTCTTATTTGTTTAGTATTCTACTTCAAAAGAAATTGATGTGACAGTGGGAGGAGGGTGCAGAAGTATTTTGTATTCTTGTGTTCAATTTATTTTGTTTCATTGTGTTGATCCATCCCATCATTTTGTCTCCATCCAGTTGACTAGCCAACCAACAATATGTTAATTGCCCATTGTAAGATACAATAATTTGATGTGCTTGGTTGAGATTTTTACCAGAAAATTCATGCTATTAGTATAAATTTCTGTTTCTTTCCTCTCACTTTCCTAGGAAGAAGACATAGATTTTGTAGCAAAGCTGTCCAAACTCACCAACGGCATTGGATGCAACCTCATATCATCGTGGCAAAAGTGAGTGTCGCCCTCTCTAGGTGATCCAAAATTTGCTCCTGGGACAGTTACTCTAAGCCTTATTTCATCAGACATATGGTTAGGGTCATGGTTGCAGTTGGGTTTAGGTTAAGTTTAAGGTTAGGGTGTTTTAGTCTGGTGCTAAAATTAGGAATTTGGTTATGTAGGAAATTGATCATGGAGCAAATGTTGCAGGAGTATGTGTTGTACATGGTGTCTAGCTCAGGTAGCTTACCCAAATGCAGTGGCACGAAAAACTTGAAAAGACATATCCAGGACTTAAAATGTGTGATGTTTTATGATGTCGGTGATATCTGAATCTGAATGAAAGTGTAGGTAATATTAAGCCTTATCGTGGTGTACATACCAGCTCCGAATCCTAATGAATATTCCTCACTTAACAATGATTACAGAAATAATAAAATTGCCAAATCTATTCTATTTGTATCATAAATTTGTTTGCAAGTAGGGAATATGTAATAAGTTATGATCTATCCGACTGTGTATTATGTGTACTTGTCTATATCTAAGTTTTGTTGAAATGCTTTTTAATACTTGTAAAACTTGCAATGTAATGTAGCTTTCGGGCTACCATTTTGCAGTTGTCTAATAAAACCATTCTACTACTACTACTACTAATGATGTGGTTCTACCTCATGTGATAAAACCATGATTTTCATCAATTATCCATTTTGCGCTCTGCTCGCGTCTTTTCTTGCCATAACATCCTGCTAAGCTATCTTATCCTGACTATCCTGTCTAGTCTCTGCCAAGAATTGCTAACCGTTCACTCAGTCTGTAGTATCATCTGTTACTCTATGTCCAAGGTTAATTAATTCTAGATTGGTTTTAGGCTGTTGTGGTATTGAACATATTCCAAATGGAAATTTGCTTCAAGGTAGCACCATTGATTTAATACCAATCCCTCAAGTAAGCATGTAGCGGTAGTGAACAACATGACTTGTAGGATGACGCTTTGTAATAGATGTTCTTTGAAGATCATTACATCGTAAGATGACATCATTAAAGGGATCCGGTAACTTTGTCTTAGATCCTTTAAAAAAATCTTTGATTTAGCTCATGCTGCAATGATAATTATAAACCTTTAGGTCAGTCAGGAACCTCATGACTTTAACAAGCCGATCGCCTGTCTGATTATCAAGATATTTATGATTGAAAATCAAAATCAAATTTTGCGTTTGACAAACGGTTTTCATAACACAACAATCTATTGGGGAAAACGAGTATGGTAAAACCGGTCACTCAAAGGTTTTTACTTTTTTGAGGTACTTCTTGATCATTTTGAAGCGCAATTTTGTTTAGGGCTTCAATATAACACCATATCACAGACACTGATAACACATAGGGCCATGCATCTCAGATTTAACATTGTTAAACGATCCCTTTAATGTATCTTTTCTTCTCTTTTACAGACTGGTGAAGAGTAAGAACTCTGTTGGAGCTCTGAATACATTACAAGCCATAGATAGTAAACTACCCCTGCTCTTCATGTTCCTTGGTCATGAAGACGATGACATCTCGTTAGCCGTATCAGAGTTTGCCAGGGACTATATAGGTATTCTAAAACAGGTCAGTGCAAGCGATAAATCTATTATGTTACTTTGAAAATAATCTTGATTAGTGTCCCATCATTTCTTTTGTTTGTCTTGGCCACTCATTTATGGAACAGTTTTCCTTTATGTAGCATCATTATACATTAGAAATAGAATTAGCGAGGTCTCAAAATTTACTTTTAAGATATTTCTGCAGTTATTTCTCTCTTCTTTTTTCTTCACTTTTTGTCAAATATATATTGTTCTCTATCATGAAGAGCTGCTGAAAATTATGTTCATTTTTACTGAACTTGTACTAGGAAACCATCTAGTATGAAGTGGATTGTGTATCCTAAAGAACAGTAGAAAGTATTTTGTCCCACTTTTAATCAAAACTAGATTGTAACTTATCTATCTAGGGCAGCCATTATATAGATCAAATGATGCATTTTGGGTAATGAAGTGAAATATAGCTGACAGTTGCATGTAGAGTGTGGGTACATGCATTACGGACATCTTAAAACAGTTTTAAAGCTTATCAACACTAGTGTGGCTAGAAGGGATTAGACCACACAGCAAGGTCACTGACAGGTGGCTATCTCATCAACTCAGCTCTCAAATAACATAAGAAATAGAGGATCATGGGGGACCAACAGGCACCGATTGGGGAAGTTTTCTATATAGAGGGAGCAAGTAGCTACAAGTAGGACAGTGGGGCTTTAATATCATTGCGTTTTTCCAATTACAATAAATTTCAAGTAAATGACTTACAAGCGTGATAGGATGTGGTTAGCTAATCAGCAAAAACAATCTTAATTCATGTCAAGGGTTTAGTTTACAGTGTGCCAAGCTTGTTAACATTGTTTAATTTATTCATTTACAACATGACAGGACATAAACAGATTTAATAGGGTATTACAGAACAGTTTCATCTTAAATTTCAAGGACCTGTAGTGACCAGCGGATCGTACGAGAGGTTGAGATTATTTCTGAATATATTTATGATTTCTTTTAGACTTAATAAACAAAAGTCTTGTTATTATGAAACAAATTAATCATGTTCATTTCGTTACATGATTCTTTTCATTTAATTATTCTATTACAGAATGAAAGAAATTTGAAAGGAAATTAGGAGGTTGACATTATAATGTTTAATAGTTAAGTGCTGAACTAGGTTTAAATTAAATCAGGTTTAATAGTCTGCCTTTATGATCATGCATTATTAAATCTCGATTGATTCTTTTTCCATCCTGTCAATTAATAACAGATTGGTACACTGAATAAGAGCCAGATTGCCAATGCACTGAGACTCTTTCTCATCCTCCTCAATAACTTTTGTTAGAACGAGGAATATAACTTAACTGTCATTATCACCGTCATCTCCACTACCACCACTGTGACGTTAAATTCTGCTGAAGTGACCCCAACAGTAGGCTTAAAGAAAGGACGACGACATCCAAGTTGAGATACGTGCATAAAATGCAGTTCATCTGTAATATCAATAAAACAAACAAGCAATCATAAGCATGTGTACAAATTCACATGAATAAACAAACATCTATTGTATCGCACAACTAGCTTGCCATAATTGACCTTAATATGCATAACTGAGTAAAGAAAACCTTCAAGAATAAACTATGTGAGTAAAGCTCACTTGTGCAAACACAAACTGTATAACTGCCTCATTTATCTTATTCTAATGAACTGTCTCAAATTCTACCTTTGTTTACAAATATAACCCTTACAAATCATACCTCTCTATCTTGTAGGTTAACGTCATACACAAATAAACCCTCGACCAGCCTTATTTCCTGCCTCTATCTTACACTCTTTACTTGGTTCCTGAACTAAATTCCTATTTGCTTCTACACCCTTGACATTCTTTATAACCAAGGAAAACAATTCATACTCTTGTTTCATGTCAATTATCATCACTCATTACACACAAATCTAGATTATCCTCAACACAAACTGATATATGCACAAATTGTGCATTCACACACGTTATCCTACGTTTGTCTATATGTGGTGCTACATGCACAGACAACATTTTAACGTACTTTTCATCTTAAAATTACAGAAAACTAGATTTATATCTTGTGCCATTTTTGGCCTCATACAAACAATTAAAGATTGATTTATACAAATAACAGCTTTATAGTACTTACAACATTGGGCTTGTCTCGATTGTCGGGGATTACTGATGGAATCACTGTCCACAAAACATTTCAAATTTCGTGACTTTTAGGCTGGCCAACTACAAACGCCCTCTTACGACCAAATGAAATTATGGTTAATCTGAACCGACGTCATGACAGAAAACTTTCTAAATCTTACATCCCGGCCCCTTAAATGCGTAGCCACAGCAAAGCATTTATCCAAATAACTTCAACTTCCATTCAAATTGTCTAACTTTTCTGTTAATAAAACACAACTAAACATTCAGAATTTACACTCAACTCTGCATAGCACATTCCATTAATTTCATTTACACAATGTAGTACATTACAGTAAATGCCTTTAGGGTGAATTTATAGCCTATACACAACAAACACTTGTCGTCTAAAAATGTATACCGACAGGTCAATTAAAGTAACATTGGGCAAAAAGATCAGTTGCCTTAATAGAGTACACATTAACTAAATCTCAACACAATTGTTGACACTCTGTAGCAAATAACAATAACAAGGATTGTTAAAGTCCTTGACATTCCTTACACACTTTGAGTTATCTAGTGAATTACCAAAGGAAAATACGAAATATATCAGCTCAAACATAATGATTCTACATGTACCTCTATGCACTAGAGCTGCTAACTACTCAGAACTGTGTATTTCAGTACTCGATTCTTGAAACTAAACCCCCTTTTTTGTGAGTTTTCAAGCAAAATTCAGTAGCCCACCACTAAGTACAACAGGGTTACACACAAAAAATGATTTTCAAATTCAGAAAATGGTGCTTCTGTGATTAAACTTTCTCATCATTCGCAATCTTGAGTAAATTGTCAATTTACTTCTGGTATACAAAACTTTAGTTCAACTATCCCCTTCATATCAAATATCCTCCTTTGGGTCTATGCATCAAATATCAACACAATTCGGTTCTTTAAAGTTTCAACTTGAACTAGACACTACATATTTGTATGCTCATGCATTGACCAAATAACATGTTATCATGACAAATGATTCTCATTTGTAGTGGTCAAATATTTAACTCCTGCTCTTAGGAAAAAACATGTAAGAAATTACGTATGAATATCGTTCGAACAAAAAAATCTTTCAGCAATAGTCTCAGTTCAATACTGAAATGAATACATGTATTCTGAAGTCCATTATAGTCTTTCTTCAAGTATTGACTAATAAACATAATATGACATAGTCTATAACAAGGCTGAAATGTTTATTACTCTTCAAGAGTAGAGTCCACTGTCCTCAAATATAACGTGCCCGATTTACCTCAAGGGCACAATGTTACCGCAAATAGTCTTGTATAAAGTCTGAGGACTGTTTTTATCAATTTCTTGCGCTTAAACAAGTTTGTTGCTGTAAACGAGTTCTGTCTTGCGTCGACGTCAGTCTAACTTGAATATGATGATCAGGATCTTTCGCTTGTCACGGATCAGGATAATTGCGACATAAAAAATTCACAAGAGGCGGCGCTAGGCTCTCACCTCGCACGTTTAATTCATCGTGCATCAAATATAATTATCTCACATAAGAAACTAATGCTCCAATTTAGTCGTTCTTCGCTGTGGATCCATTTAAATTGAGATCGCTCTCCACGGTTCACCAATTTACGCTCTTTGCTTCTTCCAAAACTGAAACATGATGATCAGGATCTTACGCTCGTCACGGATCAGGAAAATTGCGACACAAAAATTCACAAGAGGCGGCGCTAGGCTCTCACCTCGCACGTTTAATTCACCGTGCATCAATATAATTATCTCACATAAGAAATGAATGCTCCAATTAGTCGCTGTGGTTCACCAATACGCTATCTGCTTCTTCCAAAAGACATAGTTTCTGCACAGGCCTGACTAGGATACCGGTGCTATGTTTCAGCTTCACCGATCGGACGAGCTTGTCCTTCCCAGGATAGGTTTCGATTACTCTTCCCGTCAACCACTTGTTCCTCGGCAGATTGTCGATAATCAGCACGATGTCACCTTCCTCCAGATTTCTCGTCTCTTTCAGCCACTTCTGCCGCTGTTGTAAGGAAGGTAGGTATTCCTTCACCCACCTGCGCCAAAATAAGTCTGCCAGGTATTGAATCTGCCGCCAGCGTCGACGTCCATACAGATCATGTTTCTGGAACACATCAGGTGGTAGAGCATTTTTTGACCTCAGGAGCAGCAGATGATTTGGTGTGAGAGGCTCTGCATCCCTTGCGTCATCAGATGTTATGGTGAGTGGACGCCCATTGATAATTGCCTCTACTAGACACATAAGAGTCGTTAAGCCCTCATCATTCAGAACCTGCTGCTTCATGACTGCATTCAAGACCTTTCTCGTAGTTCTGATTTGTCTTTCCCATGATCCACCCATATGGGATGCTCTCGGTGGATTGAATTTCCAATCAATTCCTTGTTGAAGGAGATTATCGTGGATCTTCTCCTGGTTCCATCGTTTCAATCCCTCCCTCAGTTCACGTTCAGCACCTATGAAATTTGTACCATTGTCGGATCTGATAATCTCTGGTTGTCCTCTGCGTGAAATAAATCTCTGAAGGGCATTCAGAAATGAATCCGTCTCCAATGAATGCAGTACCTCTATGTGTATTGCTCTTATAACCAGACAAGTGAATATACATCCATATCTCTTCACAGAGCTCCTTCCTTGTCTCACCATGTATGGGCCAAAGCAGTCAACTCCCACGTTACTGAATGGAGGTTTTTCTGGTACCACTCTATCTGCCGGCAAATCTGCCATCTTCTGTTCCACTGGTTTTGCACGTTGACGTTTACATGTGAAACACTTGTGTAGTACATGACGAACTGCTAACCTCCCTCTGATTATCCAAAATCGTTGTCTGAGTAGG